CGAAATTCCTATGCCAAAATGTTAAAAACTGCCAGAATCCCAGACCAATAGAGGACCAAAGATGAAAAACCCGTAACATGCTTTCCCTCCTGCCAGCTTAGGATCAAAGCACGAAAAATAAGCACAGCCTCAGGCACTTCCTCAAGGATTCATTTGTTACTAGTGTTCTAAACGTGAGTGAACTCTGATTTCCCTATTTGAGTTATGTTCTTACGTTAAAAGTAAAGTAAAAGCCAGTATAATTCTAATAGAACCGGCCATGGCCATCCATTGAGCTTCTCCAGGTTTAAGTGTATTAATGGCATCTAAACAAAACTGACTCATTTGATTTAAAGTACTAAAACATGTTAAAAGATTCAATAATACCACAAGTGTCACAACTCTACCTTATTCTCATTTTGCTTTGGCATTTAAACCTTGTTTGTAATCACAACTATGTTCCTTAGCAGCAAGATCAAAGGTTGGAAGAATGCATACTGTGACTAAACGGGTCATCAAACAATTGGTGTGATTCTGGAACTTAAAGAAAATGCATTTACAGATGTTAAAATAAGAGTTCAATTGTCACAATATAGCTGTTTCAAGCACACAGGAAGTGAACATTTATACATCAATTAAAGCAGCACCTTTAAGAAGAAACCTCACAAATCAACTTCCGTGTGTCTCTTTAGATGAACGAATTTACTCAAGGACCTACTTGCAGCAAATTTCTGAATGAGCAATGATGCAGACAAACTCAAAACTGCAGTTTCAACTCCGGCCAATATTCAATTCAAACCATTTCCTGGATTTAGTTAGGCAAAATAACTCCTCGATATAGACCAGGGGTAAGGAACCTGTGACCTCAAGGCCACATGTGGCCTTCCAGGTCCCTGGGTGTGATCTTTTGACTAAGTCCAAGTTTTACAGAACAAATTCTTTCATTAAGGGGATTTGTTCTGTGAAGTTTGGATTGGAGCACGTGAGGACCTAGTGGGCCACATGTGGCCCTGAGTCTGCAGGTTTCCCACCTCTGATATAGACAAACTATTTTTCTAGCCTCCATGTGTACATACTACAACTAGTCATAGGACACAAAATTAATCTCCTGCATAATGTTCTTTCGTTTCCTTTATACAGTACCTTACTTCCATCTTATCTGGTGACTCAACATAAAATAGAATTAATTCTGCTTAGTTAGAAAAAGTACATTAACTCTACATTTCTATAACCTCTTTGAAGACACACACAAAATCTCAGATGCAGGGCAGAATAGAGGATTTTTTTAAAAAAAGTTTTCCATTACTGGGTCCCTTGCCTTCTCCCAGCAACAACAAAATGTAAAATGCATCTAGTGCAATCATCTTAGACTTAATTCAAAATACTACAAGCAGGTCATTCATGAACCACTGGCCTGGGAAACCTTCCAAAAACCCATCAACAAAACAAGACCAGTCCTTAGAATGAAATCTTTACACTGCAAAGCAAAAAAGCATATTTTAAATCTTTAACATGTACGCAGGCCTCCACATTTATACAACTAACATAATATTGTCTGAAATACCAGTCTGTCAGCTATTTCCAACAAGAAGCAAAAATGGCAAAAGACAATGAGAATGAGCAACTCAGCTTTTTGTACTTAGGCAATGGTTTGCACTTGGTTTTAAATCATGCTATAGATAGCCTGGCAGGGCAATTCCCTAAGCCAGATACCCTTTAAAACTTGAAAATTCAGTTCGTAAACTATAAAAGAAGGACCATTCAGGACACAAAGGCCTTCCTTCCAAATGCAAGGTAAGACTAACAACTCAGAAAAGGGTGGAAGGATAAGAAGAGAACTGTATAAGGAAATTGGGACCATTCGATTATTTTCTAGGTAGATAAAAAAAAAGATGCTCATTCACTTCCTTTTGGTTTTGTTACTGCAGAAATATTAATAACAGCAGACTACAATCATTTGATCTTTTTAAGTGATAGCGGTCTGTCAATTTCTTCCAAAGCTTGGTTCCCTGCTTCCATCTGTTCCTAATACCACTAAGAAAAGAGTTAAACTTTTCTAGGGAAGTTTCTGATTAAAAGAGAAATATGAACACTCCTCACATTGCTATTACCTATATTTAACTGCATCCAGCACCTCAAATAAAAACCTTGTAGACTCACAATCCTTTGACCCAGAGATCCCAACACTAACAATATGGTCTAGGGATAGTATTAAAAGGTAAAGAAGACCTATCTGCACAAAAATATTCTTAGAAGCTTTATAATAACAAAAACTAAAAACTAAAAAACTAAAAATGACCTAACATCTGGGAACGGCTGAGTAACGTGTAGTAGGATATAATTGTAACAGAGTACTATCACAAATAAAAAATGACAACTAAGAAATGTAGAAAGCCTTGTAACCAAGTGGAGTGATAACATCAGAATTAGAACACCCACACCACACTAAGACCACATTTTTAAAAATCTTCTAAAAATAACAAAACATTTTAAGTATACAGATGAGGAAAGACTGAAAGACAATGCAAATAAATTATTTTGTAAGGAAAAAAAACACTGACTTAAGTCCAAAGAGTATACTAGTTTCATCATGAGTAAAAAAAGAAAAAAAAATTGAACTCAATTTTAACTGATAAAACAAATTTTAAACTCATTTTAACTGCTTCATATTAATTCTAAGCAACAATAATAGGTCACACAAGAGACCTCAGTATTTCCATCTTTTCACCAGTGAACACAAGGTCTGCCTATTTTTTAGGACATGAAACAAGGCTTGAGGAAAAAAAAAATCAACTCCACAGAACTTTCCTCTTTGATCACATTTTGTCATCTTTGCTTCAGTTACAGACAAGTATGCTGACTTGACTTCTCTTTTCAGAATTACACATTTAATATGGTTTTGCCTAAAAAAAGGCATTAAGCAATAAAATTTGCTCACATTTTAAATAGAAAGATGGCTAGATTAAAAAGTCTTCTGGATTCTAATTTCTGATCTGCCACTGTGCAAGTCTGGTACCTCAGTTTTCAATAACTGTTAAATGGGGATAATGCCATCTTGGATATCACCCTCACAGGGTAGCTGCAAGGATCAAAGGAAATATGTGAAAGCATTTTGAAAAAGAATAAAACCCTATACAAACATAAGACATTGGGACTGTTGCTAATAAAGGCAGCAAGATGAATGTGCACATATTGCGAATTCTGGGTAAAAATGGTATTTCCACTAATAAGAAAGTGAGACTACCCAGCACACAGCTCACCAAACTTGTATCTCATTTTTACTACCACCATGTTTATCTAGCCCTGTCTCCAACAAAGCACTATGCTAGGTACTAGGGATATAGAAACAAAATAAAAAGCAGTCCCTACATACAGGCAAAATTTACATTCTATTAAGAATGGGGAGAGAAACGAACAGCTACAGGCATAGCCAATAGCTTCCTATAAGAGGCAGCAAGTGAATGGTGCCTTGGAACAGTGTGCTTTTGGCGACTGGGGGATAATCAGTGTAAAAGTGGGAGGTAGAAGAGGGAATGCTGAATTCAAGGAACAGTAAGTTGGCCATTGGCTGGAACACAGCTTGAGAAGGAGATAATGTAAAATAATCCTGGAAAAGTAGGCTGGGGCCAGATGGGGATGGGGTGTAAATGCCAAACTAATGAGTTTGTGTTTTATCCCTGAGGTAACAGGAAACCACTGGAGGTTTTCAAACAGGGGGATTATATGGTTAGACCTGTGTTTTTAGGAAGATTACTGTAGCAGCTGTGCAGAGTATGTATTGAAGGAGAGAAAATAGAAGTCAGAGTCCAATCTGGAGCCTGTTGCAATAGTTCAGGTGAGAGATAAAGATGGTCTTAACCAAGGCGATGGCTCTGGTGATAAGGGGAAAGAAGTGAGACATGCTATGGTGATAGAACTGATAAGACTTTGCAACTGATTGGACATGGAAGATGACAAAGAAACTGGGTTATGTTAACAATTTTTTTAAATGGGTTCCCATGCTTCCTTATTATATTTAAATGGCTCATTGATGAGATCACCCCCAAGCGCTCTCAGAAACAGCCGGCTTGCTCATCCCTAAAAGACTTGCACTACCTACCTCACAGGATTGGACGGCAGAGGGGCATGAATGTGTTATCATTCCTGTGCTAGCACAAGGTTGTCATTCACACCATCACAGCATCCACAAATACTGTGTCAAAAGGCTTGAACTTACTTTACGAGATCTGGAGGAATTCTTTATTTCTGAGTAATAACAACAAGGACTGATAGGAAAATACTACCAAAGGGGGTGGTGGGTTTCTAGCAGCTCACTTCGAGCGGCCGCTTAGGGGTAAAAAATGCTGACCGAACACGGGATGGGGATAGGACTTGGGGTTTCACTGGCGCGTGGGAGGAGGAGCCCTCCCTGGGGCGAAGCAGGTCATCATCTTCTCCCGGTCAGGCTAAGCGCATACCCTCCTGGGTCCCAGACCACCGAGCCATGCCTCCTCTAAAGTGATTTATCCCAAAGTTCAACACGCAGAAGCTTCGTAAAGAGAGGCTCGGCTTCGCCGGCACCGGCGGCAGACGTTCCTCTGGAGGAGGGGCATCTTCCTCCCCGGCCACAGCCGAGGTAGAGCAGCACTTAGGAAGCACCTACTACGTGCGAGGCGCTGCGCGAAGGTCACTCCTGGTCACTCTCCAAGCGCACCCACGGGCAAGCGCCACGGACTCCCGGACCAAAAGCCAGGCGCCCCGGGGCGACCTTGGGCGGGTGGCCTGCCCTCAGTTTCCTCCCCGGGAGCAGGGCTGGGTGGGCGCTAGGGCCGCTCGCTGCCCGGGCTCCCCCGAAGGGGGCCTTCCAAATTCTAGGGGCCCAGGTGGCTCTAAGAGTCAAGTGCAAGGCCAGGTCAGCGCGGCGGGGGGCCCGCGCCCGGCCCGGCCCGGCCCGGCGCAGAATAGCGCGGGAGTCCGGCTCCGCTCCCGGAGCCGGGAGCCCGGAGCCCGGCCCCGCTCCCCGCCCCGGCCCCGTCGCCTACCTTTCCGCCGGAAGAAGGCCATGGCGGGGCCCGGGCCGGGGCGGAGGGCGCGGGGGGACTCGCGCGGGGCAGCCCCGGCTCCCCTCATTCAGTGACCGGTCCCCCCGCCGGAGCGAGCGCCGGCGGCTCCCGCAGTGGCCTGCCCAACTAACCCGAGAGAGGCTCCTTCCTCCCGGCGCCGCCGGCGCTGCCGGCGCCTCCCACTGCCCGGGCGGCCGCCACAGCCGCCACCGCAGCCGCCATGTTGTCAACAAGCCGCCCGCCCCGGAGTTCCGGCCCCTTCCCGGCGCGGGGCATCACGGGAGGTTACCGCTTTCCCCTTCCCCCACCGCACCCCCTCCACGCCTCCGCCCCCTCGGCCTCCGCAGCCCTCTCCGTACACGTGACCCGCCGTGGGGCCGCAGGCGCAGTGGGGGGTCGAGGGCGGGGCGTTCCTTCTCCCTCTCCCTGACCCGCCCCGTGGGCGGGGCTCTTCTGCTTTGACCTGGTTCTCGCAGACGGTCGCTCTGTTGGCAGCTTTTTTCTAACGTCAGGGATTATTCACCGTGCTTTTAAAAAATATTTCGACAACTGAATTTGAAGATAATAGGTCCCCTTTGTAATCTTATGTATTTTATTTAATGCATTTAAAAATATTCCTCTGATTGCCCAAGGGGTCCAGGACCCCCAAAAAAGTCAAGAACCGCTGGTTTACTGCTGCTACCCCTTGGGAGCTTTGTGTGTAAAGCTCCCAAAGAGGATACAGTATAGTTAATTAATTAATTAATAATTAACAGTATAGGTAATAAAATCCTGGAAAGCAAAAGTCACCAGCTAACAAGGAAGGGGGGGGGGACATCCTACTGGGTGCCTGGCACTGGCGTGAAGGTCAAGAAGGCAGCCTGCACGGGGCTCTGCAGTACTCCATTGTCGGTGGAGCTGGGAACATTAAAACAATTCGGAATCATACTAAGAAGAATGCATCGAATTGTAGGTGCCCTTGGAACCAGTGATACCACTACTAGACATTCCCCAATCAATCAATAAACATGTTTTAAGTGCCTACTATGTGCAGGGATACAAGTACAAAAAAAAGACAGTCCTTGCCCTCAAGGAGTTTGTCATCCATCTAACTGGGGAAGACAATACATAGATGAAAAGGGGAGGAGGAGGAGAATGTACCAGATGGTAAAGAAGTCATAGAAGTCCCAAAATAGTACAGGCAGGTGGTCTCTCCTTAAAAGGATGTTGGAGGGGCAGGTAGGTGGTGCAGTGGATAGAGCCCCTGAAGTCAGGAGGACCTGAGTTCAAATCCGCCCACAGACCAAACACTTGACACTTACTAGCAGTGTGACCCTGGGCAAGTCACTTAACCCCAATTGCCTAAAAACTGACAAAAAAAAAAAAAGGGGATGTTGTACCACCCTGGAGTTAGGAGGACCTGAGTATAAATTCAGTCTCAGACACTTACTAACTGTGTGACCCTAGGCAAGTCACTCAATGCTGATTGCCTTTAAAAAAAAAAGGCTTGGAGTTCATGACCCCACCCTCCAGTCAGTGATGAGGTGAAGTACTAAGTAAGCTCCATGAGATCTTACAGGATGATGAGGTGATCCCAATATTGAGGTTCCAGGGGCCTGGTGGAGTGGTACAGCCAGGTGAGAAATGAGATCAAAGTCATAGGGAAAGTCTTAGCTGTACAAAACTAGAGGATGTCTCAAGAGTCTTAGTGTGGAAACTGCACCATCTTTATATCATCATTTTTAAGGTGACTATTATGGAAATCTTCTGTTTCTACATCACCTACATTTCCCAATGTATTCCTCTTCTCTAACCTTCCCAGAGACCTTATAAGGCTTTTTTTTTAAAAGAAGAAAAAAACAGTTCAGTAAAACTAACCGACATATAGAAAAAGTTCGACATATTCTACACTCAGCCCAGTACCTCATCCTTTTGAAGAAGAGGAAGAAGTGCTTTCTCCTGTCTCTTCTTTGGAACCAAGGTTCTGATTTTACAAGATGATCTGGGTGGATGGCTGAAGCATGTTCTGGTGGCTAGAGTCAGCCAGGAGATAGAGTGGGCTAGGTTTACTGTCATGCAGTTGGGTTGGGAGTTCCCAAAATGAGTATCCATAGTCACTGACTGACTGACTGACCAACTGACCGACTTCCCCAGGATCTGGGGCCTAGATTCTGGAACACTTGCTGTATAAATCCAGGTATCAGGTCTGATGTGGAGGATGCTGCAGGAGGTAGGTAGGAGGAGATGAAATAACCTGGTTGGACGGCTGGATGGGTTATGGAGCTGAAGCATAAAGTCTTGCTGTTTTCCTGTTTGTGTTTAGTTCACTGTAAAAGGGGGGGAGAGAGAAGAGAGGAGAGTCAGAGAGGGGAAGGGAAAGAAAGAGAGACAAAGAGGGAGAGAGAGAAGGAGACAAAGAAAAAGAGGGAGAGATATAGGAAAAACAGACAGAAAGAGAAAGAGACAGGTAAGAGAGACAGAGAGAGGGAGGGAAGGAAGGAGAGAGGGATAGAGAGACAGATGAGAGAGAGAAGAGGGAGAGGGGAAGAAGGAGAGATACAGAGGGAGGAGGAAGAGAGAGGGGAAGGGAGAGTGGGGGGTGTGAGAAAGAGAAGAGACAAAGATAGAGAAGGGGGTAGAGGGAAATAAAGGTAGAGATACAGACAGATCCAAATGTATAGAGTTCCTGTCTTCCTTATCTCTCATTTATTTAAAATTTCTCTTTCCAATACATTTTGACTTCCATTTTTATAATAAGAATAAAAAAAGGCAAAATTTCCCAAAGAGATAAAACAAAGATACAAAGTTCAATTTGTTGTTTTTTAATTTGCTTAAGTGGAACACTAATAACTTAAAATGTTGAGAGAATAATTTTCCTGAAACCATTTAAACCATGTGAGACTAGAGAAAGAGGAACGTTTGTTGATTGGATAAATCAAAGAATATTTATGCTCCTGTTCTCATCAGTCAGTCAATCAACAAGCATTATCTATTAAGTACCAACTGAGTTCCAGGCACTGTGCTAAGAACTGGGGATACTCAGAGAGGCAAAAGACAGTCCCTGCTCTCATTGAGCTCCCATTCTAATGGGGGAGAGCACATGTGAACAGCTCTGTATAAACTAGATATATGCGCAGTAAATTGGGGGGAAGGCATTAAATCAGAGGGAAGGCACTCAGATTAAAGAGGACTAGGACAGACTTCCTGCATCAGGTGGGACTTGAGTTGAGATCTGAGGGGGAGATGAGGAGAATTCCAGGCACTGGGGAATTTATTTTCAAGAAGTCCGGGTTTTTCCCTGACCTTGGATTAGGTTTCCCTTTAGAAACTGGGCAGGTCTTTGTTAAGGATGAACCCAGAGAATTTCCAGGCAGGCTATTGCCCCTCTGGAATTTAAGTACTTACTGATAAGTCTGCTCCAATCAGGTGAATCTAAAAGGACTTTAGACTGAAATAGTCTTATTTCTCAGTTTTTCCTTTAAGAAAAGGCCTTCAGGGCATGTTTCCACACTATTATCTTGGCTCTGCTTTTTATTATTTGGGTTGCCTTGGGTAAGTCAAGCAAACACACAAGTATCTGGGATTCAATTCCTTATGTTCTCAAACTTCTCTGTACCATCCGTATCTATGTACATGGGAGTCTTCACCGGAGCTCTCCAAAATGTTGGGTAGGTCTTCTCTGGGAGATTTACTGGAAGATAAGAGGAAGAATGTCACAAGATGAGAAGGCATGCATGGGCTGTGAGCTGCACCACGGAGAGAGAAGCATGCTCACTGATGGAACTCCAGATTCATTCAAATAGAAGAATGTCTACTGAATACTTTTTCCTGGAATGTAAGCTCCTTGAGGGCAAGGACTGTTTCATATTAGTCTTGGTATCCTAGCATGGTGCCTTATGTATAGATTCAGTGATCTTGAGTTGTAAGGTAACTAAGAGACCATCCATCATTCCATTTTTACAGATGAGGAAACTGAGGATGGGAGAAGTTAAATGATTTATCCAAGATCATTTGGTAGTAAGTAAATAAGGCTCTTTTTGTCCACTTGGGGAGGGTCACAAATTTTCCCAGGTACTTAATATCTTTCATATGCCAAGATAATCCTCCAGGCCTAAGATCAGGAAGACAAGACCCTTGTGGTTTTGGTTATTTTGTTTTGGAGTTTTTATTTTATTTTTTAAAATTACATTTTTTTTCCTGTATCTCATATTTGTATTGAGTGCCAACTATCATAGACCTAAAGCATGAAGAGACCTCAGAGGTCACCTAGTCAATTCTCCCACTCCCCCCACCACCCATTTCACAGAGGAAGAAGCTGAAGGTCAGGGAGCTTAATTGACTTGCCTAAGGTAATAGGACCATTCTGTGGTCAGTGTATACAGCTCATTTGTTTGTACTCACATATATTACAACTTTGTAAAGGTCTTTTCCAAGGATGGAGGGATGAAGGGAGGAAAGGGCAAACACACAATCCCATGCAGGCACATAGCACTGTAGTTCCAGGAAGTGGCCAAGACATGCATGAAGCAACTTGCCCAAGGTTGCTGAGTGGCTCTGGGATATTGGGGAAAGTCACAAGCCCTGGCCCTCAGTTTCCTTCTCTGTAAAATGAGAGGGTTTGGATGCCAGAACTGGTTTATAAGGTCCCCCTTCCAGTTCCGACATTATGTGAATTGACAGCAGGGGTTGGGGAAGGAATTTCAGGAAAGAGAGTGTTGGGGTTGGGGAGCTGAGATCCTTCAGTTTTCCTTAGTGGGGGCCAGAGGCAAGAGCCTTCTCTGCTCTTGGTCACTAAATATCTCAAGGATCCTCCCCTTGGTGCTGAAGTCCTAGCCTGTGGACAGGTGGGAAGGCACAATGAGGCAAAACAGAGCTGGGCTAGGCAAGGGCAGGCCAGGACCTCAGGTGTCCTGAGGTTGGTATTCACCAGGGGAGGCAGGTCCTGGGAGCTTTCCAGGAAGGAGGGGACTGGAAGAAACTGGGCTGTAAGAAGGAGGAAGCTCTGGAGGGATGTGGAAGGGTAGGGGGAGACAGGAGGAGCAGGCAGAAGGGGTGCAGTGGGGTGCCGGGGAAATTTAGCTACGGAGGTGAGAATTGGTACAGAGGTGTGGGGAAAGGGGCTTGACAAATCCTAGCCGATATTTACATAGCATCAAAAGAGAACCGATGGGAGGGGATGGATGATGCAGGAGGAGGGGCTCCACCGAGGAGGCGGGAGGACTAAGGGCGGGGACCGTGCTCTAGAACCGGCCCCTTCCGCAACTCGGGGCTGGGTCATGGCCGGGACTGGGCGGGAGGCCGGTGCGGCCGAGAACACGGGTTTTGAGGATTTGAGCGACTCGGAGTTCCCGGACTTTTCGGAGCTAGGGTGAGAGGTGATCCGGCCGCGGCGGGGGGAGGGAAGAGGGCAGGGATCATGGCCCAAAACCCCCGGGGGCCCGGGTTGATGAGCGCAGCCCTCACCTGGAGGGAGCGGACCCACTGCCAACTGGCCTCCAAAGCCCGGGGACGCAGGATGCGCTAAGTGGGGAGAGGGAGAAGGGCGAGAGTCACCTAAGACCAGAGAAAGGCATGGATGCGGTGATTGCTCTCTCTCTCACCCCCCCTTTCCCTCCCTTCCTCCCTCTCTCCCTCTCTGTCTCTGTCTCTCTCCCTTCTTCCCTCTCTGTCTCTCTGTCTCTATTTCTGTCTTTCTCTCTATCTCTGTCTCTCTGTCTCTGTCTCTGTCTCTGTCTCTCTGTCTCTGTCTCTCTGTCTCTCTCTCTCTCGCTCTCCTCTCTCTCCCCTTCTTTCTCCCCGCCCCATGTCTCTCCGTGTCTCCTCTCTCTCTCCCCCTCATATCTCTGTCTTTGTCTCCTTTCTCTGTCCCTCAGTTTGTCCTTTGTTTCCTTGTCTTTTTTTCCTTCTCTGTCTCGCTCTCTTTATCTGTCTCCCCCCTCCCTGTCTATCGGTTTCTCCCTTTGTCTGTCTGTCTCTCTCTCTCTCTGCACTGTCTGTCCTAGTCTCTCTCTCCCCTCTTCTTCCTCCTCCTACTTCTCTAGCTCTTGCTCTCTTCATACACATGGGACGTGAGGAAGTAGGATTTACTCTAACCTTCAGTGGCTTCGAGTCACCAGGCTCCTGAAAGAATTGGAAAATGTGCATGCCGAACCACTAGCTTAAAAGTAGTGAGGACTCCTTTCCTTTAAGAGGTGGGGAGCTACGGGTGTGGAATGTTACTGACTCTGTCAAGTACCATGAATACTTTGGTGGATTTTGCTGGTTTTTTTGTATTTGGAGTCAGAGGACTCTGGGTAAAACGGAAATTCTGCTACTTGCTACTGTCTGTGTGACCTTGAGCAAGTCACTGTAATTTCTCTTGACCTCAGTTTCCTCATCTGTAAAATGATGGGGATGGACTAAATAATCTTTGAGGTCCCTTTCAGCTCAAAGGAACTGGTGTGTGTTTAATCTTTGTTCCTTGGTAAGACTTCCTGGGAAGAGAAGGCTGAAAAGATATATTTAGAAATGAATGTGATGTGAAAACAAAAAAGCATTAATAAAACTTTTTTTTAAGTAGTGGCTCTACTAGGCCTATACCCCCAAAAGTTCAAAGACAGAGGAAAAGGACCCATATATACAAACATATTTATAGCAGCTTTTTTTGTAGTGGCAAAGAAATGGAAATTGAGGCACTGTCCATCAACTGGGGAATGGCTTGTTAGTTACAGTTGATGATTGTGATGGCATACTTTTGTGCTATAAGAAATGACAAGGGGAGTGGTTTTAGAAAGACCTGGAAAGACTTGTATGAACGGATGCAAAGTGAAGTGAGCAGAACCAGGAGAACAACATTGTAAAGACAATCAACTTTAAAAGACTCCAACTGTCACAAAAAGCAGCCACAAGATGAAACAGGCTACCCACCTCCTGATGGACTCAGTGCCGATTGAGATAGTTTTTGGACAAGGCAAATGTGAGAATTTGTTTTGCCTGACTCTGCATGTTTGTGATAGGAGTTGTGTTTTTCTTGCTTTCTCAATTTGGGGGGCAGAGGAGGAAGAAAAGGCAGTTCTTCATTTTAAAAATTAATTTGAATATAAAACAAAACAATAACAGTAAAAGTGGTGGAGGATAGAAGAGTTGTTGCTTCAGGATAGGAGATAGCCAGATGTCCCAGTTTTGAAAATGGAGAGGATGGTAGGTTGTCCAAACTATAGTCCAGTGAATTTGGCTTGGACGGTCTTGACAAAAGTATAAGATTTTTGAGCCCTTAAGATGTAGAACTCGTTCTCAGGAAGACCTAGCCTGGCTTCATCAACAACAAACAGCATGTCCCACTAACCTAGTTTTCTAAAACGGTAGATCAAGGGAATCCTGTAAAGTCTGGACCAGGAGTTGGTAACCTGAAAGCTGTGAATTTGTTTTTAAAACATTTTGGTATCTGAATTTCAATAGAATTGGTTTCTTTGTCATTCAGTGTATTTTATTTTATGCATTGAAAAACAATTCTGAGGAGTTCATAGACTTACCCAGATTGCCAAGAGTGGGAAGGGGTATCCATGACACAGAAAAGGTTCAGGACCTCCAAAGTAGATATGACCATTGTTTGGAGATATTTGAACGGCTGTCCTGGAAAAGAGAGATTAGAATTAATTTGCTTGGGCGTAGAGAAGAGAACTAGCCACATTGGGTGAAAGTTGCAGAAAGTCAGATTTCAGATTCATTACCTAAAAAACTTCCCGGCAGTGAGAACTGTTTAAAAGCGAAATGAATTGCCGTGAGACGTAGTGAGTTTTCTGACCCTGGAAGTCTTCAAATAGAGTTTGGATGACCACTTGTTGGGGATGTTGTAATAGGGCTTGGATACTGATGGTGGCCTCAGAAATCCCTTCTAATTCTGAGAGATGGTCCCCTTCCTCTGAATTTCCCTATTGTTGAGGGCACAACCATCCTTCTAATCATGTAGGTTCACAACCTCAATGCTATTCTCAACTCTCCTCTGTCAGTCGGCCGTATAGCCAATCGATTGCCAAATTGTCTCATTTCTCTGCGGCATCCCTGGCACGTGTCCCTTCTTCTCTTCATAAAGCCATTGTCCTAGCATGTACTCATCATTCGTCATGCTTCAATTAGACAATTGCAGTCCTTGTTACGTAACTTTTATTTTATTATTTCTATTTTTCCCTCTCCCATTTAAAAAAAAAGGAAAGAAAACTCTTGTCACAAATATTCATAATCAAGGAAAACACATTCCCACACTGGCCATGTCCAAAAACATACATCTCACTCTTCATCTTGAGTCCATCAACTCTTTATTAAGAGATGGGTAGCGTGTTTCTTCATTGGCCCTGTGGTGTCATGGTTGGCCACTGCATTTGTCAAAATTCCCAAGTCTTCTAAAGTTGTTTGTCTTTACAATGTTGTTGTTATTGTACAAATTGTTCTGTGGATTCTACTCACTTCCCTCTGTATCAGTTCATACAGATCTTCCCAGATTTCTCTGTAGCGGTCCCTTTTGTTAGTTCTTATGGCACAATTGTATTGTTAGAATTTGATCAGCTATCCCCCAATTAATGAGCACCCCCTAAATTTCCAGTTCTTCTGCCACTACAGAAAAAAGGGTCACTATAAATAGTTTCGTGCATATGGGTCCTTTTTCTCTTTATTTGATTTCTCTAAGGTATAGGTTGAGTCAAAGGGTATGCATAGTTGAGTGACTTTTGGGGTGTCGTAGATTGAAATTGATTTCCAGAATGGCTAGACCAGTAATTTACAGCTCCACCAACAGTACGCTAATGTACCTGTTTGCCCACAGCCCTTCCAGCATTTGCCATTTTCCTTTTCTTTCATCTTTGTCAATCTGATAGTTGTGAGGTATGCCTCAAATCTCTGGACACTCCAATCCATCTTCCAGTCAACTGCCATAGTGTTGTTCCTAACACCTGGCATGTTTGACGGTATCACTCCTCTACTCAATGGCTCTCTATTACCTTCAGGATCAAATGTACAGCCTTTTTTTTCGGGGGGGGTGATGGTGGGATACATTTAATGTTTTTCAGAACTTGGCCCCTTCCTACATTTCCAGTTTTTTTACACTTTACTCCCCTCCCCACAGAATCCAGCCCTACTGACCAGCTACTGTTTCTCAAACATGACACTCCTTCTGCCATCTCTGACCCTTTTCAGTGGCTGTCCCCTGCACCTGGAATGCGCTGTCTCCCAGTCTATACCTTCCAGAATCTCTGGCTTCCTTTAAGATTCAGCTTAAGCCCCACCTTCTCCAAGAGGTCGCCTCAGCTGCCATTATTGTCTCTTCTAAGGTTCCCTTCTATGTATTCTGTATTTATCTTGTATATTATACATTTTGTCTCCCTCATTAGACTGTAAGCTCCTTGAGGGCAGGCATGGTTTTTGCTCTTTTTCTATGTCCCTACATCTTTCATAGTGCCTGGCACATACTAATCAATTAATAAATGCTTGTTGATTGATTGATTACGTTTCTTTTGTGCCCTATCATCCTGTAAGAGGTAAGCACAAAATCTTGCTGAATACAAACTAGTATATTCATTCGTTCATCTAGACCAGTGTATTCATTTGTTAATTTATTCATTCATCCAAGCTGGCACCCATGCACACAGTCAGGTCCACACAAAAATACAGACATTCCCATATGGTACAGGCCCATACCAAACCTTTCCCCAGGAAGAATCCCCTCTCCTTCCTTTACCTCTCCCCTATCCCCTAAGGATCAGGATACTGAAGGTCTTGGATTTCACATTGTCTTTCAGGTCAGAGGTCAACAAATAGTAGAGTGTGTATTCCGTTACTCACTTTTATCTGGTATCTTTTCTTTTTTTTTTAGGCAATTGGGGTTAAGTGACTTGCCCAAGGTCACATAGCTAGTAAGTGTCAAGTGTTTGGTCTGAGGTCGGATTTAAACTCAGGTTCTCCTGACTTCAGGGCTAGTGCTCTATCCACTGCACCACCTAGCTGCCCCTTCTTATCTGGTATCTTAACAAAGTGCTTTTCTCACAACAATCCCTTGAGGTAAATAGAGCCAGTGTTTCTATCACCATTTTACAAAAAAGGAAACTGAGGCTTAATTAAGTGACTTGTCTGTGTTAATATAGCTAGTAAATATCAGAGTCAGGATTGAAACCCATGATTTCCAGACTCAGTCCAGTATGAAATATTTCAGTTACACCATGCTGTAAAGCTCCGGTGGGAGTAAGAAGCTTGAATGTGTGGGAAAGGAATAAGCATTTATTAAACACCTACTTGTGTGCTAAGCACTTTATGGGTAGTATCTCCTTTGATCCTCACAACAACTTGGAGAGACAGGTGCTATTATTAGCCCCATTTTACAGATGAAGAAACTGAGGCACATAAAAGTTAAGTGACATACCCAAGGTGATACAGCTAAGTGTCTGATTCCAAATTTGAACCCAGGTCTTCCTGACTCCAGGCCCAGTGCTCTATCCACTGTGCCACCTCTGGCTGGAAGCTCAATATTGTTTATTTTCAGAGACATTGAAGAACTTGGCTCTTCTTTGGGAAACCCCAGAAAGGAAGTGGACGCCCAGGGGCCATGGAAACGGAAGCGAGAGGCAGATGCCCCGACACCGATGGAGAGGTTCCACCTCGGGTGCTTGTGGGTCTCTGACCTGTCCACGCAGAGCTGGTGCGAGCAGCAGATGGTGTATAGGAAGGAGCGTCCAGGCTTCCCGTCGGCGGAGAAGGCCGCTGTGCTGGATGCTGGGGCCAGTATCCACCTCGCCAGAGGTAAGGAAGAGAGGAGAGGTAAGCCTGTAGGGTGAGCCCCATGGCCCCCATCTTCCAAGAAAACCCTGAGTGTAGTCCTAAGTGTGGATCATGGGTCTGGAGCTGGAAGGATCCAACCCTCTAATTTTACAAATAACGATAATAATAATGATAAAAGCTAGCATTTATATCATACTTTCAGGTTTAACCCCTTTACAGAAATTAGATCTACCAGTCCTTACAACAACCTTATGAGGTAGATGCTGTTATGATCCCCATTTTACAGGTGAGAAAACTGAGGTAGAGAGAGAGGTGAAATGATTTGCCCAGGGCGGCACAGCTAGCCTTCTTCTATTACACCCTATCTACCCCAGCTGTCTACAGATGGAAGTCTGAGGTCCAAAGAGGTTATAAGTGACTTGTCCAAGGTCCCACAAGTAGTAAGCAGTCGGAGATGGGCCTGGAACTCAGGTCCTCTTTTCCATGTTGAAAGAACATCTCACTTTTTACGGTTCATTTCTGTTGATGTGGAATCTGGGTATCTTGCATTTCTCTCAGCCGGCACAGTGCCATGGTTACTGCTTATAAAACTGAACCCAGCCTTGGGAGATCCTCAGCTACCTTCCAGATCATCACAGTTCACTCGATATGGATTACGTTCTAAGCCTTTGAAAACTGGAAGCCCACTCCAGCCTAGCTGGAGGGACCTCAGAGGACATCTTGTCCTGCCCTTCATTTTACAGAGGAAGAAATTGAGGCTCAGGGAGATTGAGTCATTCGCTCAAGGTTACCACAATAGTAGAGGTGAGAAGGAAGATTCAAACCCAGAGCCTTAGGCTCCTTCCACAGTTCCAGGATGCATCTTTTGTCCCAGTTTGTTGCGGCTGCTTTTGAGAGTCAGAGATTTTTAAAGAAAAGGTGGACTGGCCAGTGATATTAGAAGCAATAGATTTGTGTTACAGGAGGGTGCTGGACTCGGGGGAGGGGGGGAGTAGGGCCAATGAAAGGTGGCCAGAGGCAGGAGTCACCAAGGATGGGGTCAGTATGGTGTGATGACCCTCAGGCCGTGGCAGGAGGAGGGCCTGTGGGAGGCCACCTCCCTCCAATGCATGGCCCATGCACTGAGCTCTGAGCTTACTCTGAGCTCCCTGCATGTTTCCAAGGTTATTTGCTAGCACACCCAGGTCCCTTCAAGCATCAGAATGGCTCAGAAATGCCAAATGAGGGCCAGGGCTTTTATGGGGGTGGGGGAGGTGGAGTCAGGTGTTTCTGATTGGCTACCCCATGTGTGATGTCACAGGCAGGGAGATGCTAGCAGCCTCCCCTTAGGTACAGCATGGGGCTGGAAGATGTTAGCCTAGGGAAGATTCCAGATGATAGGAGGGACCTAGAAAGAGGTCGGGGCAGAGGTCTCGGGCAAGAGGAGTGGGTAGAGGGGCAGCTAGGTGGTGCAGTGGATAGAGCATCAGCCCTGGAGTCAGGAGGACCTGAGTTCAAATCCGGCCTCAGACACGAAACACTCACTAGCTGTGTGATCCTGGGCAAGTCACTTAACCCCATTGCCTAGCCAAAAAAAAAAAAAAAAAAAAAAGAGGAGTGGGCAAGCCTGTTGTAAGGCAGGTTAAACCCGGTAAATCAAAGAGCTTAACAGGAATCCCCTCCTCTGGCCATTTTGGGTGTCTCCATATCACTACTGACAACTTTCGAGGTCCACATTCCTTGTCAAGAAATCCATTTATCGGGGCAGCTAGGTGGCGCAGTGGATAGAGTGCTGGCCTTGGAGTCAGGAGGACCTGAGTTCAAATCTGGTCTCAGACACACAACACGTGACACTTACTAGCTGTGTGACTCTGGGCAAGTCACTTAACCCTAATTGCCTAACAAAAAGCAAAAAAAAAAAAAAAGGCATTAAGAAATCCATTTATCTCTAAGAAGGTATCAAATGGCCAGAGGCATTTATCTCTTCTTTGAACCCATGTCACAGGACTCTATCACATTCTGCTATATTATACAAAGTGTCCCAAAAGTCTTAGGGCAGTTTAAAAGCTTAAAACTGCCCTAAGACTTTTGGGACATTGTGAATAATTACAATATAATATAACTAGCATTTATCTGGTTCTTTAAAGTTTGCAAAGCTCTTTGTGAATATTTTCTCATTTGACCCTCAGAACCCCCTGTGAGGAAGGTACTGATATTATCCCTATTTTACAGAAGCAGAAACTGAGGCAGGGGTTAAATGACTTGCCCAGGGTCATACAGCTAGTAAGTGTTTGAGGCTGGATTTGAACTCAGGTCTTTCTGACTCCAGATTCAGGGCTTTTTATCTGTTGAACCACCTAGTGGCCAGAATTCCAAACCACTCTTTTCTTGGATTATGAAGTATTTTTCCACATTCAGTGTACATCTCAGGCAGAAGACGTCTCTATTCACAGCAGAACTGAGTGATGATGCTTTGAAATGTGAAACATATTTCACTAGCACAACAGGCTAACACAAAGGGTCTTCTGGGCCCTCGAAAAGATAGACTAGTACGTTCTCATCCTGCGGCCACGAGGTGGTGCCATAGCGTATAGAGTGCTGGGCCTGGAGTCAGGACTCTTCCTGAGTTCAAATCTGGCCTCAGATACTTAGTGGCTGTCTGACCCTGGGCAAGTCACTTTACCTTGTTGGCCTCAGTTTCCTCATCTGTAAAATGAGTTGGAGAAGGAAATGGCAAGCCGCTCCAGTATTTTTGCCAAGAAAACCCTAAATGGGGTCACAGGAAGTAGAATACAACTGGAAAATGACTGTCCTCATCCCACCTGCACACTGGATGGCCCTGATTGGGTAAACTCTCTCTACCCAATAGGCGGGCCCTGGCTAGCACTACATATACCCTGGGGGAATTTCTGTTGAGACCTTCTGTGTCCCCTCCAGCCCCATCTTCCCCAAGTTTAGTCAGAGGCTCCTGAATCTTCTCCCCTTCTCAAGTCTAGGGAACTCATTTATGCTGAGAAAGAGAGACAGAGACAGAGACAGAGAGAGAGAGGTCTTTGAGAAGAGGGCTGGAGATCTGGATTCTTCCTAGCGTGAGGAGAACGAACAGAAAATGCCCAACACTGACCTGTTTTTCCCTTCAGAGCTGGAGCTCCATGACCTTGTGAACATCCACACCTCCACTAAGGAAGATGCATGGGCAGTGAAGCTGCTGAATGTTCTATCTATGGTACCCGTCCTGCAGTCAGGTAAGGAGACTTAGAGGAATCCAGATCCAGGGCCCAAAGGGGCGTCAGGGGCCAACGAGTGAAGAAGGGATGGGCAGCAACCTTCCCTTGAGTGGCCTGCATTGGTTTCAACTGCTCAAGCTCTATGGGCTAGAAAAAAGACAGAAACAAATAGGAAGATGTATATGAACTGATGCAGAGCAAAGTTAGCAGAACCAGGAAAGGAATTTACGTGACGACTACAACATTGTAAATGGAAAGAGCGGAAAAAATGAAACTGAGCGCCTTGTAATTTTAGTGACTAAGCTTGGCCCCCCGAGAAGAGTGATAAGATGCTCCCCTCCCCCGCATCCTTTGCAGAGGAGGTAGGACTATAACTGTGGGACACGGCTGTTCTGGGCCAGGCCCGACTCAGACCAGTCCAGTGGTTCAGGCTTGGGCTGAGGACTAAGCTAGACACTTGAAGAATCTAACATTTAATAGGAAAGAAGTTTACTTAACAAACGTATGGGAAAACTCTTCAGTAATAATAATAAAAGTAATGATGATGATGATAGTAGTAGCTAACATTTATATAGTGCCTGCTATGTGCCAAACCCTCTACAAATATTACCTCAATTGAGCCTCACAACAACCCTGGGAGATAGGTGCAGTTATTAACCCCATTTTACAGATGAGGAAACTGAGGTAGACAGAGGTTAAATGACTTGCCTAAGGTCACACAATTAGTGTCTGAGGCTGGATTTGAACTCAGGTCTTCCTGACTCCGGTCCCATGCTTTATGCACTGTGTCACCTATCTTGCTCCAACAAGAAAGGAAACTGAATTGATTTAGTTGGGCACAGCTACCCTACCTCCGGATCTGACAAGGTGGATATCAGTTAGGAGCATATGTGAAACCTGAGATGTCACTGACTCCTCGTGTTCTGGGCTTTTGTACCTAAGTTCAGGAAGTCTTATAGTTATACATAGAAATGGACATTATCTTTCCCTTCTGTGGATAGGGAAGGAATATATAATCAAACAAGAGATAAATAAGATCATAGAAGATGAAATGGACGATTTTGATTATATAAAATTAAGAAGTTTTTGCACAAATACAATCAATGCAGCCAAAATGAGAGAAGAAGCAGGTAACTGGGAAAAAATCTTTGCAGTAAGTTTCTCTGAAGAATATACATGTATATATGTGTGTATCTGTGTATATATGTATGTGTTCTATGGGCTGCTAGTGCTGCTAGAAATATTTTGGTATGAATGGGTCCTTTCTTTCTTTCATTGAACTCATTGAGAATATTAACCCAGGAGTGGGATTCCCAGGGCAGATCAATCAAAGGGAATAAACAATTTAATTATTTTCTCAATTTAGTCATTATTTTCTCTAATAACGAGGAATAAGTTTTTTAATGAAGACGCTAAATCCTTTAGACTGTTAGTTGTAATTGGAAGGCACCTGCCAAGGTCCTTGTCTGCCTTTTCTCTTTTTTTATTAAAATTGTATTGCTTGGGGTAGGGTGGGGGGAGTTAATATCACTTTCTTTTCCAGAAATATCCTTCCCCTTTCCCTACACTGAAAGCCATCCCATGAAACAAATAATAACAAAGAAGGGGATAAAAGGCAGTTGAGCAAAAGTAATACCTTGACCCAGTCTGACAGTATGTGCAGCGTTCCATACCCTTGGCCCCTCCACCTCTGCAAAGAAGGGAGGAAGATGCATTTTCTCATCTTAGATGCCACCCTGCTCATTATAATCACATAACATTCAGTTTCAATACTTTTTTCATAGTTGTTGCTTTCCTGGTTCTCCCTGTTGTAGTTTGCATCAATTCATATAAGTCTTCCCTTTGCTTTTCTGTATTCTTCATATTTGCATTCTGCTACTGCGTTCCACTCTATCCTGATTTGTTTAGCCGTTCCTCAATTGATGGCTACTTACCTTTTCACTATGGAAATTCTTTCCCCCGCCCCGAGGAAAGCTTCCTACTTTTGTCCCATGTTTCCAAGCTATCGTTTAGAAGGGAACAGAGGAGATGCTATTTACGTGAAGAGCTGTTGGGCTCTGAGGACACCTCCCTGTGTCTGGTTTTTTTTTTTGTTTTTGCTTTTGTCTCTTCTTTGTGAGCGCTGTGAGGAAGCAGAGAAGCCCCAAGCCTGGGGGAGAATGAGTGGATTGCCTGGGAGTGATGTCACCCTCCGTTCTCCAACAGGTGGGACAATCCGGGAGTTCCCGGTCTTTGGGGAAATAGAAGGGGTGTTCCTGGTTGGGGTAATTGATGAGCTGCACTACACTTCGAAAGGGGAGCTGGAGCTGACTGAGCTGAAAACTCGCAAGCGAGCCGCGATGCCGCTGGCGGCTCAGAAGGAGAAGGACCGTTTCCAGGTGCGAGTGGCAGAATCAGAGATGTTAGAGTTGTAGATTCAGAGAAGGGAGGGATGCCGGGGGACGTGGGATTATAGCACCTTGATTTAGAGCTAGATTGAATCTCAGAGACCATCTTGTCCAACCCCCTCCTTTTACAGAAAAGGAAACTGAGGCACGGAGTCATTTTTTTTTTTACCTACCCCCCTAATTTTACAGATGACAAAACTGGGGTCCATAAAAGTCATAGGACCATAGACACAGAATTAGAAGGAGTCTAATGCAATCACCTTCTTTTACTGCAAAGGAAACTGAGATCCAGAGGTGAACTGACTTAGTTAAGGTCATGCAGAAGTTAGGTGACCTAGCTGGTGTGTTAACTTCATATTCAGCCCTGTTTTCTCTACTCCGCCATACCTGAGAATCGTGGGGCTGGAAGGAATTCATCTAGTCCAGTTCACTTGTTTTCCCGATAAGAAAGCCAAGGTCCCAGTAGGAGGACACACCTTGCCTACAGTCACATAGAAACTTAGTGATTAGAACTCAGGCCTCTTGATTCCCAAGTCACATCTATTTCTACTATATTAGACCCTTACTGGGTCTTCTTTAAGGGTAAATGCTTGGTGACTGACTCAGCCAGCTCAGTTCCTATAGCTAGGGTCATAAGGCTCCCACAATATGACTGATCAAAAAATCTGAATACCATTCTGTAGGAAATGACATAAGAAAACTGCCCAGAACTTTTGAATGCAGATAAGAAAGTAGTGATCAACTGATCCACAGATCATTGCTAGAGAAAGATTCCACTCTTGAAACTCCCAGGTGCATATATAATATAATATAATATAATAATATAATATAATATAATATAATATAATATAATATAATATAATATGATATGATATGATATGATATATGATATGATGTAATATAATGTAATATAACATAATGTAATGTTATGTCATGTTATGTCATGTCATGTTATATCATATATTTAGTTTTATATGTGTATATATTCTATATTATTAAATGTATAGTATATAGATACAGTATGTGTAATACAATATATAATATGTATGTGATATATTAATATGTAACATAATGATATATAATTAATATATAATTATATATGATATACACAATACACAACATACCCATATGGTATATATTTAACTATATTATAGAATTGTTAGAATATATAAGTATATATAATATATGCATGTAATATATACTATATTATATATGTGTATATATTTACATGAGTGTATCTATATACTATGTATGTATATATTTATATAGTACATGTATTTAACTATATATGATCTAATCGATGACTATATTGTCTAGATATGAAATATCCATGTATAGTAGTTAAATGTCATAGTTCCAGTTCCCACCTATTTCCCAGCCATGTTGCCTGTGCTCTGGCCATCCTCTTTCTATCCCTCCTTCTGAACCTAGACTCTGCCCCTTGGGACCCTGGGCTCTGAGAGGTGAGCCCAGAACCCGGCCTCCATGTCAGTACTCAGCCATCGCCAAACCATCCAATTGGGTATGTTCTCCCTTTTCTCCCTTTCTAGCTGCCCTTCTTGTGTGATTTTCTCCCATTAGAGGACCATCTTGTTTGTTTATATTTGTACCTTCAACTCTCAGTACTGTTCCAGGTAAGTAATAAGGGATTTATAAATGCTTTTTTGTTCATCAGTCACTCAAAAACAACACGTGTTGCAAATAGCCAGGATGAAGAGCGAGAGCTGTAAAGGAACACGGATTTGAATCATGTAGGTTTGTTTTGGAGTCATGGAGAAATTCTAAAAGCAAAGGAACTCAAGCTACAAACCAAAATGCCTTCTGCAAAGTTGAAAATGATCACCAACACAAAGAAATGGGTGTTCAACAAAAGAGAGATAGTCGAAGCGTTCTTGAAAAAAAAGAAAAACCCACCCACTAAAGTGAACTGAGTATTTGGTTTGCAAACAGTCCAAAAAGGCAAACTCTGGAAAGATAGATGGGCGGCTAGGAGGTGCCATAATGAATAGAGTGCCTGGCTTGGAGTAAGAAGACTCATCTTCCTGAGTTCAAAATTGACCTCAGACACATACTAGCTGTGTGATCCTGGACAAGTCACTTAACCCTGTTTGCCTCGGTTTCCTCATCTGTAAAATGAGCTGGAGAAGGAATAGCAGACCATTTCAGTGTCTTTGCCAAGAAAACCCCAAATGGGGTCACCACAAAACAACTCCACAACAACAGAAAGATGGATAAGAACTGTTATCAAAAAAAGCTAAATTACCAAATATTCTGTCTTATCTTTATAGACTATTTAAACAGTTTATTGAACTGTAAGTTAAAAGGAAAAATAAAGAGAAATCAGAAGAAGATAAAGAGGAAAAACTGAATTACTCTTAGGTAGACTAAACCTTATGACTCTTCTATGTGTAGATCTGTATCTAGTGGGAGGAATAACTGGGAGGAGTGGTTGGATTGGGGGGTGGGAAGGCAGGCGATAAGGATGGGGGCTAGTGTTGGAGATGGGCCCCCACCCAGTCCAGAGTTGAGCAGAGGAGCGAGAATGAAGGCTGTGGGAGAATAGGTTCAAATCAGTGGGGACAAATAACCTCCTCAGAAGAAGAGGGAGTTTGAAAACCAGCATCAGCCAATAATACATAGAACAAAAAGTACATGAGAAGGAAGTGGAGGAAAACTAATCTATACCAAAACTTTGAATATGAACGGGTTAAACAATCCAAGGAGAACAAGAGAATGGCAAAGGATAAGAGAACAAAATCCAGCATTTCACTGTAGGTAAGAAACAAGTCTAGAAAATGAAGAAACATACTTTTTTGGGGTTTTGGAGGCAATTGGGGTTAAGTGACTTGCCCAGGGTCACACAGCTAGTAAATATCTATAGTCCTCCTGACTCCAAAGCCCATGCTCTATCCTTGGTGCCACCTAGCTGCACCAAGAAACATAATGAAATTGAGAGTCTGGAACAGAATTTACTGTGAATGAATGAATGAGTGAGTGAATGAATGAAAGAAAAAATATTTAGTGTTTACAGTGTACCAGACACTGTGCTGAGTGCTGGAGATACAAAGAGGGAGATTTACTCTTTTGTCCAAGATTTCATCCTGTAATTGAGGGAGATGATACATAAAAGTAAGATCAGCTGCAAAGCCTGTGGAAAACTCTAATGATACAATGGTAGGGCTGATGGGGATACCAGTAAGAAAGCAGTCCTTGCCCTCAGGAAGCTTACATTCTTTTTTTTTTTGGTGAGGCAGTTGGGGTTCAGTGACTTGCCCAAGGTCACACAGCTAGTAAGTGTGAAGTGTTTGATCCGAGGTCGGATTTGAACTCAGGTCCTCCTGACTCCAGGGCCAGCGCTCTATTTACTGTGACGCCTAGCTTATGCTCTAATGGGGGAAACTACACACCTGGAGGAGGGTTGTTCCAGTTTAGAAAGTCACAGGGATGATAAGCAGAATCATACTTTCTACTAGCAATGGCAACATTGATTTGGTCATTGTTCCACAGCTGGACAAGGGAAGCAGACAGGGATTAGTAAGCCCGCCTCAGGAGGGCTAATGCCTAGAAGATGTCTGGGGTGTAAAGAGAAGGCTGACAGGGGCCAGACAGATACCATGGGCCAAGGGAAGCCTTCATCAATCAAGACAGGTGGGAGTTCCAGAGATGAATGGGTTAAGTACCGCAGGGCTTGGTCTGTAGTACTGATGGGGCAGCTGGAGGGTGTCAGGCTAGAGAATGGCCAGGGTATAAGCGCTCAATAAACATTTGTTGGATTAGTCCAAACAGGGAAGCCAGCCAGCTGAAGCCAGCAGGAATCCAACGGTCAAGTGGTTAAGGGTTTTCTATGTGCCAGACACTGTACTGAGTACACAGTGGGTTAATGATAATCTAGATTAGGGTGGCAGCGATGGGGGCCCAAAGGAAAAGGCAGATGAAAGAGACTTTTCAAAGCTGTCTTTGGTCATTCCGCTCTGACACCCTCCTGGAGGGGAAAACTGACTTTTAGAGTCCAGAGTCTTTGTTAATGATAGTGGCTCACATTCATACACTGCTTCGCTGCTCCCAAAATAATCTTCTGAAAGCATAGGTCACTCTCTTGCTGAAGAATCTTTAGTCTGTCTCTGGAGTAAAATACAGACTCCTCTGTTTAATATTTAAAGGCCCTCAAGGTCTGACTCCAGCCTTCCTTCCCAGATTTATTTTATAGCATCATTGTTGTTTCAGTCATGGTGACCCCCTTTGGGGTTTTCTTGGCATAGAAAGTGGTTTCATTAATGAGAAAACTGAGGCACACAGGGTTAAGTGACTTGTCCAGGGTCACACAGCTAGCGTCTAGGGCTAGCTTAAATTCAGGTCTTCTTGACTCCAGGGCTGCTCTTTCCACTACACCACCTAGCCACCCCTTATTTCACATTACCCTACTTCATACATTCTCTTTTCCAGACAACCAGCTCCCATGCTGTTCTTTGCATGGAAAATTCCATCTTTTCTTCCCATGCCTTTGAACAGACTGTTCCCCATATCTGGAATGTCCCCTCCCTCCCATCTTTGCCTCTTAGAATCTCTAGCTTCCATTTGAGGCCCAATTTATGGGTTGAGGTACCACCTCCTGCAGACATTTTCTTATCTGTCTGGATATCCTGGCACCCCCCCCCCCCACACACAATTGTTAGATCTTTCCTCCTCTGGAGAGACGACTTTACATTTACTTGGGTTGTATGGTGTATTTCCTTCTCTGTGTACATGTTTTATCATCCTAGCAGACTAGTTCCTTGAAGGCTGTTTTACTTTTGACTTTGTAACGACTTTGTATCCCCAACCCTTGGTACATAGTCGGTGCTTAAATGCTCTGTTTGAATTGGATTGACAAAGTTATTTCCCTACCACAGCCTTGTGAGGTAGGGAATATGTTATTATACCCATTTTATAGGAAACTGAGGCTCAAAAAATGTTAATTTAATTTAGCTACCACTTAAGGAACTACGGAAATGGTAAGTGATTTGTCTAGGGACTAACAGGTCTTCCATTGCTGGCCTGAATCCGTTCAGGTCAGTAATTGCCCAGTAGTGTTTATTGGTTGATTCTGGTTCTGCTTGCCCTCACAATCTCCTCTCTTCCCTAGGTCAGCCTCTACAAATGTATCTTTGATGCCATGGTGTGGGGACAGGTGACGTCTGCCAGCCTGGTTCACCACATGAAGCTTTCCCCAGAGATGCTGCTGGGGCCCCAGGTACACAGTCACGCCCGACAAGGGGGCTTCACTGTGATGTCCTTCGGAGATCTCCTGGAGCTGACTTTCTTGTCCCTGAGTCTGTCTGACCTCCCGGTCATTGACGCTCTGAAGATAGAGTATAGCCACCAGGAGACGGGCACCGTGCTGGGCACGGAGATGGTGGTCTTTGAGGAGAAACAGGTGAGCAGAAGCGGAATCAGGCGGGGGAACAGCTACCCTGGCACGGCCTGAGTAGAGACAGAGCCCATCGCTTCCCCTGCAGATTTCCCTCAGCTGCAGTCGCTGTAGGGACCTGAGCCCTCTGAACTGAGAGGGGATAGTTAGAAGTCCATTGAGGTTAGACAGGGAGGCAGAGGGGAGTGGGGGAGGGGTGGAAAGATTGGGGATGTGTGAGGAGTCAGGAAGGGGGTAACACCCTCACTAGCACATGGCGTTCCGTCTCCCACCTTTGCACTGGCCGTATCTCCCATGCGTGGAGTGTTCCTTCTCACCTTTTCCTCCTCGCCTCTTCATCTTCACTTTCTCCAGGCACCACCTTGAAGCCTTCCCTGATTCCCCTAGTGCTGGCCTAACTACCTTGCATTTATTTCATGTTTATTCTGTTCATTCTTGTATGTTTCCTTTATTTATTTATTTGGTTTTTTGGGACCCCAAGCACTTAGCACAGTGCCTGGCCCATAGTAGGTGCTTAATAAATGCTAGTTGATTTATTGACTGATTGATGTACACGTTGCCTCCACTGATGGAATAGAAGCCCTTGAGAGTAGGCATTATTTCATTCTTTGTATTTGCATCCCCATTGCCCTGTAGAGTGCCTGACACACAGTAGGTGCTTAATAAATGCTAGTCGATTTATTGACTGATTGATATACATGTTGCCTCCACTGATGGAACAGAAACTCTTGAGAGTAGGTATTGTTTCATTCTTTGTATTTGTATCCCCAGTGCTTAGTACGGTGCATGGAACACAGTAGGTGCTTAATAAATGCTTGTGGATTAATTGTAGAAATACTACACTCAATCCAAGCTAAGAAATATTTTTAAAATGATTGTTATCTCTTGTTTTTACATCATCTTTATTTCCAAATAAAGCCCTCCCTCTTCCCTTCCCCACTGGACATCCCTTGGAACAAAGAAGAAAGAAGGAATGAAGACAGGTCAGCCAGACTAACATGTCAGATGAGTCTGACCGCACACACAGTATTCCACACCTCTAGGGCCCCATGCTTGCCAAGAAGGGAGACAGATGCTTTTTTCTCCTCACTTTTCTCGGCCCAAGCTTCAATAAACATTTATTAAGTATGTAGAGAACTGCACTAGGCCTTATGACAGATCTGACAAAATAAGAAATAGTGACTGCCCTCTGGGGGTTTACATTCTATTAAGGTGGATATGATGTGTCTTGCCCACTTCTGTGTTTGGATACTGGGGAGGGATGGGGGAAGAGGAGGAGGCAAAGGGAAGAGAATAAGGTTTGTAAAGCCGTTGCCTGTTTTACAGATGGGGAAACTGAGGCTTGGAGAGCCAAAGTTACTTACCCAAGGTCACACAGCCAGTAAGCGTCTGAGGATTCAAACCAAAGTCTTCCTGAATCCAGGTTTTCCATTCAACCACCTGGCCCTCAAGCTGGCCATTAATTATTTGGGGAGACGAGGCCCATGCCTACAAGATGGCACGTGAGACATAATTTAGTAGCAAATTGAGCAGTCCAGTCTCTGTGCTTTCAGAATTAAAAGAAAGTAGAGGCCATCTCCTTGGTCACTCTAGCCCACATCCGCCTTCCTTCCCTTTCTTTAAAAAAAAAAAGTTTCATGGATGCCTTTTGTTTTATGTTATTTTTCCTGGATAAGGTACCCCTCCCCCACCCCCCCCTCCCCAAGTGAGCCCTCTCTTTTAACAGAGAAAGATACTTGAAACCAACTGATATGGTAACTGTTTCTGACTCACACGCAGCATTCTGTGCCTATGATTCCCCCGCTTCTCTACCAAAAGGAGAAAACAGTTGATTGGGCAGGTTCAGACTTGTGATTGTATATTATATATGTTGGGCATTCCCAGTGAGAAAGACTCTGTCCACTGATGTCTATTGAGAACTTGCCTAGAACATGTAGCTTTAGGGATTGTCGGGGGCACTGACGGGCTAAATGAGGCTACCCTTGTCCCTCAGACGCTTCTATGTCAGTCCTGACTCAAACTCAGGTATTCCTGATTCTGAGGCCAGCCCTCCATCCTCTGTGCTCCCCTTCATCTTCCCATCTCTCTATCTCTCTTTTTTTAAAATTAATTTATTTTTAGTTTTCAACAATCACTTCCATAAGCTTTCAAGTTTTAAATTTTCTCCCCCTCCTTCTCTACCTCCCTCCCCAAGACAGCAAGCAATCTGATATAGGCTATACATATACATTCCTATTAAACATATTTTCACGTTAGTGATGTTGTAAGTAAGAATTAGAACCAAAGCAAATAGTATGCTTCGATCTGCATTCAAACTCCATAGTTCTTTCTTTTCTGTGGATAGCATTTTCCATCATGAGGCCTTTGGAGATGTCTTAGACCCTTGTATTGCTGAGAAGGGTTGTCTATCAATATTAGTTATCGCACAGCACAGCTATTACTGTGTACAACGTTCTCCTGGTTCTGCTCACTTCACTCAGTATTAGTCCATACAAGTCTTTCCAGGTTTTTCTGAAGTCTGCCTGCTCATCATTTCTTACAGCACAATAGTATTCCATTACATTCATATACCACACCTTGTTCAGCCATTCCCCAGTTGGTGAGCATGCCCTCAATTTCCAATTCTTTGCCACCACAGAAAGAGCTGCTATAAATATTTTTGTACATATGGGTTCTTTTCCCATTTGTGTGATCTCTTTGGGATACAGCCCTAGAAGTGCTATTGCTGGGTCAAAGGGTATGCACATTTTTATAGCCCCTTTGGGCATAGTTCCAAATTGCTCTCCAGAATGGTTAGATCAGTTCACAACTCCACTAACAATGCATCAGTGTTCTAATTTTCCCACATCTTCAACATTTATCATTTTCCTGTTTTGTCATGTTAGCCAATCTGATAGGTATGATATGGTACCTCAGAATTGTTTTGATTTGCATTTCTCTAATCAATAGTGATTTAGAGCATTTTTTCCTATGACTGTAGACAGCTTTAATTTCTTTGTCTGAGAACTGCCTGTTCATATCCTTTGTCTCTGTTTCTGTCTCTTTCTGTCTCTGTTTCTCTTTGTCTCTCTCCTTTTTTATCTGTCTCTGTCTCTATTTCTCTCTGTTTCTTTCCTTCTTTGTTTGTCTCTCTGTCTCTCGTTCCAGAAGGGTAGGTTTCCCCTTCACCAGCCATTCTGGTACAGTGGCTCTGTGATGTACCGTGGAAAGAGGCCTGCCTTCAAATCTTGCCTCTGATGCTTCCTGCTTGCGTGACCTTGGCCGGGTTATTTAATGTCTCTGGGACTCAGTTTCCTCCTATGTAAAATGGGGGGGGGAGGCTGGACTAAACAGCCTCAGCGGCGCCTTCTCACTCTGTGTGCAGGACCCTGGGGTCTGAATGGACAGACGAGTGGCTGGGAAAAGAAACGAGCTGGGGCCGGCTTACCTCTCATCCCCTTGGTTTCACTCCCGCAGGTGAGGGACAAACTTCGACACCACCTTGGGTACTGGACAGGACTCAGGGAGCCCCGGGGAGTGGATGTGAAGGAAGCATGGAAATGCCGGATGTGTGACTACGCTGCCATCTGTGAATGGAGGCAGAGCGGGGGGACGAGGACGTTGAGCCACGAGCAGCATGCCAAGAAGATGACCAAGTGAAGGGACCGGGCCAAGTCCGGCAGGGCCAGTCCCCTCCAGTCCAAGAGGAGTCCTTGGCTGTCCCTGACCAAGAGCCCCATGGGAGGAGTTGGCTGGGGAGAAATTGTGAGCCTGACTTTCTGACCCACAGCCCTGCCTGATTTCTCGGGCTCTGGTTCCTTACAGATACATAACAGGGGCCTCAGGGATTATGAGAAACACAGATTCCCCCTTTTCTTAGGGGTGAGTACTGAGGAAGGGTCTGGCTCCTCCCCCAGAGTGCTGCCACCCTTATCCTGGGAGGGGCTGCTCGGGGACTGCCTAAGTGGCCTTCTGGGATGGCGAGGATGGAGGAGGCCACACTCTAGGGGGAGTTGGACCTTTTTTGTTTTCCTTAAAAAAAATTCTGCTTCCTTATTCTTCCCCAATAAAGACTTTTTGATTTTTCCAAAGTAGAAGGGCCGGTGGCTCCCCGGTAACCAACTTTCCCAAGGTCACATGCCACGCCAGCCGCAGGCTATAGCCATGAGCCAGTACTCCCAGCTGTGATGCTGCAAGTGAGGGATGCTCTTGGGGTGCAGCTGGCCTGGCCCGTCTGCGACGGCATCTGCTTTTCTTTCATAAAAACTTAACCGCTGTCCTTTGGATTAATGTCACCTGCATTTCCAGATCTGCTTCTCTCCCTTCCCCAAGAGGACTACCCTTTGTAACAAAGAGTAGAAAAGAAAGGAATGGGATGTGAACACACTGACCAGTATGATGATCCACTCAGTATGTCTACCCCTTGCCCCTTCCCTCAGGGAAGGGGCTACATTTTCTCCTCTTCTTTGGGATGAAGCTGCAGCATTATAATTGTATAGCCTTCAGTTTGAGCTTTTTACCTTCCTTCCTCCCTCCCACTCCCTCTCTTCCTTCCTTCCTTCCTTCGTCTCTCCCTCCTTTTCTTCTTTCCTTGACCCCTGCCTTCCTTTAAGCACTCATGGGCCTGATCTCTTGGCCAGTTCTCGCCTTCCTAAGAGCAGTCTGGTGGCTCCCCCACCTAGGGGCCCACCATAATGAATTAAATTCTTCACCATGCCTCAGAAGCTTTTTACTTTTCAATACCCATCTGTATCACTACCTTTGATTCTAGGTGGGAGATGGGGCAAAAGTTATTCTTCCCACTTGATAGAGGCAGAAATAGAGGGGAAGGAATAAACATTTATTAAGTGCCTATGATGTGCCAGGCACTGAGCTAAATGCTTTACAAATATGAATTCATTTGATCCTCACAAAATCATAGAATTATTGCAATAATAGCAAATATTTTATACAGTGCTTTTAAAGTTCACAGAGCACTTTAAATGAATTATCTCATCTGATCCTCACAACAACCTTGGAAGATAGGTGCTATTATTAGCCCATTTACAGATGAGGAAACTGAGGCAAACTGGAGTGAAATGACTTGCCCAGGATCACACAGCTGATCAGAGTCGGAGGTGGGGTTTGAACTCGGGTGTTCCTAACTCCAAGGCCACCACTCTTATTACCAGTGTACATAATGTGCTTTGCAGACCTTGACGTGTTCTGTAAATGGTATCATCATCCCATTTGATTCTCACAATAACCCTGGGAGGTAGGTGCTTTGGGGAGTCAGAAAGGTTCGGGGACTTGCCCTGGGTTACACAGCTAGTGAATGTCTAAAGCAGGAACCCAACCTTAGGTCTTCCTGACTCCAAATCCGTCCCATCTCATTTCACATCTTTGTTCTAGCCATCCCAGCCTGGGCCAGCACGGAACCTTACAGGAAGCAGCTCTCATTTCAGACAGGGGCTTGACGGGAACTCCTCACATGTGTGCACGATGCCAGCGCTAGGGGTACACTAGAGTCCTCCAGTCACAGGAGGCTGGTAGGCTGGTTTCCAATGATCCTTGGGCTGAGGTTGGATGCCCTTGGGGCATGAGAATTTGCAGTAAGCTCATTGTTTTCCCTTCCTCTCCTGTCCTGGCCCATCTCCCTAAAACGAGATCGTTTATAATTTTGTTGTTGCGGTTGTGTGTCCTGGATTCCTTCGGCAGTCTGGTAAAGCCTTCTCAGAATAATGGTCTCAAATAATTAAAGAAAATGCTAAATTTCAGTTAGAAGTCAGTGAAAATAAAGATACATATTTTTTCTCAACCCAAGTTCATTGACACCCTAAAATCTATGTGGAGACTCCAGGAGAACTTCTAAACAGAGACGTGGTTCTTGGCTCTTTTGTGGTCTTGTGTGTTCCCCCTGCCCCACCCCCAAACCCAACTCCAAGCCCTTCAGTCTCATGGCAGGGGTAGGGAGGACAAGGTAAGGGAGCGGGGAGGCAGAGGGAGAGATCCCAGCTCTGAGCCGTGCTGACTCAAGTAAACAAAACCGAAAGTGAAGCTGAGAGAGAAGGAAAGCGAACCTCCTAGGTTCCTGGTCTCTGGGAGGGTCCTGGGGAATGGTGGGAAGAGAAATGCTGGCCTTGTACCTGCTCAGCCCTGGTGAGTTTTGACCCTGAGGAGCTGCCAGGCTCACCTTGCCCTGGGGACGTGTTTGGGGCAGCCCTGAAGCTGCTGGGACTGCCAGCCCTCCTGGCTTCTGCCTAGAGGCAAGCGCGGCCCTCCCCCATTCCTCTTGTAGCCCAGGGGAGGGGCTCCGAGAGGGGACTGCCTAGGGTGCTCCTTCGGAGCGGAGTGGGGAATGTCCTGGGTGCTCCCTGGCCTAGCCCCGCAGCTGGGGAGGTGGCCCTGGCCCTGACATGAGGACCACGGGTCTCTGAGGGGAGAGCTGGGCGTAGGGGCTGAGGTTGACTCCCTTTTGCCCGGCTGTTTCCCCCAGGCTCCGCAGATCCTGGGGGTCCTCCAGTGAGGAGGGGGTGGAGCAGCCTGGCCACCTGGCCGCAGACAGACTCCAGAGGACCCCAGGACTTGGGTTTCTTTCACTTCCTTCTCCTGGAAGGCTGTTGCTTCTTGTGCTGTCTGTCCTTCTTTCTCAAAGAGAACATCAGGAAGCTGAAGCCATGCCACGCCAGTGTATTGGACTTAAGTGAGGCAGGGCTGTGCAAAGTCACCAGCCTCATTTTCTCCTCTGGAGCCATCTGGGTGCAGTGGCCAGACACAGATCAGGACGACTGGAGAGCAGAAGGAAGGAGAAGAAGGGGAAGCTTAGAGCCATTTACACACTCTTCAATCCAGCCAGACTGCTTTCTTGCTGTTCCGCACCCAAAGTGTTCCATCTCCCATCCCCCACCCTTTTCATTGACTGTTCCCCATGCCTGTGATGCCCTCTCTCCGTACTGCTACCTCTCAGAACTCTTACCTTCCTATAATGCTGAGCTAAAACCCTGTCACCTCCATAAGACCTTTCCTGACCCCCCTTCAAGTTGCTAGTGCCACCCCCAAATATTATTTTTTATTAAATTGTATATGCTATCTTCAATATTATATTGTGTATGTTCTACATATGAGAGGCAGCATGGTACTGCAGATAGGGAACTGGCCTGGGTTTGAGCCCCCTCTATGAGGAATACTGGCTGTGTGACCCTGGCCTAGTCACTTAAACTCCCAGTGCCCCAAGCAACTCCAAGTCTGCACAGGCGTAGGGAATTTCCTCCTAAGGGAGGTCACCACCCCTATGAAAGTAGAGATCAAGACAATTTTTTTGGTTATACATTTATATGTGTCTATGTTTTCCCCCAGGAGAACATAAGCTCCTTGAGGGCAGGACTGTTTCTCTTCTGTCTTTGTATCCCTAGCACAGTCTGGCATATTGTTGTTGTTTGGTCGTTTCAGTCACGTCTGACTTTCGTGACCCCATTTTGGGTTTCTTGGCAGAGATACAGGAGTGGTTTTCCATTTCCTTCTCCAGTTCATTTGACAGATGAGGAAACTGAGGCAAACAGGGTGAAGTGACTCTCCCAAGGTCACATAGTTAGTAAGTGTCTGAGGCTGGATTTGAACTGGGGAAGATGAATCTTCCTGATCTAAGCCCAGCAGTCTGTGCACCATGGCGCCACCTCGCTGGCCAAGCCTGGTACATAGAAGATGCTTAATAGATGCTTACTGATTGATTGATTGATTGATTGATTGAGGTGGAGCTGACCCCAAGACCCTCAGCTCATTGGCAGGGGTCACTTGGGCAACAGTGAAACGAGGTTCTCCTTGGGCTTACAATGTAATAGTATCATGGAATCTCAGCATTGATGCATAATCGGCTCATGAACCTCCAACCAACTGACCTCTAGGGCAGAAGGGTCACTTTCTCCTTTCCTCTCTTGTTATCTTAGGGCTGCTATGGATTTCAGGCTGGAATATGGTGGAGGCTGGCATGAGGCTGAGGAAGGTCAGCCAGCTGCCCTGTGTCTTGGAGATCCCCCTAGATCCCTCCGTTGCCCTTGAAAAAGAGCCACGCCTTCAGTGGCAGCATATTCAGCTTGTGGTAAGCAGTTCTGAGAGCCAGACCCTGCCCCACCAGGCCAATGGTGACACCTTCCTGTTGTATGGTAAGTGTCTCTTGACCGCCATGGGGAGAGGGACAGAGAGGGGCTTCCAATAAGGGTTCCCTGTGTCCCTGTCATGGTAGGGTGAGGACTGGAAGAGAGACAGAGAGAGAGAGAGAGAGAGAGAGAGAGAGAGAGAGAGAGAGAATGTGTGTGCCTTTGTAGGTATGATTGTGTGAACTTAGAAGTGTTGATACATATAAGTAATGGGTGAGCCTATTAGAATAGAAATTTCTAAAAGGCAGGGCCTCTTTACTGCTGTGGTCTTTGTATACCCACACTGGGAGGGAGAGAGACAACAGCAATACTAACTAGGAAGCCAGGAAGTCCTGGGTTCAAGTTTCACCTCTGATACATACTGGCTGTATGACCCTGGGCAAGTCACATCTCTCAGTGCCCTTCACAACTCTCCATCTCCACTGCTAAGTTGTAGGGAAGGGAGTAGAATGGTGGTTTTTTCATCCAGGGGCTCCCTACACTGATGAAATCTCTGGTCCAGGCCCCCTAGTGACTCCCACCCATTAAGTGCTTGGTGATTGAGTGTGAGTAGTATTTACTTCCATTCACACTTTTTTTGGGAAGAGGGGGTGTGGATCAAGACAGAGAGAATCCCCTGGGTCTAAGTTCTATCTCCCACCCAGATCCACACCAACTCTGAAAAGTATAGTCTGAGAGAACTGTCTGGAACACTTAGAGGTTAGCTGACTTGCTCAAGGTAACACAGCCAGTATACATCAGAAGCAGGATCTGAACCCAGGTCTTCCTGGCTCTGAGACCAGCTCTGTATTCAATATGCCACATTTCCTCCACCCACAGTAGGCCATTCATAAATATTTGGAATGGAATGAAATGGAATTGGAGGGAGTGAGCATGGAGGTGAGCCATTCTCTGACCCCTCACGTGTATTTGCAGACAAGGCAGGGGTCCTTCTCCCTCATGTGGACGAGGCCATGGAAAAGCTGGAGTGCAGAATGAACCACTACTTAACCGCCAACACGCAGATCATGTGGCCGGGCCTCCCTCGGCGCCAGGCCCAGCTGCCCACCTGGTACCTTGTCACTCTAAACGATGCAGACAACAAGTTCAGAATCACCACCTTCTGCTTCCAGCCTGCTGACCCTGCCCAGGGCCCTGGGCCAGCACCCCTGTCAGGTCAGCCACCCCGCGGGAGGCCAGCTATAGCCCGTCCCTGTCCCTGTCTCCGTCCCGGACGCTGCCTCTGGATTAGTCCTGACCTCTCACTTGTCTCTGTGCCCCTATCCCCACCTCCACTGACTGCCCCTGTCACTCTCCCGCTGACAACACCCATTCCTTTCCCTGCTGATACTAAGCCCCCAATGCTGCTTCTGTACCTCTCCCCCCAGGAGTGTTCTCCCTTTACACAAAGGCCTCCGACGTCCAGGTGAAGCTACAGGGGACGGTCCTCCTCAGCTGTGGATTCACCGTGGACCATACCCCCGAGGCTGAGGCTGTGGACGTGACGTGGATATTTCGGCAGAAGGGGGGATGGCATCGGGAGGTGCTAAAGTATGCTGGCAAACAGGGCCAGGTGACCCACCTTCACCAGCAGGCGGAGGCCTTCCCCAGTGAGATCCCTCGAGGAAACGCCTCCATTCGGCTCACCAACGTGGGGGTCAAGGACCAGGGCAGCTATTTCTGCTCTGTGAGCGTAGCCGGGCTCCACGGGCAGCTCAGCATCGATGTGGCTGTTGTGGGTAACTAACTCTCTCTTTCTCTTTGTTCTCTCCCCTGAGCCCGCGAGGGGGTGATGGAGGGAACTGCCCCATGACCTCAATAGTATGCATCCTCGTGATGTCCCCACCAGCCTGGTCAGGCCAGGCATTATTGTCCCCTTGTTACAGAAAAAGAAACTGAGACCCAGAAGCAGCAAATGACTTATCCAAGGTCATTTAGCTCCTTTATGAAGAAGTGTGGTGTAGTGGTCTTTCTCTCACCTGGCCTCATAGAATTTTGTACGTTTCTTATAGACTTTACTTTCTAATGTACCGTACTTATCAATGGATATGCCTTATCTGAAACCCTGCCCCCCAACACATCCCCTGAACTTGGCAATGCCCGGATAGCCCGTGTAGGTAACCTAAGTTCTGTGGCTCCCCGTGGCCTAGGGAGAATCTAATTCCATGGCTGCCAGGGTGACCTTCCCAATGGTCTAAGGGTTCTGCAGGCAGGACAAATGAACCAATCAACTGACAAGCATCTATTAAGTACCTACTGTATACCAGATAGTTGACAGGCATTTATTAAGCACCTACTATGTGCCAGGCACTAAGTGCTAGGGATACAAAGAGAGAGAGAAAACAAAGTAGCTGCTCTCAAGGAGGTCCCAGTCTCGAGCATCAGGACCCAGGAGGCGATGACAAAAATGAAACAGCACCTGACCTCAAGAGGCTTCCATTTGAATAGGGGGCTTAAGAGTAGTTTTTATGTGGGAGTTTTGGGGGAAAGGGTTCAGAATGGACCTTGGATTTAGTCCTGGTTGGAAATTTCCTCTGCCAAGGGAGATGGCCAGCTGCTCAGAATCTTAGCTTTAGAGTGGTGTCCAGGGTCTCGCAGCTGGTCAGCGCCAGAGGGGACCTTCCTTATTCTGAGGCCAGCTCTCCGATCCTTTCCCTGCCCACGACGCCCACGCCAGCACCGGTCCCCAGGAACAGCCTCCTCCTCCTCCCCTCCGTGGCCGCTAAGGTTCTGTTTTACTCTTTCCCCAGAGGCCCCCAAAGTGACGCTCAGCCCCCAGACCCCAGCCCTGACCTTGGAGGAGGGGGAGGAGCAGAAGCTGGCCTGCCACGTCAGCCGCTACTTCCCACTAGAAGCCCACGTGCAATGGCTGCGTGAGCCCATAGAAGGCCGCATGCTCCCCGAGGCGGTGAGAAATGTCATCTTCAGCAATCACCGGCAGAGCGGCGATGAAACCTACAGCTTCTCCAGCTACTTTCTGCTGACGGCCTCACGCCGGGATGATGGCGTCCGCTATACCTGCCGGGTGGAGCACGAGGGCCTGCGATTCCCCATCAGGAAAAGCATCACGATCAGGGTGACAGGTACGTGCGGTCAGCCCAGCTCTGGCATCCCCATCAACCCCCATCCCTCCTTCCCATCTCCAGGGATACCTGTCTGGGAAGGGAGGGGAAGGCGTCTCACTTCAGCCACATCTCCCCAGAGTTGTTTGTCCTTCGTTCTCAAAGAGGACCGTGACGTCAAGGAAGGTGATGTCACGACGTTCAAGTGACTTGGATTTAAGTGAGGGAGGGCTGTGCAAAGTCCCCAGCCTCACTCTCTCCTCCAGAGCCAGCTGGGTCCAGTGGCCAGACATAGATCAGGAAGACTGGAGGTGGCCCTGGATGCAGTGGGAGGTCTTTCTGAATTCTCATCAAAGTATTCCACCACCAAACCTGGCAAACAGGACATGAGATAGACAGGGTTCAGTCTCACCTTGACGTTGGATGTTGGGAAGAAGGGCAATGGGTATAGGAATGATCAGAGTAGTGAGAAATCAATTGAGGAAAGATTCCCTGAAAGAGGAAGTACGAAAGAAAACCCCAGGTGAGAACAGATCAAAGATCACAGCTATCCTTGACCTATTCCCTTTCTACCTGCCCCAACCCCACTGACCCTTCCCATCAACTATGTGATGGTGGGCAAAGAGCTTAATCTCTTGGTGCCTCAGTTTCCTTATCTGTAAAATGAAGAGGTTGGAGTAGATGGCCCTTGAGATAGGTCCCTTCTCACTCTTTCATTCCAAGCTGATGGTATATGACACTGCCGTGTCTGGCCTAGAGGTCAGATTACTAAAAGCAAAAGTGATATCGTAGGATCTTAGACCTCAGGGGCCATCAGATACAACCCTTCTCATGACCTCAGGAGATAAAGTGGCACAGATAAATGGTCACCCAAGTAGGAAGCATCGGAGGTGAGATTTGAACCCAGGTCTTTGGACTTACGAAACGGTGCTGTTTCCATTAGAAAGGAGCAATTGGCGCAGTGGATAGAGCACTGGCCCTGAAGTTAGGAGGACCTGAGTTCAAATCTGGCCTCAGACATATAATACTTCCTAGCTGTGTGACCCCGGGCAAGTCACTTAACCCCATTGCCTAGCCAATAAATAGATGAAAATAAAAGAAAATAAAATAAGGGGTCAGATCTGATGGTCTCAAAGGTCCCTTCCAGATCTAACATTCTGTAGTCTTCTATCACTGAACCACAGATAGAGCTGGAAGGGACATCAAAGGCCATTGAATTCAACTTTCCCATTTTACAGATCAGGAAATTGAGTCCCAGAGGGGTTAAGTGACTTGCCCAACCAAGTTCATATGGGTGCTGCAGCACATTGGGGATCTCCAGGTCCTCTCCCTCCAATCCAGTGTCCCAGGAAGAGCTGGGGAGCTGGGGCAGCTTGAGATGTAACTGTAATAAAAAATAGCTGGCATTTGTATTGCGGCTTAAGGTTTGTGAAGCACCTTATGTATGCTGTCTCTGATCCCCATTTTGTAGATAAGGAAACTGTGGCAGGCAGCAGTGAAGTGACTTGCCCAGGGTCACTTGCCCCAAATCCTTCTCCTCCAGCTTTCTCAGCCAGCCCTTCTTAACATGCTCAGTGGGGCTGGGGGCTGGTCTTGCTCAGGCTCCAGGCCAGCTGCTCATAGAGCTGTCCTTGTCTCTCTGCAGAAAGGTCTGGGCCGGAGTTGTGGCTTTTCCTAATCCTCTCTGTAATCCTGATAGCTCTGCTTGGGTGTCTTTTGAAGAACTGGCATCAAGGTAAAGACCAGCATTCATTTGCTGGGCTGCTCTGGGGGGAGGGGGAGGGGAATCAGCAACACTCACTGCCCCAGTTGTGTGTGGGTGTACTGCTCTTCAATCCAGTTCCATCCAGAATTGCATGGCCTCCTGGAGGGTCCATGCCCCACCCTTGTCCTATCCTTGAGCCAGCAGCCTCCCATGGAAGAGATATGTGAGGACCTTTGGGACATGTAGTAGTCTGGATCCCAAGAAATCCTTGGGTCAGTCAACAAACATTTATCAGTTGCCCACTCTAGCGTAGGCACTGGTGATGCAAGCACACAAAAAGCAGACAGACCCTGTCCTTGAGTTTACATTCTATTGGGATATACAAGTGCACAGAGCAGTAAGTAAGGATATGTACAAAAGAAGGGCCCGATGATTTGGGAAAGGGAGTGTTAACAATTTGGGGAAAGGGAAAAGTCTTTCAGGAGAAGTAGCCCTTGAGTTGAGCCTTGAAGGCAGCAGAGGGTCCCAAGAGACAGAGGTGATGAGGGAGAATAGGGGAGCACAGGGGAGAGTATCCCTTAGGTAGCTGTGGGAGGGATGGATTGGAGAGGGGAGATGCCAGGGGCAAGGACTAGCATTGGGAGTTCAACACAATCATCCAGGTGGGAGGGAATGGAGGCCTGGATCTGCATGGTTGTGGGGTCAATAGGGCCAGAGATCCTGAAGAAATGGAATCTATAAGACATGGGCCTTGATTGGATATGATGAGTGAGGGAGAAAAGAATCAAGAATGATTCTTAGACTGAAAACCCGGAAGAATGATGGCACCGTTTCAAAGGAGGGAGGTATTTAGTGAAAAAGATAATGAATCCTGCCTTGGACATGTTGAGACTGAGGCACCTATAGAACACCCAGGTGGAGATATCCAGCACGCAGTCAGAAATCCTGGGCTGGAGTTCAGCACAAAGATGAGGATTGAATATCTAGAATTGGGAGTCATCTGCATAGAGGTGATGCTTGAATCCATGGCAACTATTAATCTCAGCTAGAGTGTAGAGAAAGAATAGGAGAGCATCCAAGACTGAGCCTTGAGGGCCTCCTGTGTAAAGGAGGCAGGACGTGACTAGAAAGAAACAGTCCTAGCCTCCAAGAAAGAGGAATATCCAGTCAATCTAACTCTTTTCTTGTCTTTCTTTTTTTCTTCCAGTGAGAAGTACGGGCAAGGTAAGACCTATATCTGATTTCTATTACGTTCTTAATGGGGGATGAGTGCTGGGCTCTCACATCCTTTCTTCTGTTCTATTGCAGAGAAAGCCTTACTAGGAATTCAAAGCAGATGCTGGGAAAAGGAGAGAGAGAGAGAGACCTTTGGAAGTCAGTGGCTGAGAGCCACCCAGTGCCACATAATTAACACAGTCTTAGAACTTGGGCTGGAAAGTCCCTGAAGAAACATGGGTTCCAGCCATGCTATTGTGTGACAACAGGCAAATCACTAGACCTTTGTGAGCCAATTTTCTCATTTATACAAGGAGGATAATGAGACCTACCTCATTATGAGTACCTCAGAGGATTGTGAGGAACTGAGATAATCTATGTATAGCATTACATAAAGTGTTATCTATTGTTTAGGGTCATTGTTGATAAGCGCAAGCAAGTTAACATTCATTCGTTGAGCAAACCTTTAGTTACCAGTCTATAAAACTCTTTTCCCCATCCTGTAATTGTGTTCACCTTGGGCCAGTTTCAGACCTTATCTGCTCTGCCTTCTCGACCCTTAACGTTGTCATCTGATGTATTAATTTAACCTGCCATCTTCCCTGCTTCAGTGTTCTTCGGACTTCCAGGCCTTTCCATCTGCCTAGGCAGGAGACCTTTCAGTCTTTCTATTTGTATCACCAGCACTTGGCTCATAGTAAGTGTTTAACAAAAGCTTTTTAATTCATTCATCCATTTTTCATGTACAGACTTGCCTTGTGAACAAATCCATTCAAGCCCACACATGTGATCAATAGAACCTCATATTGGTGTCATGAAAGGTTGCTGTGATGTTGGTCACGGGCGGATCACCTCTATAGTCCACCTCAAGCCCACTCAGTGCTTGCTGCCTATTTTGCTCAGCTTGGCCCTGGGACCTGCCTCCCCACCATCTTCTAGCTTCTCAGCCTACTCTGCACCCCATGCCAATGATTACCAAAGCTTCCATTCATAACACTGTTTCTATGGCACCCACTTCTCCTTTTACGGTTGTGTCACCTAACATTGTTGTTTTTTCTGAACACCTTCTGTGGGTACCCCTGTGGTAGACTTTGTGATCTAAGCCCTTTTTAACTTTTGGTAATTGAGAATTAAAGAAAGCATGCTGTGTTGATGTCCAAAATCCATAGAATACACCCACATGCCATCTTCTCCCCCACCAGAGCCTCTTATAGCATGGTCTGTTACCTTCCCTACAGTGTAGGGAAACAGCAGAGAGAGCCCTATGGGGCAGTTGAAAGACCCATGTTCAAATTTCTCAGATATTGACTTGCTTTCTGATCCTGAGCAAGTCACTGAATTTCTGAGCCTCAGTTTCCTCATTGGTACAATGGGAATAACATTGGTATTGTAATACCTACCTCATAGGGTTGTTGTGAGGATCAAATAAAATAAGTAAAGTGTTCTGAAAAACCTCTACACAGATGTCATCTATGCTGGTACTGCTTGGATTCTGTCCCAGCTACCTTTCCCACACCCAGCATCCTCCTAGAGTTGAAGGAGGGTTACCTCTTGGCTCTTTTGTCCTAGGGACAGGGTTTGGGGCAGCCAAGTATGCATTTGGGCTGGAAAATACACCCGCATCTGTCTAGATGCAGGAAGCACCTTCTCCCCTTCCAGCCTGTCATTTGAGGGAATGGGGAAGGGGTCCACTTTGGGAAATGCTCAGGCAAAGCAAAGGCTTTGTCTTTTGCCTCTTTTTGTATCCCTGGCATTTAGCACGGTGCCCAGCACATAGTAGGTGCCTAGTAATTAGGAGTAGTAGAGAGAGCTGCAATTCTTCCTCCTACCTGAGGTAAGATGTCCACGCCCCCAGCAGGAGAGGCAGCTCTATCAGTGATCCAGGGATTACCTGATGGGTGAGTGAGGCCAGCTTCTGGGGAGAGCTGGAGCCTCTGGGGTAGACCTGGCATAATGTGACTTTTGATGTTGACACTTTCACAAAGCTGAAGGTCCTTCAGTGTACAGAGGGAAGGGGCATGCAGTCTATGTCCTCTCTGGGCATCCTGGCCAAAGCCAGACTAGGCAGGATCTCAACTTAACAAACAGTTACTGTCTCCTACAAACACAAGAAATAGTCCTGGCCCTTGTGAAGCTCATGTTCTATGAGACATGAATAATAGAGGACCTATGGATTCTTCTCTCCTCTCTCCTGGGAGCAGGACTAGGTAATGGGAGAGAAGAGGATAGACAGAGACTTGAGGCTCACATGCATGATTGCCCAGTAAAGTCTCCCTCTGGCACAGTGGGAGAGGGGTCTTCCTTCCATATACCCCATAGGCTATATGCTACCCTTCTGGGAAGGGCTACCTGCCCTAAAGGTAGTTCAAGATACTCTGTGAGTCTATACATACTTGTTCATGAGCCCCCACTGATGTGGTGGGCCTTAACACTCAGCCAGAAGACACAATTAATTTAAAGCAAAAGATGTTTAATGAAACAGTATAATAAGAAAAGTTATAGTAAAATGTTTTCCCCATAAACCTGGGGCATACTCTCCCACAAATACATGCATCATCACAGGGATGAATAGATATGCAGATATCAAGTCTGGTCATGGATGGATGCACATGTAGGGAATACTATGCTACAAGAGTAATTTTGGCCTCCAGGATTGGCCTCTGACCATTTTTGCTATCTATGTGTTAATCCCAATAAAGAATGAATTTCTGCAGCTTGTTTATAATGGAAAGCAATGCAGCTGGTCATACCATTTCTCTGCGTTACGGGTGTCTATACATCAGGGTGGTCAGAGAGAGGAGAGCTCCAGTCAGTGCAGATGGAGACAGATTAGGAAATGGTGCTGAACACATGGTTTGTACCCACCAACTGCTCCTGGCTGCCAGGCACAGCCTCCCTGGGCACATGGCTGGGGAGTTTCTGTGAGTGTTTGCTGAAGGCTTTGGCTATGGGATCAGGTCTTTCTCATGAGAAGAATTAGTGCTACCCTGTCGAACTTTTCTAGAACAATCAAGTCTTTGCCTTAGCCATAATAACAGAAATACTCCCTCTTTTGAAGCCAGCAAAAACCAAAGCCTTCTCGGCTTGCTCTCACAAGCAGTGAGCTCTCTCTTTCAGTCAGTTCCATCTACAAAGCTTTTCAGCCCAGTGGGAGATTTGCCCCAGGAACCAAGAACAAAGCACAGAGACTTCCCTGACAAAACCTCTCAAACTTGATCTTTCAAATTGAGCTTCCTAGCGTAGGGTCTGAGTGTCTCCTGTCAGAGACCTCCGCTTTGATCATGGTGAGCAGCCCCTACGCCTCCCAAATTTTATCTTTGAAAACTAGAGTACACCTAGTCATCATTCATGCTGGGGCTTTTCACCCAACACTGCCAAGGGCGGCTAGGTGGTACAATGGACAGAGCACTGGGCCCAGAGTCAGGAAGACTTGAGTTCAAATTCAGCCTTAAACACTTGTGGAACTCTGGGCAAATCACTTCGCTTTTGTCTGCCTTAGTTTCCTCATCTGTAAAATGGGGATTATGATAATCCCTACCTCCCAGTATTGTGAGATAATGAGATAAATTGTAAATCAAGTGAGATAAATGGCAAAGCGTTTAGTCCAGTGCCAGGGGCACATACTAAGCATTCTATAAATGTTGCCATTATTATTACTCTCAACTCTGAAAGCTGAACTCCGAAACCTCCCCTGTGTAGGTTGTTGATGTTTGTCCTTCATTTTCTTTTTTTTTTTTTGGCAATGGGGTGAAGTGAGTTGCCCAAGGTCACACAGCTAGTAAGTGTCAAGTGTCTGAGGTCATATTAGAACTCAGGCCCTCCTGACTCCAGGGCTGGTGCTCTATCCACTGCACCACCTAGCTGCCCCTGTCCATTTTCAAAGAGGACCAATGACATCAGGGGCTGATGTCTTGACTTGCACGCGAATTGGATTTAAGTGAGGCAGAGTTGCACAAAGTTGTCAGCCTTCCAGAGATATCAGTTAAGTGACTGGGGCTGGGGGAGGGAGCTGAGGAGGGGACTTGGGGGGAACTGTGGAGAGACTGAGACAGAAGAGAGGGGGAGATTCAGGGGAAAGGATGGGAAGATGAGAGCGAATTTGTAGAGAAGTTCCGGGATCTTCGGCACCTAGAGCAGATGGAGCGCTGGGCCTGGAGTTAGGAGGACCTGAGTTCAACTAGGAACTCAGACTCTGACTGGCTGTGTGACCCAGGGTAAGTCACTCCACCTGTTTGCCTCAGTTTCCACAACTGCAAAACAAGGATCATAATAGCACCTATCTTTCAGGGTTGCTGGGAGGATGAAATGAGGGAATGTTGCTCAGGTTGGATTACATCGTAGGCTCATGGTCGATGAGCATTTATTTATTAATAATGGCTAGCATAGCGCTTTACAAGTATTATCTCATTTCATCCTCACAACAACTCTGGGAAGTGGGTGCTATTATGATCCCCATTTTACAGATGAGGAAACTGAGGCCAACTGAAGTTAAGTGACTTGCCTGGGGAGGTCACCCAGCTAGTGTTTGAGGAAGGATTGGAACTCTGATCTTCCTGACCCAGGCCCAGTGCTCTGTGCACTGTGGCGCCACCTAGTGGCTACCGACCATATAACACTTACTTACTAAGACCTGGGGATCATAGATTTAGAGCTGGAAGGAACCTTCTGGGTCATCATGTTCAGCCCTCTTATTTTACAGATAGGGAAACTGAGGCTCAAAGATGTTAAGAGTACCTGAAAGGCCATCAAGTCCAACTCCTTCATCTTACAGATGAGGAAACTGAGGCCTAGAGAGATCAAGAGGACCTGGGGTCTCTTCTAACTTCAAGATTTTAAAATTTGCAATTCTACCGAGAAGGCAGCTGGGTGGCACAGGGGATAGAGTGCCAGCCTTGGAGTCAGGAGGGCCCGAGTTCAAATCCTGCCTCAGACATTTACTAGCTGTGTGACCCTGAGCAAGTCACTGAACTCTATTTGCCTCACTTTCCTCATCTGTAAAATGAGCTGCAGAAGGAAATGGCAAACCCCTCCATCATCTTTGCCAAGAAAACCCAAAGTGCTGTGTGACCCTGGGCAAGTCATTTTCCCTCAGTTTCCTTCTCTGTAGAAAGAGTGGTGGCCTCTAAGGTCCCTTCCAGATATAAGTCGAGTATCCAATAAATGATAAATCTCTCTGAGCCTCAGTTTCCTCAGCTGTAAAGTGAAGATGCTGAATTTGATGGTGTGAGATTCTTTTCAGCTCTTTAACTATAAAATGGGTATAAATGAGGTCATATATATTTTGATGGAGTTGAGATAGAAACAGCCCCGTGACAAGTCACGACCCTGTTATTATTCTATCTCAATGTTCTTGGGGGACCAGTGCACAGATGGGGGACGATGTTTTTTGTAATTGAGTAAAAGTACTGGTGCATAATCTGTTAAGTATTTCTGTGACAACTCCAAGAGTTAGCAGGACGATGGCAATGATTATCTCTCAGCCTCTTTTCTCAAGAGTTGTGCGTGAGCCCTGGGCCTGGAGTCAGGAAAACCTGAGTTCAAATCCTGCCTCAGATACTTACCAACTGTGTGACTCGAGACCAGTCAATTAACAGCTGTTTGCCTCGGTTTCCCCATCTGTAAAATGGGGATAATAGCAGCATCTACCTCCCAAGGTTTTTGCAAGCCTCAAATGAGGTGATAACTGTAAAGGGCCTAGCCCAGTGCCTGGCACATAGTAAGTGCCAAATAAATGCTAGCTATTATTGTTGTTGTTGTCATCATTAACCAATGAGCATTTCGTAAGCACCCACTATGTGCCAGGCACCATGCCAGGTGATAAGGGGTGGGACCAATGGCAAAAATGAAACAGTTCCTACTCTCAAGGAATTTATGTTCTAACAGGGGAGAAATTATTATCATTATTGTTTACATTGAAAGGTGGACCTGCTTTCTGTAACGTGATTTTTGCCTTTTGTTGACTATCGGTAGCACCCAGCCAGCATCAGCAGTTGTGCCTAGATCTAAGTCCCAAAGCTGAGCTGAGGGAATGTGGCTTGAAAGATGGTGTGAAGGGGGTGAATTTCATTCAGGGAGGGCTACCTGTAAATGGGGAGTCTCTTGACTTTTAAAAAAAGTGGAGGCGGAGAGAGGACAGTCCAGACTGGATGGGTCAGGAGGTCCGAGGCAGTGGTCCCACCCAGAGAAATCTCATACACTGATGGACACAAAATATGTTATTTATTGTGAATTTCTGCAAAGACACATCTAAGCAACAAAATATACATTTGTGAACCTTTTAGAATTTGTTTTATACATTAACCAATACACCATGTTACCGTAGCAATAAATTAAATGTACACTATTTACAGGGCATAGATAATCAGACTCTACGAAGCACCTCTCTGCTCTAAAAAGGAAAAAGGGACGTGACAATCACCACCGCTGTCAGAGCTGAGCTTGGCTCTGAGATTGCATCACTCCTAGGAACTCTCTTCACAGGTGAACATTGCTGCACTTGAGGGGGCGTCACAAAACTACATTCATGAAAAAGAAAAAGTAGGATCTTCAACCATGCTAGGAGATAAGCGAGAGGAATGGAAAGGGACAGGTTTATTCATTCAAGCAGAAAACAAAGTCCAGCAAAGTGGAACGTCACAAAAGAAAGGGATCGATGAGAATTCATTTCCTCTTGAGCTCCTCTACACCCCACTGGAGCTGCCCAGGCTAGACACAAAGCAGGAAGCCAAGTACCCTCCTTCTAGGGCCATCTTGTCCTTGTCTGCTATGCTCCACTCCCCTTGACCGATACTTCTGTGGCCTAGCCCATCTCTCCTCCCAGGGGGATGGATATTCCAGTGACATACACAGTAGTTTATAAGACCAATCTCACCAGCATGGCGTATCTTCCTTAGGACTTGGAGGAGAAAAGAATGGAACGAGAGCTTGGGCAGGGCCCAGAACTGGCCCTGAGTGCCCAGTAATCTTTCTTCTACTTCAGAGTAATTCCTGGAAAGTCCTGCCCTTGGCAAATACTAACTCACCACCACCCCAGGCAATTAGAGGAAGGCCATTCCTTTGGTCTATATCATTTGAAGGCCTACTTCTGTGAGCCTTGCCCTTCCCCCCCAAACACTTCCCAGTTCTCTAGGCCTGATCTTTATGGATGTAGGAATGTAATAAATAGATGTTTACTTCTGCATGGTCCTTGGGGCAACACCTAAATGAACTGATGTATGCCCTACCATGAAATCTAGCATCCCAGTCTACTCATTGGGGGAATGAGGTGGTGGGATAGTACGGGATAGGAAAGATACTACTTTTTTTTGACACTACTCCTTTGCTATTTGCCAAGAGGGAACTGGGGTGTGTTTAAACTATCTTGTTTTTGGCCCCGGCCCCAACTCCTACCAAAGGCTTGGGGTTGGTGAGCTAATGTGAGCTCTGTGACTAAAACGAATCAAGGATCTAGCTGGCCGTCTGGACATTTCATTTTCTTGGTGGGCTCAAAGTCCTAGGAAGTCTTTGCTAGAGAAAATCAACAAATTCTCCCTCCAATTCCATCTTCTTCAACTCAACACTGATCAAGCATTTACTGTGTTACTTATCTGGGGCCAAGTCCTACACCACCTAAGAAAGTGGGACTTTCACATCCCTGACTCAGGCACCAACCTTGAGACCCCAACTTATTCACTTTGGTAGAATCCAAGGACACAGTTATTGCTGTTCATTCAAACTAATGGCGGTGGGGATGCAATGGGGATGGTGGTGGTGGTGAGCCTATGGAAAGAGCACTTGACTGGGATCTGAGACCTGGTGTCTAGTCCCAACTCGGTGGCAACGTGACCGTGGGTGAATCAATTCATGCCTCTGGGCCTCAGCTTATCTCCTCCGTAAGGTGACGGAGTAGGATCAGGTGGTCTCCTGATTTCTAGGATTCTGAAGCCTGTCTAAAATAGCAACAAGCCTGACTACTCCAAAGGAAGGCTGCCTTCTCCCTTTGCAAGCATAAACAGTCATTCTAGCTGACCTAAGGTTTACCAGGAAAGGTTCTGCTGGGGCCACTTTAATGAATGGTGAAGAAATCAGCTTGTCTTATTGAGTTAATCAGTATCGTGAGCAGTCAGGTGCCGCCAACGTACCTGAAAACACTCGATTTCCTCAAGCAGATGAAATCTTCCCCGATCCCTACCACTAGCTTTAAGTCTACCTGGCAAACACTTTCTTCATAGACGGCACAGAGGCAAACTTCTCAAACTCCCAATGAGAACCATCCAAACGAACAAAACCGAGCACTAATAACCAGCAGAGTTATGCTAGGTCTCCACTCCTCACACATAAGGTCAGTAAGCCCAAAGAGCAGCGCCAAAGGCCAAGAGTCCAGGAGAAGGGCATGATCATCCTATAGATGCTCTCAGGGACCCCAAGGCCCCCATCAGTAGAAAATACTGTGCTGTCGAGTCTTTTAGATCGTTTAAAAGCCAAGTTTGGATTGCAGTATTGTACACAAATTTGAAATCCAGAGGCACAAGGAAGAACCTTGTTCCTGGCCTTGTTTTCTTCCTTCTCTTGGGCACCGGCGACACAGATGGGCAGATAATATTCACTCTTTAAGCCAACTGGGTAAGTATTTACAGGAGGCTGGGTCTCCGTGCCAGACCCGAAGGGAGGGAGGGCTATTTCAGAAGCTACTAAAGCCAACATATAAGGAAATGAGAATTCAAGGCTTCTGGTCTACTCTCACCAAACTCCACCTCCGAGGAACGGCAAAGAAGATGGACAGCTGCCTGCCTGGAGGTGGGCTGAGTGGGTCAGAGCCAGATGGGGGTGGTACGAGGAGATGGGGCCTGATGCTCCGAGGGCTGGGGGAGACACATTACAACCTGAAAAGGCAATCACCCCAAACCATGATTAAAGGCACTGCTGCTTCCAGGCGGATGGAAGCCGCTACAGTCAAAACTTACTTATTTGACCAACGTGGGTAGGGGATGGAACAGGACGGGGGGAAGAAGGCTCAGGCTGAATTAGTGACAAGTGAAAAGAAATAGATAATATTCTGCAACTAAACATTGTTTATGACTTTCAAGGACAGACAGACACAACGAAAAGTGTGGCCAAGTCCCACCTGACCTGTTTGAAGACAAGAATCATACGTAATAATCACATTGCTTATGTACAAATGGGTGCTGCCAAAGAAAATTTTAAGAGCACCTGACTGGGCCAACTTTTGAGAAAAGTTCTTTATAAGAGCAATCTTATTTAGGCTAAACTTATTTAGAATAAACTCCTCTCCTTACAGGTAGTGTGTCGACGGGCAGGATGGGAAAGGGGAAAGAGGACCGGCCGGGGGTGGGGGAGCAGGGGAAGAGCCTGGATCATCATCCCAGCTCTGATACTAAGTGACCTTGAGCAAATTATTTCCACAAATCGCTCAAACTGTCTTGAGCAAAAGAAACCTCAGTTTCCTCATCTTTCAAAAGATGGGATTACAGCATGTAGCGTTGAAGCTCTCTTCTAACAAAAAAAAAAAAAAAAGGACCCTAGCCTACTTTTGAATTATTACAAATTCCAAATCGATGGGGTCCTTGTTTCTAAAACATATCATGGTGAAATCAGCAGGAAATTATACTGTTGCTCAGGAAAAAGGAAAGCTGTCCACTTCAATTTGGGTGAGGAAAACAGACCCGGAGGTATGTTGCATATGAATTGTTTGATTGGAATTAAGTGCCTCTGATCCATTCCTTAAAGCAGTTTGAGTAAGAGGTCTCCTAGTGATAGAGGTCTTTGTTAGGGAAGATCTTGGAGGTCGCTGGCATGTGGACCCCAAGATGCCCATCACTAGAAGCTTCTGGACCTCATTAAATCGTTTGAGAGTCTGGTTAGAAGTAGACTATTTTGAAATTCAGAGGCAATGCACATTTTGGCCAGGACTTTGGGTAGGTGGGTATCCTTGAAGGCAATGAGGTTGCACTTCCTCAAAGGTGTTAGCTATCTCAGACTCTAAAATCCAATTACAAATTCAGCCTCCATCTGCACCAAGGCCGTTCGTGGCAGCATCATGGGACGTGAGTCAGAGGGCCTCACACCGCACCAAATTTGTGTTTGGTTCAAATCTCAAGAAAGCACGCATTTTCTGATTGAGAGGATGGACTGAGTGTGGTCAGAGGGGGGACACCCCTTATGAATCAGGCTGGTCCATAAGGAGGTGGGGTCCCTGGACCTAGAAGGAATAAGGGAAAATGGCCTGCGGTGGCATGGGGCCAATGCCACGTCTGTGCGCTTCTGCCCAGGCATGGGAACTCCCTTGGGATTAGCAGAAGTCCATGGGCAGTAATCCCATCGATGGACAGCAGGTAGTACAGGGTGTGGAAGGGCGGGACAGGAAAAGGGGAAGGGGTCTCAGGCACAGACCCTGGGAATGAAGTATGCCTTGGCCACGATGGCACACCAGGGTACTTTCTATAGAATCTCGCATGTGGGGCTGACTTTTGCCCTTAATATTTTGGAAAGTCTGAGATTAAGTTGATAGGGGAACCTTCAGCCTACCTCCTGTGCGTGCTACTCAGTTCTCGTTGTCCAGATCTCTAAGACATGAAAGCATCCGTTGGGCCCTGGTGTAATGGAAAGTCAGGCTCTGGGGGAGGAACAGATTCAGATTCTACCTTTGAAGCTTACTACCTTTGTGACCTTAAATAAGTCACTTTGCTTCCACAGGCCTCAGTTTCCTAATCTGTAAAATGAGAGATTAGACAGTCTCTGAGTTTCCTTTGCCTGCTTTGGATCTATGATCCCATGAGCTACATCTGGTCTTGCGATTTCCAGCTCTCAGTACCAAAGCCCAGGTGAGGGGAGCGGGTGAACACTACGGCATACCCCTAGTGGACTCCAAATGTGAGCAGAAGCCTGTATTTGGGTCTGGGTCTCACAGCCTTGGCACACTTCTATCTCCTCTCTTGGAATGTGCTGACTAATGACCATCTATACAATCTCTCCTAGGCCCTCCTTGACCCTGCACTTGGCCTCTGATCACTTACAAGGAGCTCCCCATCGGAGCTAGGGAGGAGGATGGGAAAGGGAGTCCCCTTCCAGCAGCCATGGAAAGTGACCTGTGGTCTGAATGAAGAGAGGTAGGGCCAGAGAGACGTCTGACTTTGGACACGGAAGGATGCAGACAATCCACATCAATGAACATCTCTGCTCACGGGGCTGAGCAGGTTCACTGGGACCTTGGGAGAAGCTGATGGGAGCAGGGGACAGATTTTTTTCCCTAGCAAATGCTTAATAAATGCTGGAGTAACAAATGAATGCTTTGGGAAGCCCATTGGGACGAGGCATGGGATGGCCTGACTGGTCCTGGTGCATTTTGCCAGAACCCTCCCAAACTTGGTTTCTGGGAGGAAGATGGCAATCACTAGAAGAGTGGAAATCCTACCTAGAGACACCTTCCCAGCCACGGAAGATGTCCAGGGCAGCTTCAGTCGAGACATGATGGTGTAACTCGCAGGAGCCTCAAACAGACCACTGACCTTCAAAGCATCCCCTCCCTTTCCTGCGCTCGCTGTCAGTGAGGCCGAAAGGTTTGCTTCTGGCTTTCCTGGCTCCAGTCTCATTCCTTTTCTGTCTCTTTCTCTCATTCTCCTCAAGCCCATTCCCAAAAGGAGCATCTGAAGGAGCCTCTCACCCCCTTAACGGAGACTGCTCCCTGAAAGAGATATGGACGTTCGGGGCCCTGCCAACCTAAGTCTTGGGCCTTCCTAGCACTTTATAATGGAATTTTGATCAGGGAAAGGAGAAGGAAGCCTGCCTGTGGACAGAGGGCTAATTAGTAACTTAGCTATTCATGGACTAATCAGGCTGGGAACCCAAAGCCTGACCTCTGCCCACCATTCACAGAACCAAGATGGAGACGTACCATGGTGGGGACCAGAGGGGACGGGGTGATAGGGGAGGAAGCTTAGGGCACAGAGACCTTTTGTTGGCCGTGCTCACGTGTAGGAGAGAGCACGGATGCACACACAGCATTGGCCAGAGGCCCAGCTGTGGCACAGTCCGGGAGGACACAAAATGAATCAACAAAGACACCTATGGGCGTGGGCCCTGAGGGGCTGGGTGCAGCATGTCCAGTGTATGCTACATGGCACAAGAAGCTTCCTCTCAGAAAGGCAGGAGGTGTGCCCGCCAGGCACGCCACCACAGGGAACGTCAGGAAAGGTGATAGGGTTACACAGGGTGCTGAGTGGAAGGCTGGCCTCAGCTTGAAGCCAGTGGCGCGGGGACACCAGGCATGGGAGCAGCTTCAGGGATTAGTGTAGTGGACAGATGTTCCCAAGGTCTTGGTGGAAGAGGAGCCATCTCCCTGGGCTGAGGCAGGACTGCCCTGAAGGAGACAAACACAGAAGATGGAGAATATTAGCAATAGGGCTGGGTGATGGCATCCATTCAGAGCCACAGGACGGGGGCAGAAAAGATGCTTGTCAAGTGTTAAGGAAATGATGTTCATTCCCCTGTCCCCTTCCCAGAAAACCCAATCCACATTTAAGCCCTCTGGGGACAGGGACTGCCTAGCACAGTGCCTGGCATATAGCAGGTGCTTAATAAATGCTCGCTGTGTGATTGGCAGGGACTGTTTCATTTTTGTCTTTGTGTCTGAGACTCAACACCAAGTCTAGCACATAGTAGATACTCGATCAAATTAATTCAAACAATCAGTCATACAGAATGTAAGCTTCTCCCAGGCCAGGGGATTTTTGTCTCTGTGTCCTTAGAGCCTAGCACAGTGCCAAGCACATAGTTGGTGCTTAATAAGTGCTTATCAATTGCTTGAATGATCGAATCAACAAACAGATATGGTATAATATTTGTAAAGTGCTTAATGGTGCCTGGCATGCAGTAGGTACTTAATAAACGCTTGTTCCCTTCTTTTTCCCTTCCCATATATTAAATCCCTACTATGTGCCCAGCACTGTGCTAGGCATTAAGGATACAGAAGCAAAAGTAAAATGACCCCTGCTTCAAGGAGCTTATCATATTCATCTATATGACTAGTGGATTGTTGGAATTCACTTTAATTCAATAAGCATTTATTAACTCTCTCCTCTTGTACCCAAATGCAGTCTACTCCCTGGCCTGGCCCCAAACCTGGCAGCTTCAGGGAAAAGAGGATCTGGATTCTGGCCCACTGAATCCTGTCTCCAAACTTCCCAGGCTGACGGAGCCCAGAGCTGGCTGGCTTTTTCGGGATGGCCTTTACAAAGTCAATGTGAAGGTCAGAAAGGGGACAGAAAAGAGAGGCCCTGTCCCACTGGGCTCCAAGGGGCACTATCCCTCTACTCCCCTTTGTCAGGTGAAGGGCTTCTCTTCCCCACTAGTGACCCTGCTCCAGGATAAAATCAGAACAAAGACTTCACATGATCATCAATCAATCGATTGGCAATACAAAAAGCATTTCTCACCCACCGTGTGCCAGGCATTGTGCAAAGACAAAGGGGAATAGCACAAAGGGTCTGCTGTTGACACACTTCTCTGAGGGAAGGAGGCAAGAAGGGAGGCCCGAGGAGACCCCCGATGTCAGATAATGAAAGGTTGTTTGCCCTTGAATTGGCTTTCCAGCATTCTAAAGCATGGGGTATTTGATGCTCAAAAATAATGGCATCCCGTTAAGAAGACTTGACCTTGGGAAAACTTCCACTTACTGGCCACACTCATTCTTTTTCCATTATGCAATGCTGGAAACAGACAACGTCACTTCTCAGACTGAAGCTCAAAATTTTTCTGGTTTAATGGGAAATAGGTAAGTATTTAGTGGCAAAAAAGACTTTCATCTTTGCTGAGTTATGGGCTGAGCATCAAAGTAAGGGTAAATGGAGATCAGAAATCAGAAATCTAGAATCATTGGATCCAATTCCTTCATTTTACAAATGAGGAAACTGAGGCTGAGGGAAATAAAGTGACCTGTCCAGAACAAGATAATAAATACATACAGAATTCGGTAGCTTGTCAGGGGGCATCAAGCAAAATTTTACAAGGGGGACCTCACATGGTAGACCCACAATACCCTCACCTACACCAATGGAATAATGATTGCTAACATTTCTTTATGGTTTGCAAAGAGTATATATTGTCTCATCTGGTCATCACAACAGCCCTATGAGGCAGGTGCTATTATTATCCCCATTTTACTGATGTAGAAACATAGAGAGACTTAGTGACTTGCCCAGGGTCACACAGCTAGTAAGTATGAGTCAAGATTTGAACTCAGGTTTTAAAAATGTCAAGTCCATTCCTCTATCCATTATGCTATACCGATGAGCAGGTGCTAACCAGCAATAACAACTACCTGAAAGTGAAGTTTGGCCCAAAGCAGATAAAGGGATAGCCAACCTCCAGGTGCTCAACCCAGGATCCAGGAATTCTAGTTTTTAAAAATATTTTGGTAACTATATTTCTGTGTGATCGGCTTCTTCAGTAATCTTGTGTATTTTATTTTATGCATTTAAAAATGTTGCTTCAGAAGGGGTCCATAGACTTCTAGGTGGCTTTGTAGATAATGTGTGGGGCTGAGACACTTACTAGCTATATGACCCTGGGCAAGTCACTTGACCCTGTTTGCCTCTGTTTCCTCACCTGTAAAATGAGCTGGACTCACCTTCGTGAGTTCAAATCTGGTCTCAGACACTTGCTAGCTGTGTGACCCTGGGCAAGTCCCTTAACCCTGTTTGTCTCAGTTTCCTCATCCATAAAATGAGCTGGTGAAGGAAATGGCAAACCACTCCAGTATCTTTGTCAAGAAAACCCCAAAGGGGATCACGAAGAGTTAGACAGGACTGAGACAATTGAACAACAAAACCATAGGCTTCACGGGACTGCCATAGGAGTCAGCGATACAGAAAAGGTTGGACCCATGTTCTAGAAGACCATAGGGAGTTGGTCTTGCATTTTGTATATGGATAGGTGGGTTCTCCATTTGAATATGGGAGGGGGCCTCTGATCCACCGGGGACTCAAAAGAAATAGTCTTACTAGGAGGCTTTGACACAGAAGAAAGGGCTGTAGGATCTCCAGTTGGACAGTAGAGGCCTCCCTCCTCCCAGCCTTCCAAGCCCATTCCTTCCTACTCCGCTGACTTCTCTGCCAGGGCAGGGCACATCTCCAAATTGGAAAAAAGGGGCAGATTTTGCTTTTGCTCGCCTCCTCATCTCTAGACCTCTACCCCTGCTCCCATTCATATGGAACGCTCTCAGCCGGGCTTAGTCCTAGCTACAGTGACAGCTGATAACTGATACGGCCACAGCCAGTAAGTGTATGGAGTTTTCCCAGGGGGCTCCTGATGACCCTGAGTCTTGAAGAGTCAAAGCAATGAACCTTGACTGGTTGCATTTCAGGCATTCCGGGCCCAAAAGACCCTGAGAGGCACCCCTCAAATCAGATCTCGTACACTCCTTGCATGAATGAGACGCTCTCTGAGGCTCCCCTGGCCCCCAACCCCTAGGAACCCCAACCCCCACACTCCAGAGCCTCCTTCATACCGAGCTGGAACTGGTGTGGCTGAGCTTATCAAAGCGGAACTTCAGATTGGACCTCGGAGAGTTCCTGTTCTTCAAGTCTAGGAGAAACAGCCAGGGAAAAGATTAGGAAGGGGAGGCATTTTGATCAATCAGTCAATCAATGAACATTTATTAAGCACTTACTGAGTACCAGAGATGCAGCTAGGGGTCACCATAGTGCACAGAGTGCCAGGCCTGGAGTCAGGAAGACTCATCTTCCTGAGTTCAAATCTAGCTTCAGACACTTAGGAGCTGTGTGACCCTGGGCAAGTCACTTCACCCTGTTTGCCTCAGTTTCCTCATCCATAAAATGAGCTGGAGAAGGAAACAGCAAACCACTCCAGTATCTTTGCCAAGAAAACCCCAAAGGGGGTCACAAAGAGTCAGACAGGACTGAAAAGCAGGGACAGCAACAAATGCCAGGTATTATGCTAGGCTCTGGGCGTATGAAGACAAAAGTGAAACAATTCCTGCCCTCAAGGACCATATGTTCACAGAGATGTGACTACAGGATACAGATGAAAAAGATACACAGTGATGGGATCCCAGGTGGCATAATAACAACTAGGGGAATCCTGGAAGGCTTCTTGTAGGAGGTTGTCCTTGAGCTGAGCTTTGAAGGGGGCTTAGTGTTCCAAGAAGCAGAGACAGAGAACAAATTTGTTGCTTTGTCTCCATCATCTTTTTTTAAATGTGTTTTTGGCTCCCCAACAAGACACCCATAAATGTTCTGAGAGCCTTGAGTGTGTCTCATGTTTCTGTTGCATTTTTGCATGTAGGCAGAGTAGACAGAGAATTGGGCTGTCTCACACAATTACTATCTGTGGGACCCTGGGCAAATTACTAAAACTCTATTTGCCTCAATTTCCTCAACTATAAAATGGGGACAATAACGGTACCTACCTCTCAGTGTTGTCAAGCTCAAATAATATAATATTTATAAAAAGTGCTTAGCACAGTGCCTGACACATAATAGGCACATGTTGTTATTCAGTAATTTTTCTGTCATGTCTGACTCTTCATGACCCCATGTGGGTTTTTTGGGGTGCTTTTCTTTGTTTTTGTTTTTGTTTTTTTTTGGCAAAGATACTGGAGTGGTTCGTCATTTCCTTCTCCAGCCCAAATGAGGAAATGCAGGCAAACAGGGTGAAGTGACGTGCACAGGGTCACACAGCTAGGAAGTGTCTGAGGGTGGATTTGAACTCAGATCTTCCTGACTGCAGGCCTGGCGCTTTATCTACTGTGCCCCCTCGCTGCCCAGGTAGGCCCTATATAAATGCTTATTTCTTTTTCCCTTTACCTTCACCTGTGTATAGCCCAAAGCTCTGTATCCAGCCATGACCCAGTCAGTTGTTGGTGATGAGAGGGTCAGTGGATTTTTTGGTCCTGGTTTGCCCATGGCTAGGGAAGGGTAAGTGCCAACCTGGACCAGCACTCAGCTCACAGTCTTGGGGCCTGGTCTTTCAAGCGTTGCAAGGAAAATTGAGACTGTCACCAGACAGCTTAGCATGCCTCATCTATCTAGGTGCTTCTGAGCCTTGGCTGACTTCCTGGTATGACTGAGGTATTTACTGTCTGACCCTTGTCATGTACAACACTGAACAGAAAATGCTTCAGTCTTGGGAGCATCAGCCCTCAGTGGGATGAGTCCAAGCAAGACCCTAAAAAGCAAATGACTCTGAAAGTGAGATTACACATGTGACTTGGGACCTGATTGGCCCTGAAATTTCCTGGTTACCTTGGCCAAAAATTCTCCTGACGTGCAAAGCACCTGACACATTACTTATCACCCTCACCTCACAATTCATCACATACTACTCTCTACTGTTACCTAATTTTTCCTAGTTAGCCCGGGAGCTCACAGAAGGCAAATGCTCCATCTTTTCGGCATCTCCTACACGTGGTATCTAGTACCTGGCTGGGCACACATTCAACACTGAACCAATGTTTGCTGTTTACACTCACTGGAGGTCTTTGAGCTCTCCTGTTGAACGTGTTGCATGAAGATTCATATTCAATGGTCCATGGGTTGGACTTGAAGACTCTATCATCCATTCTATTATCATCGTCATTATCACATTATGGCTGATTTCTTGCCAAGCTGCTAGAAGGGATGGCCAATTGAAGGGACTGGGAAATACTCTGCAGAGGAAGTGTGCTATGGGGTATATGTGTCAACCATGGTACAAGAAGCCCCATAGAATGTAAACTCCTCAAAGGCAGGCAGACTTTGCTGTTTTTGTCTGTGTCCTCCATGCCTTGTAGTCAGCTGGGACTTAGTAAATGCTTGTTGAATGAAAGCTAATTAAGCATTTCACTGTTGGTCCCCAGAATGATGGCGAGTTCTCTGTATTCAATGACCCACTCCCCAGCCAATCAAACAGCTGTCTGCTCTCATTGTCTCCCTAGCGACAGGATGCCTACCCTGAGCTCTCCGCATTCTTCTGCCTTGTTTGGGATAGGATGCTTCACTAAGGAGGAGGCTAGGTGGAGCTGGGGATGCCATCTGTGGCTGAGAAACAGCACAAAATCACTGATCCACATGGGCATCAGACCTGCTACCTCAACCACCGTGGTGCTGTGGTCTAACCGACCAAACTGGGCAGCGCTGTTGATGGACAACCACAAAATGCAGGGGCCAAGGGAGGAGGTGGGGCTGCTTCCTTGCACTCTCCCACACCTGAAATCTCAGACGCTCATGGGATGTCAGAGCTGGAAGAGTGAGGGTTGGAGACAAAGGTGACTCGGGATTATTTAGGTGCATTGGACCACAGATCTAGAGAGGGAAGGATCTCAGAGGCTGCCGACGCTAGCGCCATCTTGGTTTTTTGTTTGTTTTGTTTTCGACACTGGGTCTTCCTATCTCACCCAGGCTCGTATTGCCCTGGTCACTCTTGGGCTTAATCCCACTGAAAAGTGTGGAAGCTTTGTCCTGCTCCACATGTGACCTTGGGGAGCCCGGTGTCCCCTTGCTCCTGGTGACTTATCATACTGGTGCCAGCCTTAGTGGAGACGTCCAACTGACATTCACCCTATTACAATTCAGAACTCTGGAGCTCAAGTGATCCCAGCAGCCTCAGCCTGCCTAGTATTAGGGATTATGGGTGTCTGGTACCATGCTGGGTCAACTTCCTCACTTTACAGAAAAGGAAACTGAGTTCCAGAGGAATGAAGTAATTTCTCCATACTGCCTCAGGTGGGATTTAGAGATGGAAGGGACCTTGGAGGTGGCCCATCCACCCTCTCTCTTCCTCCTTTTGCAGAGGGGGAAACTGAGATCCAGAGGAGTTAGCAGACTCAGTCAAGATGTTGGTTACTGCTGTTGAGTCACATCCAATACTAGAGTGGTTTGCCATTTGCCATTTTCTTCTCTGGCTCATTTTACAGATGAGGCAACTGAGCAAACAGAGTGAAGTGACTTGCTCAGGGTCACACAGCTAGTAAAGGTCTGAGGCTAGATTTGAATTCAGTTCTTCCTGGCTCCAGGCCCAGCGCTCTATCTGCTGAGCCACCGAGCTACCGGGCAAAGGCAAGTCCTCTGATTCCACATAAAGCAGACTTCCCCACTGCACCGCCCAACTCTACCGGATTCTATGGCTGAGCCTCCCTCTCCACCAGAGATCTCCTAACAATGCCCATCAGGGTGACAGTGGGAGCCACAGGGAAGCAGTGGTGCCCACTGCTGCATTCCATAGTCACACAGTGACTGCCACAGAAGTCACAGTTTGCCCCGAACCCCCCCATCTCAGAGTTGTGCTCCAACCCAAGCCCCGCTCTCCTGCTCTACCAGGCTGCCACTGGCAGGACAAGAGCAGATGTTATCAGCCACAGTGAAGGGGGTCTCCCGACGGGCTACCCTGGGCCACCCCATCCTGGACATCACTGACCTGTCGGACTCCGGCTCATGATAACGGGGGTTGCTGCTGCTACTAGGCTGGGGCTCTCGATGTTCAGGGACGGGCTGTAGACAAAGACTTCCTGCTTGAAGGGTGAAGCTGTGGAGGGCTGGCTGCTCTGGGTGGGAGAGAGACGGGGTAAGAGGATGGACAGCTGGATGGTGTTCTACATTCACCCCCAAGCCCCGTATCATATCTCCCCTCCCCCAACCACTCCTCCAACTTGGTCCTGATGAAGCTTCCCATACAGGTGGGTCTAGAGACATCCACCTCCTCCCTGACCTGCCTCGGCCAATCCCCTCCCCAGCCAGATCCCAGGAGAGCAGAGCCCCTGACTCCTCGTAGCAGTGAGGGCCAGGGACCGAACTCCCTTCACCGATACAGGCCAGCCCTCGGCATACAGCTTACAGGCTTAGAGCCCTGCCTAGGGACGGAGCGGTTAAACGCGTCGGCGCTTTCTGTCAACAGAATGGAGACCTCTCGAGAGCAGCGAATGCCTCATCCCTGCTACCTGTATTCCTGGCGCCCAGCATATGGTATGGGTTTAATAAACACTTGTGGATTGATTAGCTTCAAGCCCGCCATTCCAGCCATGAAAATAGACTGCTTTTGCCATTGTCACAGAATCACGGATTTTGAGCTGCCAGGAATCTCAGAGGCCAGGGGGTCTCACCCCCTCTTTTTATGAATGAGGAAACTGAGGCCCGGAGAAGTTAAATGATTTGCCCAACATCATATGGGTAGTAGAGGCGAGATCCAAATCCAGGTCCTCTCTCTGGTGAGTCAGGCCCCTTCCCACTCAACCAGAAAAATTAGCTGCATCCCTTCTTCCCCTGCCTGAACGGGAAGAATTTGTTGTTGAGGTAGGCCTTCCCTAACCAGGTTCCCCCCAGTTAGTACAAAAGAAAGAACAATGGATTTGGACTCAGAAGACCTGGGTTCAGATCCCACTTCTGACACTTACTAGCTGTGTGACCCTGGGTAGTCCACTAAACTTCTCTGGGCTTCAGCTTTCTCACCTATAAAATGAGTAGGTTGGACTTTGTTATTCAATTGTGCAGAAATACTGGAGTGGTTTGCCATTTCCTTCTCCAGCTCATTTTACAGATGAGGAAACTGAGGCAAACAGGGTGAAATGACTTGCTACTAAGTATCTGAGATGGGATTTGAACTCAGGAAGATGAATCTTCCTGACTTCGGGCCGGGCGCTCTATACATGATGGTACCACCTAGGGGCCGGGACTATATGGCCTCTAATTTCCCCATCAGTTTTAAATCTATGGTCTATGATCCAGCCAACCCAACCCCTGAATGCCTGCTAGCATCACTTTCCCTGCCTGACATATCAGATTCCTGTCTTCTCTCTCTGACTTCCTTCAAACCTGGCTCAAGGTCTCCCTCCTCCCTCCAGAAAGTCTTCCTTCCCTCATCTCATTCAGGGTTCAGAGCCCTCCTTGCCTCTGTTTCCCCACCGTATTCAGTCCATACACAACAGCCAATGTCTTGGAAGGGTCCTGGATCTTCTTCACAAGTCCACAACAAGTCCACAGGACTCAGGGCTGAGTTTGCACACAGTAGGTGTAACCACAAGTCCACAGCACCTAGGGCTGAGTTTGCACACAGTAGGTGTTACCACAAGTCCACAGGACTTAGGGCTGGGTTTGCACACAGTAGGTGTTACCACAAGTCCACAGGACTTAGGGCTGGGTCAGCACACAGTAGGTGTTACCACAAGTTCACAGGACTTAGGGCTGGGTTTGCACATAGTAGGTGTTACTTATTTCCAGTCCCTTGCTTCTCTCTCTCTTTAGAACATCTATGATGTTCTGGGAGTCCTCCCACCTGGCAGTGTTGCTCACTATTTCCTCCCAATCCCTTTTCCAATTAGTCACTGAGTCTTGTGGCTTTCACCTCCTTGGCATCTCCTATACCTATATCTCTCTCTTCTCACACCAAACTACCTTCACTGTCTCTTATCTGGACTAATGCAATAGCCTTCTAATTGGGCTCTTTGCATCCAGACTCCCTTCTCTCCTCTGCACAGGTGCCAGTGATATTTTGAAAGTACATGTCTGTCCACGTTATGCCTCTGCTCAAAAACCTTCAGTGGCTCCCCATTGCCTTCAAGTTACACTATTCTGTTTGTCATTTAAAGCCCTTCACAATATGACTCCAGTCCATCTTCACAAGCCATTTTCACATTATCCTCTCTCACACATTCTAGCTGCAGTTAAACTAACCTCCTGCCTGCTCCTGGTACAGGGAATTCCATCTCCCACTTTACACCTTTGCCTGGAATGCTGTCCTTTCTCAGCTCTGCTTCCGGGGACCTCGAGCCCCCTCTGAGGCTCAGCTCAGGGGTTTCCTCCTTCAAGACATCCTTTCTGATTCTTTTACTTATGACAGCCCTGTGTCAGCACCCCAGTGTATTGCAGGGATATGTATCCTGTATTTCTTTATCTGTGAACGTGCTCTATCCCCCAATAGAACGTAAGCTCCTTGTGGGCAGGAACTTTTGTCATATAGCACATAGTAGGTGCTTGTTGGTTGAATATCTATTTAGAATGTAAGCTCCTTGTAGACAGGGACTTTTGTCATATGACACATAGTAGGTGCTTGTTGATTGAATGTATCTCTATTTAGAAGGTAAGCTCCTTGAGAGTAGGAAATTTCTCACTTTTATCTTTGTATTCTCAGCTGGCACAATGCCTGGGGCACAGGTGTTTATTGACTGGCTATCTCCCTAAACAGAACATAAGATCGTTGCAGGCAGGGCTTTTGTCATTGTACTCCTAGAAGCCAGCATAGTGCTTGACCCATAGTAGATGTTTAATAAATGCTTGCTGATTGATGGGTGTGTGAGTCCCAAGGTTGGAGAGAAGAGGAAGGGCCAGTGGAGGGCCCCAGCCCAGGCCTTTCCACATCTCAGCCCTGATAGCCACGAGTGAGAGTCTGGGTTCTCTCTGGGTAGCGGCTCTGCCTACCACAATGTCATATTCCTCCATGGCCTCGCTCTCCCCGGCTGTGCTGCTGAAGCTGCTGGTGCTGGATGAGGACCGGGAGATGCTGGATCGGCCGTTTTCCTTCAGCTTGACAAAAGGCCTGGGGAAGAGAGGCAGAAGGGGTGGGAACGAAGCCCCTGCCCCCAAGCACACAGAGCCCCTCTTCCCTGCAGTCACCGGGTGAGCACAGTGCCCAGGGCAGCTCCACCGATCCATCCTGAGACTCTGGCCCCCCTCCCTGTGCCCTCTCTGACAGCCCGCTGCCCAGCTCCTCCAGAGAAGGGCTTCCCGCTTACTTCTCTTTGTTGGGGCAAATTTCCGGAGAGCTGGGGTTGGACGAGGTTTCTGATTTCACTTCCTGAGAGGAATGGCCACCATCTGGAGTCTTGGGAGTGCTAGAGACACTGTCACTGAGGAGACAGGAAGGAGGGAAAAGATAACAATAATAATAATAATAACTTTTACATATAGGATTTCAAGGTTTACAAAGGACTTTACATGCTTTATCTTACTTCATTCTTACTCTATTATTATCATCATCCCTATTTTACAGATGAGGAAACTGAGGCAGGTTAAGTGCCTTGCCCAAGGTCACACATACAGTCAGCTTCTGTGGCAGGATTTGAATTCGGGTCTTCCTGATGCCAAGTCACGTATGCCATTTAGCTCCTACACCATCTAAGTCAAGTGCTAATGATCCATAAATCTGGCTTTTCCTCTCACTCGTGGTGGGGGTAGAGGGGGGAAGGAGGAAGCAGCAGTCACCAAGTTATGCCTTCAGATTAAGGTTGCCCCTCGGGATCAGAGAAACGTTCTCTACCAGCAGGTCCTTGGGAAGCTTTAGAGCAGAGCCCACGAAAGCCTCCCTTTACCCCTACCTTCACAGCCTTTTAGGAGCCCTACACAGACCCACATCATTCTTCTCTAGCTGTTTTAGGGCCCTGGGACGGGACTCCAGTGCTAATGAAAGAAAGGTCCCAGGCTCAAAGCCCCCATGGGCTGTAGTATAACTGCTACTTATATAGCAATTTAGGATTTGCATTATAGCATTTGGGCCTCTCGACATCTCTGTGAGGTAGGTACCATCAGCACAATTATTCCCATTTTACAGATAGGAAACTGAGGCAAACAGGGTGAAGTGACTTGCCCAGGGTCACATAGTGAGTAAGTGTCTGAGGCCAAATTTGAACTCAGGAAGATGAGTCTTCCTGATTCTAAGCCCAGTGCTCTATCCACTCTACCACCTAGCTGCCCTGGCCGGGGTTATTTATTATTATTTTTTAACATTCATTTAAAAAAATTTTGAGTTCCAAATGCTCTTCTACGTCCAGTCTCTATCCCATACCCATTATACAGGTGAAGATATTTGGCCAGTGTTAGAGCTGGAACTAGAACCCAAGACCTGTGATTTCCCTGTCTCTTGGTGGCATATTTTTAAATGGAGACAAGGCATTTGTCCTAATTTTTATATGTAAGTCGGCCTGATCTGCCCCTTCAACTAAAGAAACATCTGACTTTGGGCTAGAGGAGGCTAGAGGCCATATTTGGGTGCATGGCTTGGACAGGGAGCTGTCATACCCATTTACCTGTCATACCCATTTACCTGTCTGTGCCAGAGGTTCTTATGAGCCAGGGATCTGGGAACCTGTGGGTGGGTGTGTGTTTTATATTTTGACAACTGTATTTTAACATATTTGGTTTCCTTTCTAATCTTATTTATTTCATTTTATGCATTTAAAAACATTTTTTTTTTGTCTGAGAAAGGGTACTTAAGCTTCATCAGACTCCTCAAGGGGTCCAGGACACAAAAATCCTCTTTAGTCTATGGAGAGATTCTAATGGACTCATGACTGGGATCCCAGATCACAAATGTGGAAGGGCCTCAGACACCCGGGGAACTTGCCCACGGTCACCTGGGTTGCAAACATCAGAAGCTAGATTTGAACCTAGGTCCTCTGACTCCGTAAGGAATGCCATTTCCAACATACCTCGCTGCCTCCAACCTCCACCCCCCCCCCCCCCGTGCCCGAGCACTTTGGGGGATGGGACAGCAAAAGAAGAGCAGTCATGAGCCCCAGGATTTACCATCGTGTCCGGCTATCAGCCTGGCCTTCGGAGCCCGTGTGCAGGCGGGGGAACAGCCCTGACCTCCGCTTGATGGGACTCCTCGACTGGTTCTTCCCTGTGGCTGCTGCCACTGGAGGCTGCCGGACAAAATCCCAAAGTGAAACATTACGTGCCAAATGCCTTCTGGGGCGAGGTCCTGTGCACTGTCTTTGAGGCAGGAGCTGTCCTCCCCGCCCCCCTCCTCCAACACCTAGGCTTGCGCCTCTCCCCAAGCACTCCCCTGCCCCAGATGGATCTCCCCTAGCCAAACACTCGTCCTCCCCTTCCCTGTCTCCCTCCCTCCCTCCCTCTCCCCTTCCCTTTCTCTCTCCCTCCCTCCTCCTTCTCTCTCCCCTTCCCTCTCTTCCTTCCTCCCTTTCCCCTTTCCTCTCTCCCTCCCTCCCTCCTTCTTTCCCTTCTTCCCTCCCTCCCCCTCTCCTTTCCTCTCTCTCTCCCTCCCTTCCTGCTTCCTTCCCTCCCAGAGCCCCGCACTCACCGAGAAGGTGGTCTTGGTCACTTCCACGCTGTTATGTGTGATGCCCCCGCTGAGGCTGCCTGGGATCCCTCCGCTTTGATGTTTCTTCTGACTCCCCACCATGGTCTCCATGGAGTGGCTGCGCACCCGGATGGCTCTCTGCAGAGAAGGGCATGGGCACCAGGGGGCACCTGGGGACAACTCTAGGATACCTCTCATCTGGATTCGAATACATCTATGCCTGGCACATGTGTCCACATACATGTGTGCAAACACACACAATACATGCCTCAGACATGCACATGATACAATGCCTTGGAGGCAAACACGTATGTATACTAAATCAAGGTGCGATATCTGCCGATGGAAACACTTGTCTTTGCATCCCCAACACAGAGCCTGAAGCTCAGTAACTAAAAACTGCTTGGTTACTGATTGATCAGGGCAGAGTTTGAGTATAATGAGGTCATTGGGAGGATTCCTGGGATGGTGAGACTTTAGCCGCCTAAACTCAAGCTCTAAGCACCGCTTATTCCTCCCCCAGAACCATCCGTGTGACTCCCATCCCTTTTGGGTCCTGATCCCTTTCTTAGAATCACAGACCTAGAGTTGGCCGCTCATTTTACAGATGGGAAAACTGCAGCCCAGAGAGACTGTGACTTGCCCAAGGTCACATAGACAGTCAGCAGAAGAGCCAAGATTTGAACCCAGGTCTTCAGACTCAATCCTCTTTCTGTCATATCCTTGCACCCTCTGGAACTTTGGCCACAAACTGCCCTTCCTATGAGACCTGTGCCCACACCTCTGGAAACACATTGTATAGAGTTTTTGTTTGCTTATATAGGTCTCTGTTGTTTTCCCTCAATAGGGTACAAGCTCCTTGAGGACAGGACTGTTTCAGCTATGCTATTGGATCCTCAGCACATAGAACAGTGCTTGGCAAACAGTTGGCACTTCATAAGTGCTTGCTGAATTGGTGAATTGTGGAGTCACAAGCCCTGAATTCAATGCTGGCTCTGTTGCTTCTACCTGGGTGTCCTTGGGCAAACCACTCACCTCTTTGGGCTCTGGTTTCCTCATCTGTAAAATGATGATCCCTAAGGTTCCTGCCAGCTCTAAATGTACAACCCTGCAGCATCGGGACTTTAGCCTCAGTTACTGAGGACTGGTTGAGGAAGTGAGGGGAGAGAAGATCTGATGGGCAATATGAGAATTGGCTCTAAATATCTGAAGGGCTGTTTGTACAAAGAGGAGTAGATTAACTTTGTAGTCCTGAGAACCAAGGAGAATTTCTAGCCAATGGTTGGAAGTCACAGGGAGGCCAGAATGGTTCAGAAGAAAGAGAGACGATGCCAGAGGACTCAGATCCAATCCCAGTTTGGCCACTTCCTAGCTGTGAGACTTAGAACAACTCATTTAACCTCTCTGGGCCTCAGTTTCTTCATCTGTAAAATGAGGGGGTTGGACTAGAAGACCTCTAGGTTCCCTTCTCCAGCTAGACTGAGGATTCCATGATCTCGATCAGCCAAATGTAAGGACCGATTTCCTAATAATGAGAGCTGTCTGATAATGGGCAGGGACTGCCTTCCTTATGAGGTTGACTTTTGTCATTTCTAAAGTCCCTTCCAACTTCAAAATTCTCCAATTAATTCATTAAATATTGAAGAGTCTAATGCTGCTGGACTGGTAGTCAGGAGCCCTGGGTTGGGATCCCAACCTCAGGCACATATTAGGAATGTGATCATGGGTAAATAATTACTTTACCTGAGTTTCTCCATCCATAATATGGATATAATAATCCTGGCCTGAGAGGCAGCCTGGTGAAGTGGATAGAGAGTTGGCCTTGAAGCCAGGAAACCTGGGTTAAAGTCCTGCCTGTGTGACCCTGGGGAAGTCACTTAACCTGTTGGTGAGCTAGGAATTCTCCAAGACTACATATAAGTTGTTGAGCAGTGGTTGTGCTGACTCACCCACATTTTCACCCAGTTTTCCACCTGAGTTTGAATTCTACGTCAGACACTTACTAGCTGTGTGACTGACGCTGGGCAAGTCACTTAACCTATATGGGTCTCAGTTTCTTTAACCGTATAATGGAGATAACAATATCTTCATCACAGAGTTGTTATGAGAATCAGATGAGATAGCTCATTTGGGTACTTTACAAACCTTAAAGTGCTATATAAAAGCTAGCTATTATTATTATTGCCTTGTTCCCACATGTACATGTATGTATACATATGGGAGGGATATATGTGCTATTTACTAGCTGTGTGACCTTAGGCAAGTCCCTTGGCCTCGGTTTCCCCATCTGTAAAATGAGGGCATTGGACTAGATGGCTTCTAAGGTTACTTCCATCACTGGATTTTAGGATTTGAAGTCTCTTTATCTCCCTGGCCTCAGTTTCCCCATCTGTAAAACGAGGGTATTGGGCCAGATAGCCTCTAAGGTTGCTTCCAGCTCCAGAACTAGGTTCCCATGGGCACAAACACGTTTGTATGGTTATGGCAGCCATTGGATCATCGAGGGCAGGCTTCCCAGCTCACCTTAAAGTGTGCTGAACGTTGCCAAATACCCCATCAATGGAGTTAGGTTGTGAAAGGCTTTGAATGCCAGAATAAGGGGTTTATGGTTGATTCTAGAGGCAATAGGGACCCAGAGGGTCTTCTTAACCAGGCATATGAAAAATTCTACCTTCACTGAGGTCTCTCAGGTTCAGAAATTCTCCCTTCCTAGAAAGCCATCATGGAGAAGGCTTGTGCCTTGTCTTCCGGCTTCAGCCAATTAAGTGGATTAATGGAGGGAACAGGGTCATTCACAGAGAGAGCACTCATTCTCTGGAGCCAAGTTTCCTTCCAGACCGAGCATAAAGAATCGACACCCTCCCCTGGCCGTGCACCCTTCTCTCAGATGCCAAGCCGGAGACTCACCACCAGAGACGCATTGAATTAGGTCTCCTAGCAACAGTCGCCTGAAATGTCATTAAAACGGCCATGTCCTATTGGTCGCCTCACCAAAAGATGACAAAACCATACACTTTGCAAAATGGAGAAGGGCTGTGGGGGGAGGGTAGAAGGGGGAGCTGGAGCAGAGATGCCCTTATCAAGATGGTGAATTTCTCTGGATGCTGCTGTGAAGCCTCTAGGACACATCACACAAGTGTCCATTAAAAAAAAAATCATAGGATCACAGATTTACGGCTGGAAGGGGCTTTTTAGCTCATTTAATCCAACCTCTTCATTTTATAAGTAAGGAAACTGAGGCACGGAGGTGTAAAGTTACAAAGGAGTCAGTGGCAGAGAAAAAACTTGAACGCAAGTCCTCTGATTCTAACTACAAGCTCTTTCGTCCATATCACAGAGCCTCCCTAACTGAAAGGGCTCCTAACTAAGCAGGTGGTCCAAGCTGGAATTAGGAAGAGGCTGCCACCAAAGTTGACCAACACTTCTGGATGGGCTATTAAGAGAAACTTCAGGTGCTTGGGGCCGTGGATATTGATGCCAGGGAAGCTAATCTTGCCCTCCCATTAAACCTTCAGTGTTGCCTCAGAGAATCATAGACCTGGAGCTTAATGGACCTTAGAAACCATTGAGTCCAACCCTCTTGTTTTATAGATGAGTAAAATGAGACACACAGGTTAAGTGACTTGTCCAAAGTAACAAAGGTAATAAGGATCTGAGGTGGGATTTCAACCAAGGTCTTGCTGACTCCAGGTTCCATGTCCTATTATACTGCATGACTTCTCTATCAGAGACAGAACATTGGGCTCAGAGACTCAGAATTTCAGAGCTGGGAAAGGATCTTTGAGACCACTTAGTCCAGCCCTGTCCTTTTCCAGTTCAGAGAAATGAAAGAACTTGCCCAGTGACCTGGGTGGGTGGGTGGGTGGGGAGATAATTCTCTTGTCAATAGGGAAGAGAGAAAGAAAGAAGCAACAGGGATACTTCCCAGTCCATGGAACAATAACCTGATTTGGGAAGACAGTTAGGCTAAACAAGTCACTAAACCGAGGCAACAAGGCTCTGCCCTGTGCCTCCTCTTTTCTCCACACGTGCACTTTCTGAGATGTCCTTAGCTTCCATGGATTCAATGTAGATGTATCTCTAGGCAAACTAACTCCCAGATCTATGTATCCTGCTCCAATCTCTCAAGCCCACTCTTGGGTCATCAGCTGTCTATTAGATACTTCCAACTGGTCCTCTTGTACACGATTCAAATTGAACACGTCCAAAACAGAACTCACCATTTCTTTATACATTCTGTGTTCCAGCCTACTTATTTACTTACTTCTTATTCCTTATTTAAGACATTCCATCTCCCATCCCATACGGGCCATCTCTCGTGTCTGGAGCACCCTCCCTTCTCACTTCTGCCTCTTCAAAGCCCGAGCTCCTTCCAAAGGTCAGTTCAAGGTCCACCACAACTATGAGGTCTTTCAGGATCCCTCCCGTTGGTAGTGCCCCCCTCCATTATTTTGCATTTAGTGTGTACATATTTGCATTTACATATATATGTATACATATCTATTTATAAATGCACATTTATAATATATATACTGCGTATATTTGTATTTACTTGTATTGTCTTATATTGTATTGTTTCCCCTGATAGAATGTAACTTCCTTGAAGTCAAGGATTGTTTCATTTTTGACCTTGTCTCCCCAGCACAGTGCCTGGCACATTGGACTATATCTGTGATTTCATCTATGTAGGGAATTCCTGGTGAAGACCTGCATCAGCTTTGCAATTTATAGTCTTAGAAATTTCCCTGGAACACTGAGAGATTAAGTGCTGTGCTCAGAGTCAGAGTCAGAATTCAAACCCAGCTCTTCCAGACTCCAAGGCTGGTTTTCTCCCTGTATGCTATGGCTGCCTTGAAACTTAACCAACACTTGTTGACTAATGGCGCAATTTCACCTGTTTTTTCCATTCTCAATCAGATATTTCTGTGCAGTATAGACAGCCAATGACTCCCAGGTTCTCCTAGGAAGCCTAAGAAAGAGGAGAAACTGAGGATGATAGACAGAAAAAAGAGAAAAAGTAAGGGAGGAAGGAAAGGAGAAAAGGGATAGAGAGACTAGGAGACAGAAACCTGATTCTTCCTTCTCACTGTCAGCCCATGTTTCTTTTATTAGGATTTCTGGAGTCACTAAACAAAAGTGTAAAGTCAGAATCCTGTTTCTTGGACACTGCAGTTATGGGTCACCATGGAAGCAAAGAGGTTCACATCATATTGGTAGTGACAAAAACCCGAGTGTCTGGTCTCCCTTATGACCCACAAGCACTCAACTTGAAGCTGTCTGGCCAGGGATGAGGGGCAGCCTAGGGACTTTTTCTGTACATGTTACTATCTCGGGATCAAACCCACATTTTTGACCTCCTTGACCCTGTGAATTCAAATCACTGAGGAAATCCATCCCCTATTCTTTCCTCCTTTGTGCCAGCCTTTGATGCAGAAGTGGCCCTCCCTACGTGCACCTTTGACCCCACCCCTGCCTGACTCCTCTGGGAGCTGACCCCTGCAATCACCTTTATCTCCCTCAACTTCTATCCCTCCTTCTCTATCCGCTCCTTCCCTTGTTCTAGAATATAAGTAGATCTCCTTCATCCCCTTCTCTTCTTCTAGAAACATAACTAGATCTCCCTCTTCCTTAAAAAATTTCTTCTTGACCACATGCTCAAGCTATCGTCCCATATCTCTTCTCCCTTTTATAGACAAACCCCTAAAAAAAAAAAAGCTGTCTACCCAAATTGTCTCTACTTCCTCTCCTCTCTGCTCACTTTCTGGCTCCTTGCAATCTTGTTCCGATATCACTCAACTGACGTTGCCCTCTCCAAAGTTACCACTGCTCTCTTGATTCTAATCGGCTTGTCTCAGTCTTCATCCTTCTTGGCTTCTGTGAAGCCTATACTGGTGAACATCTCTTCCTAGGTATTCTCTCCCCTCTGGGTTTTCTAGATACTGTTTATTCCTGGTTCTTCTACTCCTTCAGGCCCCTTGTGGGATCATCAGCCACATTCTGCCCCCTAACTCTTGGTGTGTCCTAAGGTCTGTTCAGGGTTGCCTCTCTCTCAATCTCTCTCTCTCTCTCTCTCTCTCTGTCTCTCTCTCTCTCTCTGTCTGTCTCTCTCTCTGTCTCTCTCTTTGTCTCTGTCTCTGTCTCTCTGTCTCTCTCTCTCTTTCCTCTGTCTGTCTCTGTCTCTCTCTCTCCTATTTCTCAGTAAGCTCATCAATTCCCATGGATTCAGTTACTATCTCTGTGCAGATGAATGAAAAGCATTTACTAAACACTTACTATCTGACTTTCAGATCTACACATTCAGCCCTAATCTCTCTTAGTGACCTCTAGTCTTCCATCATCAACTGCCTACTGGACATTTTGAACTGGATGTCAAAGTTCACATGACTAAAACAGAATTCATGACCTTTTCCTCCACACCCACCTTAATTTCTCTAGTTCTCTCAGGGCACCACCATCCTTTGTCACGTAGGTCCCCAACTCCAAAGACCTTCTTGACTGGTCAGTCTCCTTCATAGCACCTCCCCCACCCCGAGCCAATCAGTTGCCAAACCTTGTTGATTCTAACCCCATCTTTCTCACAACCCTTTCTCTCCCCTCATACAGCCTAGTTCATGCACTTATCATCTCTCACCTTCACAATGACAACAACTCTAACTCACTGTCCTGTTTAATAAATCCTACTGTATATAGGACAGAGCACTTGACCTTCTGTCTGGTATTTAAAGATCTTTAAAGTCTGGCCCAACCTGGCCTCCTTGTTGCACATTGACCTCCTTCACAAACATTATAGTCCAGCCAAACTGGCCTCTATACTGTTCCTAGTACATGACTTTTCTCCCATCTCCCATCCCGTGCCTTGTACACACCATATCCCATGCCTAGAATGTATCTCTACATATTAGAATGTCTCACTTTCCTCAAAATTCAGCTAAAGTTCCCCTTTCTACAAGAAAATTTTCCCACTGGTGCTTTTAAGTTTACTTTGTATTTTTCTCTTTCCTTATATTTACACACATTGTTTCCCCTGATAGAATGTAACCTCCCTGAGGGCAGAGATTGGTGCATCCCCGGTGCCCTGCACAGAGCCTGGCCTGTAGTAATGGCTTCGTGGACGCTTGCAGACTAACGGGCCCACCCCACAGCAGACTGAACCATCAGGACTTCGTCATTAGCTATTTCCACAGGGGTGGAAGAAGAGGGGGAAGGGCAGCGGTTGGAGCTGCCGCGGCTGTGTCCTTGTCTAGTGAGGCCACAGGGGATTCTAAGAGGACTGATACGGGTTGGCTCTGTTTTCAGCCAGCAGGGGTCAGGTTCAGACCAGTGGAACAGCCATCGGATTCCAGCAGATCTGGGAGGAGCTCATCTCCGATGACTAAGTGAGTGAGTACTGGACAATTTGGGTCTGCATCCCAGCCCTGCTAGCAACTCTCTGCGTGACCTTGGCCAAGTCACTTTCCCTCTCCTAAATCCTTAAATGATGGGGGTTATTCTAGATGACCTACCTCTACATTCTTTTTTTTTCCCCCCCGAAGTAACTCCATTCTTCCTTGGCCAAGTCACTTTCCCTTTCTGGACCTCAGTTTCCTCCGCTGTAAAATGAAGGCATTGGACTATATAATCTTTGCAGTCCCTTCTGGCTCTAAATCCTATCATGCCTAGGGCACCTCATATCTCTCAAAGAAATCAGGGAGGGGAGGGGAGGGGCAATGAGGGATCGGCACCTGTGACAGGCGTCCGGGCTAGAGGCAGCTGGGAAGATGCCACTGCTTGGAACCATCTGCTGCTCCAAGGTCCTGTGAACTGGCTGGTGCTTAGGGGGTCAGACCTACAACCCCAGCTCCTCCAACAAACTCCACCAACTGGCTTTGGCAGAAACAGAACAGAGAATCTTAATGCCACAAGCAACGTCTCATTTTGATTCTGTGCTCCTCTGGCTCTGTCTTGTGCCCAGGCCTGTGTCCTTAGCTGAGAGCAATGGGAGTGGGACCAGAGAGGTGGCTAAGGGGACGGGTCCCAACATCTCTATGGTAGGAAAGGAAGTTTGGGTTCTGCAGCTAGAAGAAGAGGATCTGACGGGGTATGACACTCGGCCAGATGTCCTTGGCATTACCACAGAGATGGGTATAAAAAAACAAGGAAGGGGACATTGAAGCAAGAACATGATGTCAGACTTCAGTGGGAGGGATTTCCAGCAGAGTGGAGTAAGACTTTCCCAGCTTCTCGGGATAAGACACTAAAGCAGGTGAACAAGAAAGTTGGTGGTATCTCCTTCCCTAGACCTCTTTAGGAATGGTCTCAACATTCAATCATAAAGCACAATTTGTGGGCTGCCCTTCTTGAAGAAGGTAGGTGGGTGAGATGACCTCAGTATGCTCTGGGAATCTCACTCTCCTTTGTGCCTCCAGCTTCGATTTCTCTGTCTTTCCTAGAATCCCAGACCATTTCCTCATCTAAACTATTTCACTCGTCTCTCCTCCTCAATAGGGGTCTTGTCCTAGCCCCTCCCCACCATTTTTTCCCCTGCTCTCCTTCTTCTGATTTTCCCTAACAGGCTCTGCCTTCTCTCCATCACTCAGCTTTTCACTCGGCCAGTAGCCTTCCATCAGCGCTTAAGCAGACCCCTGAGGACCCTCCCACCAGCCTTAGCAATGTGTTGCTCACCCTTCCATAGCCCTGTCTTTGGATGAATCTGGGCCATGTGCCCTGACTGGGGACCAAAGAAACAATGCTATCTGCTGGCCAAGGAGTCTGGGGAGAGGGGATGGAGTGGGGGTGGAGATTGTCCCTGGGAGAATGTCCCCTGGCCTAGCCTGGTATGCTATCAAAGGAGGAATCAACTGAATAAGAATGCCATCCCACTGGCTGCAGATAACCCCCGAAGTTAACCTTTCCACAACCTTCCCCAACCAGAGAGCGAGGCCAGCACCTAGATGCTCACCTATTAGAATGTAAGCTCCTTGAGGGCAGGGACTATTTGTGTCTTTCTTTGTATCCCCAGCACTTAACAATGCCTAGAATATGGCAACCACTTCATAAATGCTTGTTTAATGACTGACACAGCAACCTCTGGTGTTTGGTTTTGCTGACTCCCCCCTCCCCAGCCTCTACTCTTAAGGCTAAATATGGGTTCCTGCCTGCTGTCCCTGGCACCTGAGCCAGGAGGAGAGGTGGTAGAGGGTGTCACCATCCTCCTTGCCACTCAGGTCTCCTCCCTGTCATACTCCATCCCTCGCCAAGCGCTATCCTTTACACCTATACAACATCTCTAGCTCCTGCTCCCTCCCTGGCCACCGGGGCAAGGGCTGAGTTATTTTGTATCTTTCTATCCCTGGGACCCAGTGCAGTGTTCTATACACACAGAAGATACTTGCTAGATGTCTGCTGGATTTTAATTTCGATGGTCAGAGATTCCATAAGGGGCAGAGAAACAGATTTGGGAGGCATTCTTCTGCTCCAGCTACTCCCCCCCATCTCAAGTCTACTGCCCCCTACTAGTACACCTGCTGCCTCGCTGATCAGACTAAGCCTGGCTGTCATCCAGGGACTGGGTCTGAAGCAGACTGGCCATCTTCAATCAGGCCTTTTGGTCAGTCCTCTCCTTCCCCCCCGCCCCGCCCAAAGCCCTGCTTTCATGTTTCTTTACCTTGAAAGACTCCAGGAATCCCCCATGGCCCCCGTTCTCAAACTTGTCTTCCTCGGGTCCCAGCCCCAGCATAGCCTGAGTGTGGGTGTGCAGGTCATCATGGAGATTGTCCAGCAGGGCTGCCCGCGTCCGGTCCTGAAAGAGCAAAATGAGTAGAGCTGTGTCAGCTGGGTCTGGTTTACCCACCACTCCCAGGGGCTCTGATCGCAGAAGGCATCAGAGCAGACCTGAGCAGGAATCTCTGCCACAACTGGCTGGACAGGTGCTCATCTGGCTTGTTGCTTAAGGACCTCCAATGAGGAGAACCCTCATCACCCTCATTCCACCTCGAGATGGCTCCAGCTGTCAGCAGCGACACCGAGCCTAAACCTTCCTCTTTGTGACTTCCCTCCATCACCCTCCTGGGCTCAGGCAGGATCAAGCTAACCCCTCTTCCCCATTCAGAACAGCGTTCCACGCTCCATGACAGGTATCAGCCCTTCTCTTCTCCATACTTCATCCCATTTCTCTCTCTCTCTCTCTTTAATTTTATTTTAGGGTTAGGCAATGGAGTTAGGTAACTTGCCCAGGGTCACACAGCTAGTGAGTATTATGTGTCTGAGGTCACATTTGAACTCAGGTCCTCCTGACTCCAGGGCCGGCGCTCTATCCTCTGTGCCACCTCGCTGCCCCTTTCTCTTTTCTTTCATCCTCATTAAAGGAACAATAACAAGTCATACAAGCCTAGTGTCCTCACTTCCTCACTTCCCCTTCATGGAATCCCAGAATTGGAAGATCATCAAGTTCGACCTAGTCCTGGTCAGAATCCCCCTCATCAACTCACGCAATAGACTGGACAAGGGGTCATCCAGGTTCATTCAGGTCCTCCAGAAGACCTTTAGTGAGCAGGGGCCAGCTACCTCCTGTGGTAGTCCATTCTACTTTGGGATGGTTTTAATTGTTAGCAATAGCCACCATTTATACAACACTTTAAGATTCAGAGTATTTTACACATATTAACTCAAAACAACCCTGTTGAAGTAGCTACTATTATATCATTCCCATTTTATAGATGAGGAAACCGAGTTTCAAAGAGAGTGACTACTCCAGAGTTACACTACAGCTTGTTCTTCAGTCATTCTCTGTGACCCCTTTTGGAGTTTTCTTGGCAAAGATACTGGAGTAGTTTGCCATTGCCTTCTCCAGCTCATTTTACAGATAAGGACATTGAGGCAGACAGGGTTCAGTGACTTGCCCAGGGCCACACAGCTAGTAAATGTCTTAGGCAGGATTTGAACTCAAGTCTTCTGGACCCCATGTGCAGCATTCAGTCTTTACCTTGAGCCCATCCGCCTCTTTACAACTTTTACCCATGGTTTCCAGATTCTCCCTCTGGGGCCAAGGAGAAAGAGTTAATCTCTCTTTTGTGAGACTTGAAAACAGTGCTCAAGCTCCCCCTGAGCCTGCTCGTCCTCTGGCTTAACACCCATAGACTCTGGGGACCCAATGAGGCATTAGGGGAGGGCTTAGGACTCAAGGTGACCACACTCCCGCCCCAGTGGCCATCAGCTCAGGGTGCCAAGAACAGCCAAGCACTTGGACTGTCCGGGTCACAGAGGCTGCAGGCAAATGCTGAGTGCAATAAATCAGCAGGGGAAAAAGGAGAAGGAAAATGTCAAAGGTGGCTCAGGCCAGGATTTCCGGCAAGAACTGGAGTGTGAATGAGCCCCAGGGGAGGGGGGAGCAAAGCGGGAGATGCTGTGGGGTCAGAAGCTGAGGAAAGAGGAAGGAACGAGCTTCCTCCTGCAAATCCACGCCTGAGCTAGAAGCCTGCAGCCAGGGACTGAGCCCAGGACTGTAAATCATCGTAGAGGGTAGACATCATGGGCATTTGGGAGAAGTAGACAGAGCGATGGGGGAAAGGCCAGGACAAATAATCGGTCATATGTAGAAGAAGGGGGACAGACAGGGCCCACAGTGCACAGAGCACCGGGCCTGGAGTCAGGAAGACTCATCTTCCCGAGTACAAATCCAGCCTCAGACACTTACCACCTGTGTGACCCTGGGCAAGTCACTTTGCCCTGTCTGCCTCAGTTTCCTCATCTGTCAAATGAGCTGGGGAAGGAAATGGCAAACCACTTCAAAGTCTGCCAAGGGAACCCCAAAATGGAATCCCGAAGAGTCGTACAGGATTGAAATGATGGAATTACAAGGCACTGCACCTGTGATTTTTATGAGCATATGGAACACCTGGTGTGGAAACCCCCTCCACTAATGCAGGTTAGCAATTTCTCTTCAATTTATGGATTCAAAGAGTTGCCTGGAGAGGTTGTGACCTGCCTACAGTCTCGGGACCAGAATGAGTCGGAGGCAAGACTCAAATCCAGGTCTGCTTGGCTGCTAGTTGACTGTCTGGTCTTATTACCTCCCTATCACTTCTATGGCACTGCATGATATCCCCTGTAGGCCTCCCAACAGCCCTGTGAAGCAGGTACCATGTGCACTGTCATTGTCATTTTATTATTATTATTTTTCGGTGAGGCAATGGGGTTAAATGACTTGCCCAGGGTCACACAGCTAATATTATGTATCTGAGGTCAGATTTGAACTCAGGTCCTCCTGACTCCAAGGGCAGAGCTCTATCCACTGCGCCACCTAGCTGCCCCTCATTGTTATTTTATAAATAGAGCTTAGGGAGTTTAGGAGATTACCCAAGCTCACACAGTTGGTGAGTGTCTGGGGGACCTGTCCCCATGTCTGGCCCATGCTCTCCTGGGCCATGCTGTCTCTGGGGCAGAGGTCCCAAACTATGCGCGACTCTTACCTCAAGTTTCGCAAACTTGTCTGACTTGCAGCAAGCGTTCTCAGCGTTGGTGAGTTTGGTGAGCAAAAATTCCCGAAACTCGGGGCTCTGTAAGAGATAGAAGGAATCATCAGACCCCTAGAGCCGCCTAAGGCTTCATTCGCTTGGCGGCTCGACGAGACATTTGGGGTCCTCCCCTCCATCCACAAACCCGCTAAAAAACTCTGGGGAGGTCTGTTTTAGATCCCCAGCGGCCAGCCCAATAGACCACAGAGCCTTGCCCAAGAAGGACCGGCACATTTCCATTTTCTAAGTTGAATTGGGCCATTGGGGCAAGGGAGAGTGACACATACGTGTGGACATCTGGGTATGCTTGCACTTGTGATTTCCTCCATTTAGGGAGCACTCTGGGACCCAACTCTCTCTGTCAGTGTTGGTCCATACCATCTCTGCACTGTTTGGTCTTAGAGAGTTGTCTAGAGGAGGTGTCAGACTCCTGACCCACAAAAGTCTTGAGTGCAGCTGGAACCAGGTTAAAACGTAATTGGGAAATGTTTAACAGAATGAATGAAAATACAATACAACATGGATAATGTGAATTTGTGGTTTTCCAAGTCAATATGGGCCATAGGGAGTGTTTCTCTTTGAATTTTACACTACTACTACTTTAGAGGCTAGGGGACTTGTCCACGGTCACTTAACCAGTATGTGTCAGGGTCAGGACTTGAACCCAAGCCTTTCTGATTTCAAGGCCAGCTCTCTCTTCACTATACCAGTCTGCCTTTCTATGATTATAGGGTCCTAACTTTAGAGCTAGAAGGGTCTCATGGGTCATCTCATTCAACCCCCTCATCTTATAGATGAGGAAACTAAGCCCCAGGGAGGTTAGAATTATGCCCAAGATCATGCAGGCAGTGAGCCTTGGAGACGGAAGACCCAGGTTCAAAACTTGCCTTTCACACAAACTGATGGAGTGACCCTGGACCCTTAACCTCTAAAGTTCTCTAGACCAGTGCAGTCAAACGCAAATAGAAACAGATCCCTGTGGGCTATATTGATTTAGAAAACCACAAATTCACATCATCTATGTCATATTGTATTTTTATTTATTTTGTTAAACATTTAAACTCAATTTATTTTAATCACTTAATCTCTTATTGCTCCAGGCAACTTTCTAAGACTCTAAATTATGGAGTTGCTAACCTACAGTGGTAGAGGGAGTTTTCTCACCTGAGAATGTTGAATTATCAGGAAAATTATAGATCCAGTCTCAATTTCTCTCGCACTCTCTTAATTCATATGTATCATAATTGAGATATAATTTACACATTATTAAATATGATTATATTTTATGCATTATATATCTATATAGCTGAACATATTCAGGGTGTCACAAAGGTCTTAGGGCAGTTTAAAGCTTTAATAGCTTAAAACTGTCCTAAGGCTTTTGGAATACTCTGTATAAAGAATTGGGACAACATATCATATATTACACATATGATATGTCATCCTAATTCTTTATACATGCATATGCCTACATATGCACGTGTGCATATATGCACATATATGTAGGCATATGTGTATATACATACATGTATGTATAAATATGTGTGTGCACATATACATGTACTATAACACATTTATATAATAAATGCATGCATGTATGTATATTATGTATGTATGTATGTATGTAGTTGTAGTTCTTTTGGGGCAAGGAGGACAATGGTCTCAAATACCTACCCCATTATCCTTTACCAGGCTTCATTCATAAAGATCAGGAGATGTGGAGAGTTGAGGGAAAGACTCCTCTGCTCATGGAGGGGCCACCCAAACTTGGGCCTTAGTGGGGAATGAGACTCAGTCCCCATCCAACTGTTGTCAGGGACTTTCAGAGCTCTTCTGGGGTCCAGGGCTCACAGGAAGAGATGGATGGAAAGTAGAAAGGATGCATTACCTTCTGGAACACCGGGGGGCTGGGCAGGGGTGGACCGAAGAGTGGTACATCCTCTCGAGCAGTGACGGAGACCTGTGACAAGCAGAGAGTCAGAAATGGGGAGAGGAAGAGAGGAAAGGGAACAGGAAGTGGGTGTGGTTGCCCGGGTACCACCAAGGACACCCACATGCTACTGAGCCCAACCAGCAGGGAAGCGCCCGTCGGCCCACGTGGCAGCTGGAGACAGCTAGCAGCCAAGAGCGTGGCCGAGGGCACGCAGCCCCTCCGCTCTGCTGGAAAGCAATGCCTCCCTTGGCAAGGAAAGCCAGCTTCTCCTTCCAGCCTCGTTGCCGAGCAACCTGACTTCCTTTCCCTTCCAGGATACAAGGGGGAAATGATGCATCAGACATGCAAGGCTATGTTGTCCTCCGGATACAGAGATGGTACTTCTGGCCCCTGGGAGAACCAGAACGGAACTTGTCTTCTTATAAAAGTTGGGCTGGGCTGCATGATCCATCCACCCTCTCAATCCCCGTTATTATCAGGGGGACTGGATATGTTATGGATGTAGAAAAGGCTCAAACATAAACACAACAGATAAGTGGGAAGTACTTCGTAATTTATCAAATCGCTTTCTCATGGGTGGGAGAACAGCCCAGGGAGGCATGCAAGACAGACAGTGTTAGTCTCAATTTACAAGCAAAGAGGAGTCTTAGAGAAATAAATTGTCCAAGGTCACACAGCTGGTTAGAGTTAGCAGTAGTGCTCGGACTGGAACCCCCATCTCTTCTGACTCCAAAGGCCGGTGTTCTTTCCATTGGGCCAGGAGTTGTTAACCTGGGGTTTGTGGATTTGTTTCCCTCCCCCAAATACTTTGACAATATTTCAATCCAGTCGGTTTCCTTTGTAATCCTATGCACTGGTAATTGTATCAGCTAGGCAGTAGGGTGGTGAAGAGTTCAAATTCTGCCTCAGATACTTCTTAGCTGTGTGACACTGGGCAAGTTACTTAAACACTGTCTGCCTCAGTTTCTCCATCTGTAAAAATGGGGACAATCATAGCCCCAACCTCCCAGGGTTATTGTGAGGATAAAATGAAACAACAATTGTAGAGTGCTTTGCAAACCTTAATGTCAGCTTCTATCTATCTATCTATCTACCCATTCATTAGTTAATTTATTGCACTTAAAAACATTATTCTGAGAAGGGGCTCATAGGCTTCACCACACAAAAGACTAGACCATGCTGGTTAGCACAGTGTCTGGCATAGAGTAAGCACACTGACTCACTAGTTAACCAGCCCATGTCATGCTGGGCCCTAGGACCTTGACCTTGTTAACACCAATTCAGCTTAACCAGGCACAGATGGGCAGAGGCAGGAAGCAGCAGGAGCATTTGCTTGGTGCAGGTCCTTAGGCCCTGGCTGTCACCGGCCTGCCTGCCCTTCCCTAAGGTGCTTTCAGCTGGGAAACTCTAGGGTCTAGAATCTCTGTTGTAGGAACCCAAACCAGACTGGAATCTCTCTCTCTCTCTCTCTCTCTCTCTCTCTCTCTCTCTCTCTCTCTCCCTCTTTCTCTCTCCCTCTCCCTCTCCTTCTCCCTCTCCCTGTCTGTCTCTCTATGTCTCTGTCTGTCTGTCTCTCTTTCTCCCTCTTCCTCTCCCTGTCTCTCTCTCTCTTCCTGTCTGTCTCTCTGTCTGTCTCTCTCTGTCTCTTTCTCCCTCTCTGTCTCTTTTTCCCTCCCTCCCTCTGTCTCTCTCTCTGTGTCTCTGTCTTTCCCTTCCCCAAACTTCCCCATTGATGGCCATTTTTGCTTTCTATCTGGGAGGGTGTGGGGGGAGGGGAGGGTTTGCCCTGCTTATCGGACAGTATGCCCTTTCCCATTCCCTGCTGCCTGCTGACATGTGCCTGGCCTTGGCTTCTTGCCAACTTATCAGGCCTGCAAAGTAGGACAGATGCAATGAGGCTGGTGGGCGGGGGTGGGGGGGTGGGGGGTGGGGTGGGGTGGGGTGGGGTGGGGAAGAGCCAGCCTAGGGCAATGCCAAAGGGAAGGTAGGGGGAGGAGGGGAGAGGAGCTTACAGCTGGTCAGGCTTCTCCATCCCCGGGAGCTGAGACAACAGCCACAGGGCTCAGCCTCAGGAAATTATTGGTGAGCTCTGTTGATTGGATTTCTGGCCTGGCTCCCAGCTCTCCCACCACACAGCATGCCCTGCTGCTGGTGGGAGAAATCAAACCTCCAGCCAGCATGGCCAGAAGGCTCCGAGTCTCAGTTTGGGTCTGTGACCCAGGGACCAATCAGGCCACAAGCACTTATTAAGTGCTGTCTGGGGTCACTGTGCTAAGCGGTGGGGATACCAGAAAGGCAACATCATGGTTCCTGCCCTTCTAATGGGGGAGACAAGAAGTCAATAACTAAGTATAGAATTAAGGTCGCTTGAATGTGTGGAGAAGCAGCTTCCTACTGTAAGCCCAAGGGACAGACATGTAAGATGAGATGTACAGCTTTCCCTAGCATGGTGCCCCAGCCCTGGCTGTCCCAACCTTCCTCATCATGTCTGCACTGGGCTAAACTCCACTCCTTCTTAGGTTGCTTTGGGTGGACTCATCTCCCCAGATTGACTGTACTATCCCCCAAGAGCCTCTTTTGTCTTTTCTACTCCCCCATAGTGCCTAGCAAATATATCAGCAACCTCAAACTTGAGGGACCCAAAGGATCACTAGAATTGCTGAGGGCTATCCCACTCACACTCAAGGGAGTTAGTTTCCATTCCCTTTTACCTTGTAGGACGGGGTCTCTCCGGTTGGGTTTTCGGCTTGGACAACGATGTAGGCGTGCAAGAAGTTGGAGGCGATCATGTCAGGGACGAAGGGAGTGTTTTCTTCTTGGAAGATAATAGCCACGATGTCATTCCCGATATGTCTCTTTCTCTGGAGCTGAGCCAGAATAAAGCAAGAGTGTTTCGTTGTTATTGTGAGTCAGGAAAAAAATAAAGGAAGAACCCAACAGCCACATTGTCCACAACAGTGTCTTGTTTTGTTTTGTTTGGTGAGGCAATTGGGCTTAAGTGACTTGCCCAGGGTCACACAGCTAGTAAGTGTCAAGTGTCTGAGGCTGGATTTGAACTCAGGTCCTCCTGACTCCAAGGCCAGAGCTCTATCCACTGTGCCACCTAGCTGCCGCCAGGACGGTGTCTTGACCTGTGTTGACAGGACTGTCATTCATACAGTCTAGTTCTAGTGGGCTTCAGTGACAAGGTGGATGAATTTAGACTCAGAGGAGCCTGGGTTCAACTTCCACCACCCGTGCAACCATGGGCAAGTCACCTAAACTCCTGGCTCTCAGTTACCACATTTCTAAAGTCGGGGGTGGGGTGGGCCAGATGAAGTCCCTTCCAATTCTCTATCTCTTATCCAGTGGAAAGCTCTAGGGTCAAAGGACCTGGGCTCAAATCTTGCTTGTGACCCTTAATATCTGTGTAACTGTAGGCAAGTCACTTTGGCCTCTCTTGTCAGTTCCTTATTTGTGAATGTGGGGGCTGAATGGGATACTTTTCAGCTCCAAAACTATGATCCTATAAATTAAACTACAAGCTCCCTGAGGGCAAGAGTCGTCTCTCAGCTAAAGGAGGGGGGAGAAAGGGAGCAAGCATTTATAAAGTGCTTACTATGTGCTGGGCACCATACTAAGTCCTTTACAATTATTATGTCATTTGATTCTCACAATAACTATTATTACCCCCATTTTGCAGTTGAGGAAACTGAGGTGAACTGAGGTTAAGTGACTTGCTTAGGGTCACACAGCTTGTAAATATCAGAGAATGGATTTGAACTCAGTTCTTCCTGATTCCAGGCCCTATTTACTGTGCTATCTAGCTACTTTCATTAAACTTTGTATCTTTCCCTAGCAACAGGCCCAGGCACTCCAGAAACTCTTGTCAAATTTAATCAAATTATAAGCAAATCCCACTTTAATGTCTGGAAACCCTGATACAGCACACCTTGGTCAGCAGAGATGTTCCCTGAGCCTAATGAAAGGAGTCCCTGGTGCTCTGAGCCCCTCTGGGTCGTGATATTATTGATTGTGGGACTGAGCATGCATAAAGATAGCTCCTACAGAACCAATTAACAGAGGTGAATGGGGCACACTGGTCCAGCAAAGTCTTAATTAGCATCTCTATGCTTAAGCCTGGTGGCTCAGAAAGCCAGGGGGAATGAGGGAGAGAGACAACTTTCCCTGGGGAAATTTCTTTCCTGTTTTCTGAAGACGAGAAAATTATAAAATAAGTCCTCAGAATTTAGCTAACAGGCAGCTTTCAAAGGATCAAAGATATAGAGCTAAAAGGGACCTCAGAACTCATTGAGTCTAATCCCCTCATTTTACAGATGGGGAAGCTGAGGCCCAGAGAAACGAAGTGTCTTGTCCAAGGTCACATACCTAGTAAGTATCCGAGGGGTGGTTACTAAGTGTCTACTGTGACTGACTGAATGAATGAATGAATGAGCATTTATTTAGTGCTTACTATGTGCCAGGGCCATGCAAGGTGTTGAGGATACATATACAAAAGTGAGACAGTCCCTGTCTCCAGTGAGCTTACATTGGAACAGAGGAAGACAATATACATAGGGGAGATCGGGATGGGGACGGAAGCTATGGCCTGGGGAGTCACAGGGATGTCCGAGTGATGCCATGTGGCAGCCAATTGTCACACCCTTTTCAGAAGCAATGGTAGCATCAATTGGGCAGGAGGTGGAGGGGGACAGGAGGCAGGAAGAGTTGGCCAGATGTCTGGGGTGAATAGGGTTGAGGCATGGTCTGGGGTAGGCTACGTATGTATAGCGGATCAGGTGAGTTTGCACTGACTCATCCACCTATTGGGACAGCCCAGCTCCAAAGCTGAGGGGATTAAGTCCCCTGGGGGAAGGGGGTGTGATCTCTGGAGGTCAAGTTGAAAGGGTCCCTGGTCCAGGTATCGAACCCGTGCAGAAAGTCCTAGACTAAGTACTTAAGGGGAATAGATGAAGTTAAACAGAAGTCCTGGTCCCTGCCCAGGGGGAGCTTGGGATCCATTTGAGAAAAAGAACACTTTTCCCTCATGAAACCATTTGAGGAATTGGAAGAAGCGGCATCCATGATCCCAAGGACTAAAGGGGGTCCTCAACCAAGAGCAGATTCGAATAGGAGTGGAGAGAAAGTGTGAGCGATCTGGGATGTTTCCTGGAGGAAGTGGGCCCTGAGCCGGGTCTTGAAGGAAGTCGTGACTATGGCTGGGTGGAGAAAAGGGAGAAGGAATATAGAAATGTGCAGAAGAGGGATTCTGAAAACCAGGTGCCATTCAGGGGTACAGAGAGTAGGTCATGTTGGCTGGAGAAGGGATCCCAGTAGGGAATGATGGGAGAAGACCCAAAATATACAAAATGGCAGAGGGCCTTTGTAAGTTGGGGGAGGTGGGTCTCTCTATAAGGGACCATAGGGAGTGATTGTAGGTGAACCCCCTACGGAAAGCCCTTTTGGAAACAAGAATACTGATGCTCACATTTGTTTTGAGGACACTCGGTATTGATTTCAGACACAAGTCATTTTCTTTTGTACCAGTTTTGGGTGGCTCTGTGTGTATGTTTTTCCCCTAGAGGAAGGCTGGCACTGTGGTTGTATTTCTACATCTGTGCTCACTCCCCGGGCTCCCTGCTCTGGAATGCCACTGTTGGCACGCAGACAAATGGCGCCAAAGTTGGGCAGAGGCCTGCTGGCTCTCTTGGAAACTGACAAGGAGTAAAAGGCCAAGAGCTGCAGCAGCATTGGAGAGACAGCTAGGAATGGAGCTGCCAACCCTGGCCCCCTTGAAGGCACAGGCAGGGTCTTGCCAGGGGGCTAAAGGAAGAATTTTGGCCAGAGTCAATATATAGGAAAGGTTGATCGTATGATGGTGTGTGTGTGGGGGGGGGTGTCTTAGGGTCTTGAACACAAAGATCTGCCTCAATTTCTCCAGGTAAGAAGAATGCCAAATCCATTGTTTTCACAACCATTTCCAATAGTGGTCACTATGATTTGACAAATTTATTAAATGCTTACTGTATACAATGTACTTTTCTTTTTTTGTACACAAATTGGAATGTGTCTATGATGTAGGAAAAGCTCAGCACTGAAGGCACTCCCCCAGATAACTGGAGCAGGGCAAGTAGTGGGATGGAAAAAAGACTGGATGAGGTATCAGGGACTTTGGCCTCTAACCTTGGCTCTCCCCCTCTAATGAGGCAGTACCCACAGAGTGGAGAGCTCTGGATATAGTCAGGAGACCTGAATTTATACAGCAATCTTGCTAGTTACCATCTATGTGGCTTTAGAAAAATCACTTAACCTCTCTGGGCCTCACCTTCCTCCTGGGTAGAATGAGAGAGTTGGACAAGATGACCTCCTAGGTCCCTTAAAGTTCCAAATCTATGACTTTGTGGTGTTACCTTGCTCTCCTGTGCCTCAGTTTCCTCTCTTCTACAAAACGAGGATAGGAATATCTGCTCTGCACTATGGGGATCAAACGGGACCACATACAGAACAGCTTGGACAGGGCGAAGGGCTGTATAAATGGGACTCATTCGTTAAGCCGGGTATTGGGATCAAGGGGCCTCTTTCCAAGGCCAGTCTCAGTTCCCAAACCCCATTCACACAGCATCTTCACCTGGAGGGCCCCTTTCCCAAGGATGAGCCTCACCAAACCAGATTACCTGTTGGGCGTCGCCTTCAGTAAATGGCAGCTTTGTGGAGACATGAAACATGATCTCCCTGTCCCGGAATACAGTGTACACTGATTCCAGCCCAGTCTGGCCGTGGGTCACATCCAGGCCCCCTCGGAAGCTGCCAAGAAAAGAAGGGCAGGAGAGAGAACCGAAGAATGAGAAGCAGAAAGTCCAGCAGAAGGAACCTGACCGCTTGGGGTGATGCCCCTGAGGGAGAGGCAGATAGGGCACTGAACAGGGGAGACGGGAATTCCACATCGGACTAGCTGTGTGTCCCTAGGAAAATGACCTAACATCTCTGTGGCTCATTTTGTTCATATATAAATGAGGTGGTTGGATTTGACAGTTCCAAGATCCCTATTTCTAAATCTACATTTCTATGATCCAGGGCTGGGGCATGGGTGGCGGGGGGGAAGGAAAAGAAGAGACGTCAGCATGAGAAGAGAGGAGACAGTAGAGAGGAAGAGAAGAATAAGGAAAGAAGGGAGGAAAAAAGAGGTAGGGAAAGGGAGAATTTGGGTCGAGTGAAAGGAAGAGAAGGAAAGAGGAGATAGAAGAGGAGAGTGAGGAAGGGGGAGCCAGAGAGGGGAGGGGAGAGGAGAGGAAACGAAAGAGGAGTAGGGACAGGGCAAAGGGGGAGAGAAGAGAGAGGAATGAGGAGAATAAGACCAGAAGGGAGAAATGTGGGGGAAAGGAAAGGGAGAGACGATAAAAGGAATAAGGGAAGGAAAAGAGGAAAGGATTACAGGATCATCAATTTGGAAAAAGAAGGGACCCCAGAAGCCATTAAGTCCAACCCTCTTATTTTACAGATGAGGAAACTGAGGCACAGAGAGATTAAAGAGACTGACCCAGGGTGACATAAGCTAGTAAGTATTCGAGGCCGGATTTGAACTCAGGTCCCCCTGACTCCAAGACCAGAGCTCTATCCACTGTGCCACCTAGCTGCCCCAACCTCTCCAGTATCCTTGCCAAGAAAACCCCAAAATGGAGTCACTAAGAATCGGACACGATTGAAAAACGACTGAACAACCCCAACCACAGCAAAGAGCGCCTTCCTGTCACCCTCACAGGCGTACGGTATCAGAACAAACGAACAGACAAAACCCACTTGAATCCAGATTTTCCTGACACTGAGCGTGTAGGGCCCCGTCTGCGATGCCACAAATAAATGAAGCAAGAAGAGAAGAGAGGAAGGTGGTGTAAGGAGAAGGGGAGGAGAGGACAAAGGAAGGGAAGGGAAGGGGAGAGGAGATAAAAGGGACGAGAGGAGGAGGAGGAGAGTGTGAAAGAGGGGAGAGTGAGGAGTGAGGAGGGAAGGGAAAGAGACAAGGAGGGGCCAGAGGATGGGAGAAGAGGAGATGAGAAGAAAAAGGGAGAGAGGAACAGAGGGGTTGGAATTCATTTAGCTGGGGAAACCAGATGGGAAGTATCTTTAGAGCAGACCTATACCAGACTGGCAGAAATTCTAGCAGCAGATTAGTTATTTAAAAATACAAAAATTCTTTTTCAAGATTTAGGGTATAGCTATACAATACTGTCCACCCATCCGGACATCTGCAGGCCTAAATGTGTGGGTATGTGTGGACTCCCTGACAAAGGCAGAGCCAAAGAGAGCCCAGAGACTGGGCAGATCTCTGTTATGCCCCTCACCTTCTGGAACCAAGAAGGACCGAGTTTAAATCCTGCTGGAGACATTTACTAGCTGTGTAACCCTGGGCAAGTCACTTCACCTTTCCATGCGTCAGTTTCCTCATCTATGAAATAGGGATAATAATAGCACTTACTCTCATAGGGTTGCTGTGAGGATCAAAGTAACTTGTTAACGCGTGGAGGACTCTGCCAACCTTATCGTTGCTGCTATTTGTCCTTCGTTCTTGAAGAGGACCAATGACATCAGGAAGGTGATGTCACGGCTTGCAAGTGAATTGTATTTGAGTGAGGCGGAGCTGTGCAAAGTCGTCAGCCTCACTCTCTCCTCCAGAGCCATCTGGGTCCAGTGGCAAGACATATGGCCCAGGATGCAGTGGGGGACCTTGGCTTTTTTAAGTTAAGGTCTTTCCCAGGTCTGAGCCTATCTGTGGCAACACCCATTCAGTGATTCAGGCTAGGTAAGAAACAAGGCAAAAAATGGCTTCTTTTACCTAGTCCAAAAAAAAAAAGTCAATCTGGAAAGGGAAGATCATTAGGGTTTCTGGTCAAAATAGAAACAATTGCTATTCGCACTCACTCTGAGCCATAAGAACCCAAACAATGACCAAGTGAGGCTTGAGCTGGGACCTACTGTTGGCCAATCAACGAGAGCATGGAGAGTGATTTAGGTTTAAGGCATGGTCCTTAAAAAAAAAATCTAGCCTATAAACCCCAAGATACCTTGTGAAATGAAAATTTATATTCCTTTGGGCAGAGCACCTGCAGGTACCTTAAAGCACTGAATAAATCCTAATTATTATCATCAACATCCAGCATAGGAAGTAATTTGGAAATTCCATTCTCTGATGCCAAGAAAAATTGGGGAGTATCAGGCCAGGGCTACATGGCTGCTCGGAGTGGGAATGGGGCGCACAGTGGGGCTTTAGGCAGGTGCCCATCTCTTGACGAAAATGAAATACAACTTGACCCAGGCTCTTGACCTTTTAGCTCTAAGGAATGAGGCTGAGAAAGGAAATGGTGTGTCTGGAGTAGGGAAAGAACACTGGCCCGAGTGTCAGGAGATCTGGGTGATGGTCTTGGTGCTGCCTCTAACCAGGCAGCTCACTTCCCTTCCCTGAGCCTCCATTTTGTACATAGCATTAGTAGGTTGTCTCCCCCATCCAACCCTAAGCTCCTTGAGGGCAGGGACTGTCTTTTGACTCTCTGATCCCCAGCACTGAGAACTGTGCCTGGCACATAGTAGGCACTTAGTAAATGTTTATTAATTAATTGATTAAACTCTCGAGTAGGTAGATTGTTTGCTTAAATCTCTCTATTTTTGAGAATAATTTGTGTATTATCAATATTATTTGTTAGAAGTTTGACAGAATTGGGAGTTCCTTTACCATTAGCTCTATTTCCTTTTCCGAGCCTAGATTATACAAGATCGCTAGTCAGTCTTCTGTTAGTTTGAAGACTTTATATTATATATATAAATTTTATTAAGTATGTAATATATGAAACATCTTTATATATTTATTATGTATTAAATATATTTTATTTGTTTTATATTTGTTGCTATATTTTTTAAAGGTGATCTTCTATTTTGTGTTTTCTAAAGGTTGGTAGGGATCACCGAGGCTTTCTAATCTCCCCTCTCTCATTTAACAAATGAGGAAACTGAGGCCCAGGGAAGGCAAGGGAAGTGACTTGCCCATGATCACATGGGTAAAGTGTCAGGTGGGATTTGAACACAAGTCCCCTGACCCCAAGTCCAGTAATGTTTCTTCTGTAACCCACCAATAAGATTTTTTAAAAAGGATTTTGTGAAGATAGTAACATCTTACAGTTTGATTCCTCAGACTCCCAGCTGGATGCATTTGATACAGTGGGGAATCTGGCGGGCCTCTTTGAGGGCTGGATCAAACGTTGGCCCAGGAGCTACGTGCCACCCAGATCAGTCAAATCGACCAAGCTTGGGGGCTCTCCCTAGAGCCAACTTTTGCCAAAGAAAAATAGGGGCTTGTAGTTTTAAATCCAATTATGTTTTGGTTGGTTGACCCTTGAGGTCAATCCCAAGGGTGGATTGGAATTGGCAGCCCTGGGCCATGAGTTTCCCAAACTGTACCTTAAACACCTAGGTATAAGCCAAAAGTGTGCTGGCTTTGGGTGGGGCCTTTTTTACTCTTCTCCTAGTCTATGTCAAAGGGAACCAAGCAGTCCTATTTATTAAAATGTATGCCTCAAAACCTTTTAATTGAGGCATAGCTAAACAAATAGTGGTACTTGAATGTAATGGAATACTATTTTTGATAATAGAACAAAAAAAAAAAAAAAAGAGAACTGAACCCTGTGTGATTATAACGACTAAGCCTGGATCCCAAGAAGAGAAATGGGACCTCTCTTTCGTCTTTATAGAGGTAGGGGACAATGGGTGTGGAGTAGGGCATACACTGTCAGATTTGGTTGATATATGCGGATTAATTTTGCTGAATCGCTTTTTTTCCTCTTTTTAAAATTTGTTGTTACATGGGTCAGCTCTCTGGGGAAGGATCTAATGGGACGTGAAGGGGATATAAAACTAAATGAGATAAAAATAAAATAAAACGTACCCTTTAAAATCCTGTAGTGTGATGGTATCTCCCAGTAGACTCAAGAATTCCTTGAAGGCTGGGCTCTCTTCATTATTCCCAAACAGCTCCTCCTCTAGCGTCTGAAAACAAAACAAAACAAAACAAAACCGAAAAGGAGGAAAGCATTGTTTCCATGGGAAGGAGACGAGAAAATAATTCTTCTCTTTGTCCCTCTCCCCCAAAACAATCGCTTCCCATCCCCCTAGAACCTTAAAGATTTCCAGAGAACTTTTCTCACAACAACCACGAGAGGGTGGGAGAGAGGTCATCGAAAGAGTATTTCATTTAACTTTTTCTTCACAGGGAAGATTGTCTCTTACATGAAGGTTACTGCTTTGATGAGGGTAGTTAGCTGACGGTAAAGACCTTTGGATTTGGAGTTAGAAGGCCTGAATTCAAATCCCAGCCCTGCTTCTGCTGGGCTACCTGCTCTGGGCCTCAGTTTCCTTATTTGTAAAATGAGAATTGTACTAGATGGCCTCAGAGTTCCGTTCCAACTAGAAGCCTACGATGATGAAACATTTGCACAACACAGACATTGCCCATCAGGGAAGTCTGCCAGGTTGTATTAGGTTGTTTAAAAAATGCTTGTTGAACTGAACTGGACCAAGTTGGCGCAGTGGGCACCTTTTCACGCGCCGTGGCCGCTAATTAGGGAGGCAGTATGGGGTCAAGAACAGAGAGCCGGTCAGGATGCCTCTTTTGGCCATCGCTGTCTCTCCAGGGACCTGAGACCTCCCTCTCCACTCCCTCCCCACCTCTAAGAAGAACTGAAAGGGTTAGGGAGGGGCGGTGAAAACAGTGTTGACCCTAGGGTTTGAGCCCTGTTATCTATACTGCGACCCCGGAGTAGGTGCTTAAACTCTCTGGGCCTCCACAAAATGAGAGAAGGTTGAATAAGATGATCTCCAGGGTCCCCGTCTGCTCTAACTCCCATGAGGTTCTGACTTGGGGAAAATGTGGATGATTTCATGCCATCCAATCCCACCCCACTCCTGGGAAAACGACATTAAGTCTGTGTCCTAAAAGTCCCTGGGTGGCTCAGGAGCATCATAATTCTATACAGAGAACAGCAAAGAGCTTTAATATAGCAGATCCTCATGTCAAATTTCCCTAGGCAGCTGGTTTTCAAAGCAACAATCTGCATATATATTTTTTTAAAAAGGCTTTTATCTTCTCCTTCCTTTTCCCAACAGCATCAGATACAAGAACAACACCCGCTTGCCTGCTCTCAGAGGTGTTTGGTTAATGGTAAATAATTACCACCCTGCCGGAACATCGGATTCTAATCACCTTATGAGATCGGCATTGGTGTATTTCTGAACAAAACCACTTTCATTACGGGGTTTGCATTAGCAGAGCTGTGCCCAATAAAAATGCAATATGGGAAAATCATTAGAGAGCCTCCCTGAATAATCTTCACTAAATTATAAGATTCATCTGTATTGGGCTTTCAGATCCTAAAGTCTTGGCTTCATTAGAGTGTTTTTAAGCGAACACATGTCTCTTGTGGTCTAATCTTCATATTAACTATTATCTGGCCAAGAAAAATAAAACATCTACCAGCATGCTGAAAAAAAAAATCTCGCTTTCCTCTGTAGAGGGAGACCACAGGGCCACAGAGCTAGAGACAAAAGGGACCTTGCAAGTCATTGGGTCCAATGTCTTTATTTTACAGATGACGAAACTGAGGACCAGAGAATTTAACTGACTTGTCCAAGTAAATGGTGGGTTGGGAGTGGGGGGTTATGGGACCTCTTAGTACTATGGGCAACTATCTCCTATTTAGGCCCAAGCCCTTATGCTTCTCCTTCCCTTCTGTCCCCTTCCTTCCTCCTTTCTTTCCTCCTTCCCTTCCTTTCTTCCTTCCTTTCTTTTTTCCTCTCTCTCCCTCTCTCCTTCCTCCCTCTCTTCCTTAATCTCTTACTCTTTTCCTCCCTTTCTCCTTCCCTTCCTTCCCTCCTTCCTTCCTTCCTTTCACATTTACTGAATACCTGCTATATGAGAAAACACTCTGGGAGAGAGAAAGATGAATGAGATCCAGTCCCTGCCCTCAAGGAGCTGACAATCCAACGGAGGAAAAGGCATACGTGTATGTGAACAGCTATGCTACTATGAATCATGAGGGATGTTTTTAGATCTGCAGAGCCTCTGTCACGACAGGCACCCTGGGCACCGTGGCTTAGTGAATGAAGAGCTGGCCTCAGTGTCCAGAAGATCTGGGTTTGTGTCCCCTACCTGCCTGGACGGTGTGCTGGCTGAGTGACCCTGGGGAAGTCCCCCTCTCAGCGCCCCCAGACAAGTCTCTATACCCAGTCCTAGACTGTGAGGATCATGTAAGGTAATGGATGGTAAGCCCTTAGCAAAGCTTATAGGCTGGCGGACAGTCAGCTATGACTATTCCATAGCCATGGTCTGAATTCATCAGATCCTCACAACAAACCCCCATTTTACAGATGAGCAGCCTGAGGTTCAGAGAGGGTCAGTCACTTGCAGGTGATCCTAGAGGTGGCAGGTGGCAGTGGCAGGATTCAAATGCAGGACTCTCCTGACTCCCAGGCCTGCATTTTCCCTGCTTTATCAGACTGTGAAGGGCTATAAGAGACATCCAAAGGGAGGGCATGGGAGCAGGAAGAGCTTGTTTTTGCCTGGGAAGCCTGTGTCTGCTAGAGTAGGGACAGAGCCATGCTGACTCATCCACACTCTGGAACCCAGTTTCCCTGTGGTTCCACGGTTCACACGGCACGATCAGATGTCTGAGCAGGGTTAGGGAGTCCACAGTGGGCCAGGGAACAGCTGCTGTTTGCTCTACTTAGAGCTAAATGGCTCCTATAGGGATCCCACCTGGGGCCCAGGTGCTATTAGCATTGCATCTTGTCCGCACTTTGAATGTGACCTTCATGGGAGGAGTGTTTAAGAAGAAAAAATGCAGGGCAGGATCTCTTAGGCTCTGCAGTAAAATCCAATTCAACTCATCTCAATTCAATTCAACTCAATGATGAGTTATTAAGCATCTACATGATACCATGGATGAGAGCAATGACTCTGTTATCAGAGGACCTGGATTCAAGTCCTGCCTCTGACACCTACTCTTTGACCTTGGTCAAGGACTTTTTAATGAGTCGCCTATCCACTATACCACACTGCCCCTGTTTCCAAGTATCCTTGTATGAGGTATGATGGGGAAACCAAGTACAGAATCACAGAACTATAGAATTTAGAGTGTGAAGGGCCCTTAGAGATCTTCTGGTCCAAATCAGGTGAGGAAATAGGCCTGATTGGCAGAATCCCCCAGGAGCTGTTTTAATGTGGCCAATTCACTCCTAATCTGTGAAAAAAAAGAAAGGATTAGACAGGGTAACTTCTGAGGTCCCTTCCTCACTAAATTTTTGATCCTAAGTCATTTCCTTTCGTTGGGCCTCAGTTTCCTCATCTGTAAAATGAAGAGGTTGGACAAGTCGGTTTCTGAGGTCCCTGCCAGCTCCAAATGTGCAATCCCAGAGTCCTCTGAGCATGGCACACCAGGTGCTGGGGATAGAAGGATGAAAGTGGCTTTGTCTCCAGTTTCCAAGTGTTTAAGTAGCAGAGTGGATAAGGCAGATACACAAATAGTAATGGTACCAGGGAGACTGGGAGGCTGGGATGAGAGAAAAGAGAAAGCAAGGCAAAAGGACCCTAGAGAAATCTGAGGAGGGCAATGATACCAGGGGTGGGGGCAGATCTGAGAAGGCTCCATGGAGGAAGTGGAGCTGAGCTTTGAGAGGAAAGATTTTCCATGGGTGAGACCAAGAGACAGAGTATTCCAGACCCATAAATCACACATTTGGGAGAGCACAGAGTGGGATCTGGAACAGCCAGTCAGCCAGTTTGGCTTGAACATGGTGTGCGTGAAAGAGAAGAGAGGGAAATTAGGCTGGAAAGGTCAGTTGACCCACACATGACCCACCATCTCTTGACTCCGTGCATTTGCATTGGCTGGTCCTCCCACCAGGAATGTTATTCCACCTCCTGGCTTCCTTGCAGCTCAAATTCCGTCTTCTGTAGGAGTCTTTCCTCAGCCCCCCTCTCCTGCCATTGCTAGTGCCCCCTCTCTGAGATCATCTCCAGTTTCTCTGTAGCTTGTATATACATAGCTATTTTCATGCTGTCTCTCCCAGTAGAATACGAACCCCATGAAGGCAGGACCATGTTTTTGCCTTCCTTGTATCCTCCAGAACTTGGCACAATGCCCAGCCCAGTAATGAATGCTTGTTGACTTGATAGGACTTGATACAATGAGGCCCCACTGGAATTGTGTTGACTAATCCACAACCCCTAGCTTACCTGGCGAGCTTTTTGATAAATGACGCCAAACTTGAAGGTGTTGTTGACTTCGTGCTCATCATAGGACACAATCATTTGGGAAGCCTGCAGGAGAGGGAGAGGAAAGGAGTCGGGCTGATTGCCGTGTTAGGAGTGGGGAAGGCAGGAGCGGGATCATCTCTGAAACAAAATCCTGTCGATGGAAGGAAAATTCCACATGGGGGAAATGAATATCATATGGGCTAGTCAAGGTGACACATCTGGATAAAGACAAGGTAGGAGGGAGAGCTGTTTTCAGACCGGACACTTGGTCATTGCGATCCCGTGTCTTAGCTGTTTCTCCCAATCCAGATTATAGGATCATTTAGAGCTGGATGGGATCTTAGAGATCAGTCCAACCCTTTCATTTTAGAGATGAGAGAACTAAGGCAGAGAGGCTAAGGGATTTGCCCAAGGTCACACAACTAGTTAGGATCTGAAGCAGGACTGGAATCTAGGACTTTCTCAGTCCAAGTCTCTGTCCACTATACCACACTGCCCCTGTTTCCAAGTGTCCTTGCATTGGGTATGATGGGGAAACCAAGAATAGAATCACAGAACTATAGAATTTAGAGTAGGAAAGGCCCCTAGAGATCCTCTGGTCTAAACCAGGTGAGGAAACTGAGGCCCGATTGGTTGAATGTGGCCAAAAATGGTAGGGCTGGCCTGATCCCCAAGGTCTCTTCCCAGCTAAAAATGAGACGATGCTAGCTACAATCTGGAATCAGCACATGAGTGAATTGATGTATGTACAAGTGCTGCCAATGTGCTCAAAATCAGCATCCACTCACAGCCTCTGACCTTCCTCTCACCACTGATTTGTTTAGAAAGCCTTTCTTCTTTGATAACCCGAAGGCATGCTTCAGTCCAGCCCCTAGCCAAAGAATTACCAGTTCTAAATTAGGGAGATTTTCTTGTCTTTTTGTCTGTCTGTTATCTGTCTATATTCCACCCCAGGCCCCACTAGAACTAAGGGCCTTCGGGGTAAGGATGGTTTTATCCTGATTTTTGTCTCTTGAGCGCTTTGAACAATACGTGGCACATAGTAAGCTCTCAATAACCAACCATCTGTTGGTTGATTAATCTATATAAGATCACATATCTCAAACTAGAAGGGGCCTTCGGGGCCATCTAATCCAACCATACCGTTTTACAGATGGGGAAACTGAGTCACAGGGAGGTTGGGGGATTTGTCCAACATCAGAGGTAGGATTTGAACCCATAGCCTCTTTTGTAAATTTCCACTGTACCATGATACCTGCTTACCTCTATCTATCTATCCATCCATCTTTCCATCCATCTGCCCATCTGCCCATCCATCCATCTATCTTTCTCCATCCATCCATCCATCCATATATCTGCCTATATATTTGTCTATTTGCCCATCTATCTATCATCTATCTATCCATCCATTCATCCATCTATCCATCTGCCTACATATTTATCTATTTGCCTATTCATCTATCTATCTATCTATCTATCTATCTATCTATCTATCTATCTATC